CCCAGAGCGGGTCAGAGGTGCGCAGCCGCGCCGGCCGAAGACCCAGGAGGAAGGCTCCGCAAGCCCAGCCCTCTGGTCAGGTCTGCAGCCCAGGCAGGGCCTCAAACTACCAAGAAGTCCTCAAGGGAGCGAGCAGAGCCTGCTCCTCCTGGGACGGGGAGCGCCGGCCCCAGTTCCCTTCCTCCTGGGACGGGGAGCGCCGGCCCCAGTTCCCTTCCTCCTGGGACGGGGAGTGCCGGCCCCAGTTCCCTTCGCGTCCTGGAGCTCTGCTGCTCCTTCCCCTTTAGGGAGAAAAGCCCGAGACTGAGGGAGTGCGTCTACACAGCTCTGCAAAATGGAGCTCCTCTTTTTTTTTTTTTTTTTAAACGACTTCCATTATTTACAAAACAAATTATTACTTTTTGTGCCAATGCAGGGGCTTACACTGTACCATTCCTTAGCTTTTTCAACTCAAGATGGGCACTCTGCCACTTGAGTCTCAGCTCCACTCTCAAGGCTTTTTGGTGACTGGTTGGAGATACGAGTCTAAAGAACTTGCCTGCACGGGCTAGCTTTGAACTGTGATCCTCAGATCTCAGCCTCCCGGGAGCTAGACTCACAGGCATGAGCCACTAGCAGCTGGCTCAAGTTACTATTATTTTAAGTAATCATTCCTGACCTTCTGGCCAGGCCCACAGAGCTGGCTGAGGCCCCGGACCGCGGCCTGGGTGGCGGGCGGTCTGGGGCCCGGCCCGGTGGGGCCCCACTCCCGTTTCCGGCGGCAGGCTGCGCCCTGGCCTCCCCTCCAGCCCGGCCCCCCGGGCCGCGGGCGCGGGCTCACTTGAAGAAGTCGTCCCTGCAGTAGACGCTCTCCCCGCGGCTGAAGCAGCGCTCGGCCAGCGGCGCGCGGCAGTCGCTGCACGTGAGGCACTTGCTGTGCCAGTGCCGGTCCAGAGCCTTAAGGATGAACCTGTCTAGAATGTGCTGGTCGCAGCCGGCGCACAGCGGGATCTCTGTGGACAGAGGAGCGGCTGGGGCAGGGGCCGGGCCGTAGAGGTTACCATCTCCCCCGCCAGGCCCAGCCCCCGCGGTCCCCAGGCCCCCAGCCTCCCGGTTCAGGGAGGCAGGGATCCCCGCCATGGCCGGCAGTGGCTTGGGAGATGAGAGCAAACGCGCGTGAGCATCTAGAAATGCGTGTGAGCAGGAAGGGGGGGACCAGGCTGTTTCTGGGGCCAAGGGTGTCTGTCCACCCCAAGATGTTCACATAGCCAGGAAGGACCCAGGCTGCAATCAAAGGAAAACCTCACCTCTGGTGCGGGGGTGGAGGACGGGGTGGGGGTGGGGGACTGGCTGGGAAAGCCGGACGTGAATGGGAAAAACAAGTCCTTACTCTGCCGAGCACCAGCGAAGCGCCTCTAACTTCTGACTTAGAACAACTGTGCGGCCGGGGCGTTCTTTCTGGAGGCTGCGCGGTGCGGCCCCGGGCTGGGGGTCTGTCAGACCCTCAGGCGTCAGTGACAGCAGCACCCCGCGCCTTTGGGTGGGTGTGCGGGGCTCCCCGCGCAGCGGTGCCGGCGGTGTGGGGTGTGCAGGCGGTGTGGGGTGCCCTCCCGCTGTGACTAGACCAGCGCCCCAGTCCTGGCCAGCTCTGCTCGCAGAGATTGCGGGCTTGGGGGCGGCAGGCGGGACCTGCTAATTCAGACCGGGTCTCCGAGACGAGGAGCCCGGCGCGGGAGCGGGACCTGCTCGGACGCGGCGCCCGCCGGGAGGACGCGGCCGAGGGCTCGAGGGGGCGGAGGGGCCCCGCCGCACCTCCCGCCAGCACTGGCCGGAAACCGCGGTGGACGCGGTCTCGCGTCGAGCAAAACCGCGCGGCCCAGACCGCGCCCCGGACGCCCGAGGCTGGCGGCGAGCCCAGGACGGCCGGGCGCAGGGCCCCGCCGGGCGGCGCCGGTTCAGCACCGTGGCGCGGACAGCGCCCAGGCCCGGCGGCCGCGAGAGCCCGCTTCCCGCAAAAAAGCCGTCCCTCGCCGGGCTTGCGCTGCGGGGCGCGCCCGCCGCACCCGCGTGAGGCCCGCGGAGCCCCCGCGCCGGCCGCGCGTCCGCGCGCTGCCCTCCGCCGCCCGCTCCCCGCGCCCGCCGGGGCCGCCGGGCGTCCGGGAGTTGAAGCCGGGCTTGTCCCGGTCCCCGGACCTGACGGCGGGCAGAGCGCGCGGGCGCCGCCAAGACCCGCATTCGGGAAGAAGTACGGTCCCGCTCGACGCCGCGGACCCGCTGCCGCCTCCGTGCCGCGGGGCCGCGGGGCGGGACCCGGCGAGGGCCGCGGAGACCCGCCGCGCCGCGAGCCCCTCGCCTCGCCCCCCACCCCGCTCCGGAGCCCGGCTTGGCGCCGCCCCGGGGCCCCTCAACCGATCCCGGACGACCCGAGCCCCCGCGGCCGGGCGCGCTGCGCGGACGTTCGGGGACCCGCCGCGCCCGGGCCCGCGGCACCCACCTCGGCGCAGGTCGGCCCTCCGAGCCAGCAGCGCCAGCAGCAGGTCGCCGCCCGCCGGCTCCCGGGCCGGGTCCAGCTCCCCGCGCGCCTCCATGCGGCCGGCTGCGGGCGAGGCCGCCCTCGGACCCGCCAGGCCGCGGCCGCCGCGACGCGGACCCCGCAGACCCGAGACTGGTGGCGCGGCCCCGCAGAGCCCGCGGGCGGCCTGGGGCCCGGAGCCTCCGGCCGCGCGCGGGGCGGAGCGGCGGGGGGCGGAGCCGCGCGCGGGGCGGAGCCGGGGGTCGCGGGGACGCGCGGGCCCCGGAGCCCAGCCGAGGGCGGGAACCCGCCCCGCGGGGGCTCTGGATGGGCCAGGCCGGGCCGGGCCGGGATCTCCTGCGGTGGCGTCGGGAATCGGGAACCCAGAACCCGGAATCCAAAGCGGGCGAGCGTGGCGCGCGGGGCCTCCGCGGAGTGCGGGGAGCCGGACGGGCCCCGGGCCGCCCATGAACGGCCCGCGCAGGCGCAGCGAGCCCGGCCCCTGCGAGGGAAGTGGGGCCCGCGTCCTGGGCCTGGACACACAACGGGGACGCGGAGTCGGGGCAGCGCCGGACCCGGCCTCCGGCCTGCGCCTCCTCCGCCTGCGACCCCCCTCCTACCCGCCTGCGCCCCCTCCTACCCGCCTGCGTCACCCCTCCGCCTGCGCCCCCCTCCGCCCCCCTCCGCCTGCGTCCCCGCCCCGTCTGCAGCACTGTGGCTCCACACAACAGCGCCAGCACACCCGACAGCAGGGGAGCCCGCTGCATGCACTCCGGGCCGGCCGGGCGCGGGCAGGGGCGTCCCGGGCCTGGCGCCGTCGCGCGCCCTCCCTGCGTGCCCCGCCTGGTGCCCCGCCTGCGTCTCCTGGACGGTGAGTCCCGGGCCGGCCCGAGCACCACACTCGAGACAGCGCGGGGCGGCGTCGGGGCCCGCCGGGGGCGCTGGTGGGCGGCGTGGGCCACGGGCGGCCGGGGGCGCACGCCGCTGGGGCATCTGGCCGGCCGCCAACAAAGCCTCCATTATGTTCCAACGTCCGCCACCGGACGGCCCTCGGGGAAGGCGGCTCGGCGGGAGCTCGGCCGAGCCCCGCGCTCGTCGGCGCCCGCCCGCGCCGCTGCCGCCAGCCCCGGGGCCGCTGTCAGCCTTCACCCCCGCGGCCCACGGCCGCCCTGCGCGCCTCCGCGCCGGCCCGCGCGCTCTGCCTCCGGCCCTCGGGAGGCCTGCGGGCCCTCCGACCTCACCTGCAGCCCCGCCGAAGGTGCGGAGGGCGGCGGCCGTGCGGGCTCCGGGCCGCTCCTGGTCACGACCCCGCTCTGCTTCCAGCAGCATCGTGGGCCCGGTCTGCGTCCCGGGGAGGGTGGGAGCTCCCGGTTCCTGGGACGGAGCCCAACCCCGAACTGGCCCTGTCCGTGGTGCTGAGGGAGGCTCCCGCCCGCCCCTCCCCTGTCCCCGCCCCCAGGGCAGGCGGCGGGCGGCCGCAGGAGCTGGTCCTCCGGCTGGGTTTGGAGAGACTGGGCAGGGCCTGGTGTCTCAACTCTTCACCCACTCCCCCGCAAGGAAGCTGCTAGAGTCCTGCTCTGCTCTGCGGAGGCTCCGGGCCAGGCTGAGAAGCGCCTGTTCACGGGAAGCGGGTGGCGGAGCCCCAGGACGGTCAGGCGCTGGCCCTGTTGGCAGCCTTCCAGGAGACAGTGCCCATGCGAGGCTCTCCCCTGTGGTGAGCTGCTGCTGCTGGACCACAGCGGGCCCGCATTCCAAAGAACCTGACACTCAACATGTGCACATCACAGGTCACTTGAGCACACTCAGACGCCTGTGCCCCTCCTCTGCGGAGAGGCAGGCAGGCCTTGGCCAAGCCTACCCAGTGAGGCTAGACTCCAGAAAGGGGCTCAGCGCAGAGCCGCCTATCCACCCCTGCCGTGTAGGGGCGCGGCCCCTCAGAGGGTCCAGGTACTGGTGAGATGTTGAACAGGTTCCACAGCCACCTCATCCACGCCAGCTCCAAGATCCTCTGTAATCCATTTCCCATCTTTGTCTCTGTCTGGCCTCAGGGCTGCCTTCCAAAAAGACTTCTGGCTCAATAGAGGAAATTCCAGAATTTCAGATGTTCATGTCCCCACCCGATCACATTGTAGCTGGCTGGCTCACATTTCAAAAGAATGATGACAATTTTCTCAAATGTCAGATTTTATTTTTAAAATGTACACATATAGTTTACTTAAATACAAAATACTCACTTTCCTTCTAGTTAAGAAATTTTACTGATATTCCCATGTCAATTCAGTTTTAATCAAAATCTCTTCATTAAAAATAAATAAGCATTTATATTACTTCCCTATTGTATTCATTGGTCTCAATACCTTTTTTGTGTGGGCTGGCACTGGCGCTTGAACTCCGGGCCTGGGTGCTGTCACCCCACCACCTGGGCCACAGCTCCACTTCTGGCTTTTGGGTTAACTGGAGGTAAGTCTTCTTGGACTTTCCTTCCTGGGCTGACTTCAAACTGTGATCCTGGGATCTCAGCCTCCTGAGTAGCTAGGATTACTGACGTGACCCACCAGTATATCTCACACACACACAAAGGCTTACACCTTGACTAAAGGTGGCACCACTGATCTGAGCAGGTAATGTAGACATCTGAGTCCTGATCCCTTGCAGGCTGGCCCCACACATCATGGCAGCCACTCTCCCCAGATTTGCCTGGGGAAGCTCATCCTCAGGAAGCAGCCTCTAGTTCTGCAGGAGAGAAGCTGAAAGCCAGCGCTGCCGAACATGGGTCTCCATGAAGGTCAGACTGGAGAATGCACTGCAGGAGCCCCGCCTTGCCCACTGAAGACACCTCCTTTGGTGGAGAAGGCATCCACAGAGGTAGACAGAGGGTTCAGAGCTTCCTTGGAGATGTGAGGACCTGTCAGATGGGCCAGCATCTTTAGTAACCTAGGCACATGACCAGCCAAAGACAGGTTCATTTTTTTTAAAAAACAGGATTTCAGAGGTTAAAAAGCATCAAACGAAAAGGTCCTTCATGGCCCAGGAGAAGCAGGAGCTCAAGGTGGTGGAGCCAAGGCAGCGAGGCTATTCCTGCCCTGGGAAGAGTCAGGCCTCCAAATCCATGCCTCCCACAAAATGGAGGCTGGCTAAGGACAGCCCCAGGGGACAGCTGTCTGCCCTTCTCAGGCCACAGCCACATTACAGGGTCCTCAGGGACCATTTACCATACATAATCACAATAGGCTAAGTGGAAAGAGTATTTACAGCTCTTCTAGTCACTCCTGTGCATGCACACACGCACACACAAAGGCATTGGTCTAATTTCATCTAAATAGAAGGACGCTTGTGAAACAAACCAATGGCCACAAAGGATCTCAGCAGGAATGCTCCTGAAACTGCATGCCAATGGGTGGTTTTAATTTTACAAAAAGTGAGTTTAAATTGTGGAATGGTTAAGTCATCCCTGAGGCCTGCAAAGAGCCTGGCTTGCGTGGGACCCTTCTCAACAGCTTCAGTTCAAGGAGTCCTGGGGTTTGAAGCCATGCCAGGTCCTCATCCTTCCCACTGGGCCCTGTATACCTAGCCGCTGCTGGTGCTTTCTTCTGTGTGAGATGAGGGATACAAGACAAAGGCTCCTACAGGCCTCCTGCTCGCCCCCCACCCCCGAGTGGACCAGTTCTCATTACCCCTCCCCTGACGCTATGGTCACTCACCTTCCAGCTGGCCCACACTGCCTCCAGAGTGGCCAGACTGGGCTATCCCTCAGTCCCTTGTCAACAGTAAACAATTAAAAGGCACTGCCACCACCCTGCCCCTCCAAACCAGCCACTACTTGACAGCCCTGGTCACTCCTTGAGAGAAAGTAAAGCCACACCACTCACTACCCCGTTCCTGCTTGGGGGCCTGTGCACAGAGTGAGCACCCCGCAGGGCACCGGGTGGTAGAAACGTTTGGGCTCTGCTGCCTGCAGGCACAGCCTTGGCCTAGATGCACAGACCCCAGGCCGCTTCCAGGCTGGAGGTGTGGGATGTGGGGGAAGGTTACTGCACTTCCATTCGCTGTGTCCCTCGGATGGGCCTGACAGGCAGGATAGAGTGCAGGGAAGGCCCTGAGCAGACCTGCCTGCTCCAACTTAGGACAGTGAACACACGGATGTCTTTTGACACGAGTTGGGAAAGCACAAGGGGCCAGCAAGGCAAGTGTTTCCACCAGGGCCGCCTGCACTCTGAAGGGCCAAGTCTGGCATGTTTACAAAATCCCTGATCACAAATGATAGCACTGTGGGAGCGCTGCCAAGGCTGCCCAGGACACCTCTCCACAACTGGGTGGTAGCGCCGGGTGGGAGGCCTCTCCACCGCTGTGTGGTAGAACCGGATGGGAGAGCTCTATACAGCTGGACGGTAGAGCTGGACAGGAGGCCTCTCCACAGCCGGGTGGTAGAGCTGGACAGGAGGGCTCTATACAGCCGGGTGGTAGAGGCGGACTTTCCATCGCTTGGACCTCACGCGGAAGAAGAAGTACATGAGCATCAGGAACAGGGAAGAGGCCACGTACAGCACCACGCACAAGCTCATGTCCAGGCTGGAGAAGCCAACCCCGAGGAGAGGCACCTCGGCCTCAGCCTCCTCCCGGGCCCCAGGCCCCTGGGGACTCCCGAGTCTCAGGTCCAGCCGGTGGTGCAAGCTCTCCAGCAGGTCCGTTCTGGGGTCCAGGACATGGAGTGGATGGAGACTTGGGTCATCCTGGGCTCCCCGAGGCTTCCCCGGGGGACCGAGTCCCCCGCCCTCCGCCCGGGCCCTGCCCGCGGTTGCCCCGTCGCCGCCATCGCCCAGGTCTGCAGCATACGTGTCCACAAGGTTGTCACGGCCGTAGTGCCGCTTCAGGAACAGGAGCACGTGGCCCTCGTTCCAGCTGTCCAGGCCCTTAATCTCCTCGTGGCAGTCTGGGCAGAGCTCTGGGGTGGGCCACGGCACCTTTGGGAACTTGGGGTCCTCACTCAGATGGCCTAGGAGGGAGGGAAGGGGCAGCATGGTGAGGAAAGCCTTCCGGTCCGGGGCACAGCTGGCCTCCCACCCATGCAGCCTCCCGGCTGCTGCTCCCATCTCTGTGCAGTGTGGCCAGATGTCTCTGTGCTCCCTGGCCTGAACAGCACAGGCCCCCTCCCTCGCTGGGCCCCCCATGCAGGTCCCCTTCCCCTGGTCACCCGTGTGTCTACACTCCAAGGCCTGCACGCTTGGCACACCTGCCACTCACCTGACTGCACCTGCTGCCACCCACCCAGCTCCTGCCCTCTACGGGAAATGCTCACCTGTCTGTGCTACCATTCCCAGGCACTCAAGGCCCAGGCCACTCTGGCTGCCAGGGCCCTGGAGGGACACACTCACAGCCTAGGACCAAGACAGGCAGAGGCAGCTCCACTCCACCGCCTGCTCCCTCCAGGTAAGTGGGCTCCCCACGGCTGTTTCCAGCTCCAGGCTCACAGCAGTACACCCACGGCGCCTCCCCCGGGGCTCCCTGCAGCTCTTCTGGTCAGTTTCTGGTGAACAGCACGCAGCACCCTGTGGCACAGCCTTGCCACACCACTGCGTGTGCTTGCGGCCACCTGCTGACTGCTTCTGGAGTGGAATCCATCGGAACACTCCCATTCCAGATGGCTGCGGCCACCCATCAGGGCAGCTTAGGCACCCTGCGGGCACCGAGGGGACTCTGCAGCTCACCAGATACACCCACCCCTTCCTTCATTGGATCAAAACTGAGGCCGGGCATCAGTGGCTCACGCCTGTCATCCTAGCTACTCAGGAGGCTGAGATCTGAGGATCACAGTTCAAAGCCAGCCTGGGCGGGAAAGTCCGTGACACTCTTGCCTACAATAAACTACTCAGAAAAAGCCAAAAATGGCGCTGTATTCAAATGGTAGAGCGCTTGCCTTGAGCACAAAAAGGCTCAGGTTCAGCACCTAAGCTGAGTTCAAGCCCCAGGAATGGCCAAAAACAAAAAACAACAAAAAACCCCACCAAAATTCTAACTGAGGACTGCTACGCAGAAAGCTGGTCAGCCCAGGAACCGGAGAGAGGTGTGCCCTGTGAACGGAGGCTCTGTGCAGCCGGGGCTACGTGGAGCACACACCCTGAGCCACTGTCCTCTTACTGGCAGTGCGCAGGCATCCCCCCAATGTCCAGCTCCAGACCCCTTTGCTGAACCAGTTCAAGGACCAACGACGCTCCCACCGCACAGGCTTAGGCCCTCGGTGCCTCTTGGCTGCCACAGCTGCCCTGGCCTGCTGACCACCCTCAAGGTTTCTCAAGTGTGTGCTGGCGATGCTGGCGATGCTAGGCCCTTTACCTAACTTGCTTGCTAGGTGTCATGTGTAAGGAGGGGATGAGGCCGAGGCCAGCCGCGTCCTCTGGGGTCACTGCCCAGTGGACGACCTGGATGAACTCACGGTGGACACGGAGAGCTATCATGTCCTCGGGGGCCAGACTCTGGGCAGGAGAGCCGGGTCAGATCTCCCTCCCTCCACAGGCTGGAGGCAGGCCTGGGGGCTGGTGAGGAGGCTTGGCACACACCCGTGGATGGACACGCGCAGCCCCATCTTGCTGCAGCCCAGTAAAGTGGGCGCTCGAGGCTGGGTAGCCAGCTGGCTGCCTCAGAGCGCAGCACTGGGGGAGGCGGGGGCGGAGCGGGGAGGCGTCTGGGAGGACACCTCAGCCGCCTAGGCTGCGCGCCTGGGACAGCAGCTGACAGGGACGAGGAAATCCCTCACCATGAGGCCCCTCAGCTCTTAGCGCAAAGGAAAACCAATTCTCTTTAGTGCTTTAGTTGTCATGTTTTATAATACAGTGGATTAAATGAAAACCAACCATTTAGGGGCATTTTCTATTCATCCTTATTAAATTTATTTCTCAGTAGAATTATTCTTAAGCCTAATTTTAATCTGCCATTGATTTGTGAATACTTTGAATTTACTTAACTCTGAGAGAACACATATGTCATAGTTTTTAAAAACAAAACCACCTTATGGGGTTACAGACTAACCCCAAAGACAGGCTGGGCTTACAGTCTATGTGTGTGTGTATGTGTGTATGTGTATGTGCATGTGTGCAGTGGTCCTAGGGCTTGAACTCAGGGCCTGGACACTGTCCCTGAGCATTTTTGCTCTAGATTAGCACTCTACCATTTGAGCCACAGCTCAACTTCTGATTTTTTGGGGGGGTTATTTTATTTTGCCAGTCCTGGGGCTTGAACTTTGGGTCTAGGTACTGTTCCTAAGCCTTTTGCTCAAGGTGTGTGCTCTACCACTTGAGACACAACACTACTTCTGGCTTTTTTTTTTTTTTTTTTGAGTAGTCTATTGGAGATAAAGTCTCATAGACTTTCCTGTCCGGGCTGGCTTTGAACTGCAATCCTCAAATCTCAGCTTCCTAAGTAGCTAGGATTACAGGTGTGAGCCACTGGCACTCAGCTTTTTTTTTTTTTTTTTGGGGGGGGGGGAGTTTATGGGGCATTAAGAGTCTCACAGACTTTCCTGCCCGGGCTGGCTTCAAACTGCAATCCTCAGAGCTCAGCCTTCTGAGTAGCTAGGGTTACAAGCGTGAGCCACTAGCACACAGCTAAGAACAGATTAAGAAAAAATTAAATTCCTTACCAATAATTATACTCCAAGTTCTCCAATATCCCAATTACAATCAGGGGATATGGGTGATAGGATACCAGAAAGTCACAGCCGCCTGGGTGAGGGCCAGCTGGGGAGCCAAGACACAGTGGTCTGGGAGGGCCAGCCATTCACGCACAGCACCTGGGAGCTCAGGAAAAGCCAAGACGCGCCCACACAGCATGCCGCCCTCCCCACACAGGCCCCAGGCCTCCAGGCGGAGGGCCAGCTTTCCCTCACCCGCGCCCGGCGGCCGTTCGGGCGCCGGCCTCACTCACCTGCCAGGCGGCTGTTGACGGCATTGTGCTTCCTCCACAGCCAGAGGACGGCTTGGTCGAGTGTCTTCACTGTGTCCAGAGACTCTTTGGCCATTGCCTCAAAGTGCTCGCCACACTCTCTGCACCCAAAGAAAGTGTGGATGTACCTCCTCACGGTCTGCAGCACAGCCCCCGGGTCGTCCTCAAGGCCTGCAGGGGAAAAAGCCAGGGCGCTGGAGCCCACCGCCATCCAGTCCAGCTTGTGCCACTGCTCTCGAGAGACAAGTCTCAGTGTTCACAGGCGGCCCGTGTCTCCACAGAGCAGCCTGTGCATACAGCCCCGACACCTAGCACAAGCAGGTGTGCAAGAGTGTTCCTACGCATGGCTCAACAGTACCCATACCAGACAGGAAGCCTGCCACCAGCATGGAGATCTAGTGAGCACTACGACTGAGCTCAAGCATTCAGACATTCAGACTCTCGCAGGTCCTTAAAAGGGACGTGTCAACACCCCTTGGCCAGGCTCACGGTTGCCTCTGCTTTGGCCTCAGGGCCTGCCAGCTGTGCGTGATCTCTCCTGACCCACAGCAGCACCCGCAGGCGGTGTGGGCCCTGCTGGGGCAGCAAGGCCATCCGCTGCCCCTTTGCTGTGGAAGGGTGACTTTCCCGGGCGGACGGGCAGCAGCCAGGGTGCCTCAGGGGGCCGGCGTGACAGCCAGTCCACAGGAGACTGCACTCTTCACGACGGCGGAACCCCTCCAAAAGGTGGTGATTTGAAAAGCAAACAACCTGCTGGTGGCACACACGTGTAGTCCCAGCACATGGAAGACTAAGACAAGAGGATTTTGAGTTCAAGGACAGCCTGGGCTACGTAGTGAGTTCTAGTCCACTCTAAGCTACATAGAAAGACTCTCAAAATGGGAAAGTCAAGCTGGGCACCAGTAAATCTGGGCACCTGTAATCCCAGCTACACAGGAGGCTGAGAGCACTGAGAACCGTGGTTCAAAGCTAGCCCAGATAGCAAAGTCCGTGAGACTCTCATCTCCCATTAACCGCCAAAAAGCTGGAAGAAGCAGAGCTATGGCTCAAGTGGTAAAGCTCAGGCCTTGAGTTCAAGCTGCATGCCAGTGGTTCACACCCATAAGCTTAGGTAACGGGGAGGATGTGCTAGGAGGCTCAGCAATGTACATGTAAGACCCCATCTCAACCCCATCATCCTGTCTCTCCTCCGGAGATCAGGAGGGGCCAGGCCATGAGGCAGAGGAGTCCAAAGGATGCCATCTCAACACAAAAAAGCTGGGGGGCAGGGGGTTCAGCAAGACCTAGCTGCATACCCAGCTATGGCAGGAAGCAACAAAAGGATTGCTTCAGGTGTGTGCCTGGTAAGAATCAAGACTCTAAAATAATCCTTACAAGCAGGGCACCAGTGGCTCACACTTATAAACCTAGCTACTCAGGAGGCTGAGATCAGAGGACCTTGGTTCAAAGCCAGCGTGGGCAAAAAAAAAAAGCCAAGCAAAAGAGCTCAAGTCTTGGTACCAGATACCAGCATCAAACCAAACCACACCAAACCAACAAAAACACTGCAAAAATGACTGGAGGTGTGTCTTAGGGTAGAGCACTTACCAAGCAAGTACGAAGCCCTGATTTTAAATTTCAGTACCACAATAAATAAAAATTTCAAAAAGAGGCAGGTACCATTGGCTCACACCTATAATCCTAGCTACTCAGGAGGCTGAGATCCAAGGATTGAGGTTCAAAGACAGCCCACGCAGGAAAGTCCGTGAGATTCTTATCTCCAATTAGCCACCCAGAAAACTGAAAGTGGCACTGTGGGTCAAAGTGGTAGAACACTAGCCTTTTGCTGAAGAGCTCAGGGATAGCGCCCAGGCCCATGGTTCAAGCCCTAGGACTGGTACAACAAACCAAAACAAAACAACCCTGAAAGAACCAGAATTCAAGCCCCAGGACTGGTACAACATAACAAAGCAAAAAACGAAACAAAATAAAACTCAGTGGAGTGACCAGGTTGTTCTCTGTAAGACGGTGGAGCCAGCTGTCCATAGCAGGCCCAGGTGGTATCTGTCAGCCAGAGGCCCTGGGTCTGGACTGACCACTAGGCTCCTGGTCCATGCCCTCAGAGAAGGTGAGAGGCCGCACACTATGGAGTCTGGCTGGCAGTGAGCATCCTCCAGGCGGCAGGCGGTGCCAGGGTGAGGCAGGGCACTGGCTGTGACCAGGCCGCCTGACCTCGTCCACAAGGAGGAGGTCTCCAGACATCTGCCTGGCATTGCGGTAATCCCCTTCTCTTCCCGAGGAGCCACTGTGCCGCCTGCCCGGGGCCTAATCTTTAAAGTGGACACGAACCCTAAACCTCTACCTGGGGGAGGATTAGGATGCGTGGCTGGCGCTTTAGGAGATGGGGCTTAAATGTGCAATAAGGAAAGAAAACCTCCAAGACTTAATCCCATGCTGTCTGACCCAATTCCTCACGGCGACGGGAGGAGCGCCGAGCCTCTGTGGGACAGTCCAGCTTCTCACCAGCTGGAACAGGGTCCTGAGCCAGCTTTGCCGTCGGGCCGCACGGAGTGTCCCAGGACCTGTCACTGGCCCTCATGCGCTGCCTTCAAGCTCTCCTCTTAGTCACACACAGGGGCCCCCAGGCGGGCTCCACCTTTCTCTCCAGAGCCCCCAGATGGGATTGCCTCATGTTTTCAGGAATGGGCCTGGATGGTCTGTGCATTAAATCATGTTGAACCCCGTTCTGATTTCAGTTCCTCTTGATTATTCCCAAGGCATTCCCTCTGATCTTTTTTTCTCCCTTTTTCTGATTCTCTTGGGAGTATGGGTTTAAGAGCCACCCTTCCTTGCTGGACTCTGGGAAACTGTAACCCTCACTGTCCTGAGGAGAGAGGGTAAAGATGACCTTTGACCTAGGTCATTTTTGCAATGTGACTTTGTGCTTTAGACAGGCAGCATCCATCTCCCAGCCCTGAGTTCTGTATATACCAGCAGGATGTGGTCAGAGGGGCGAGTGTGACACAAAGTTTCCTGACGTGTCCAGCGTCCTCACCCTGCGTCCAGCGTCCTCCTCACCCTGCGTCCAGCGTCCTCACCCTGCGTCCAGCGTCCCCCTCACCCTGCGTCCAGCGTCCTCACCCTGCGTCCAGCGTCCTCACCCTGCGTCCAGCGTCCTCCTCACCCTGCGTCCAGCATCCCCCTCACCCTGCGTCCAGCGTCCTCACCCTGCGTCCAGCATCCCCCTCACCCTGCGTCCAGCGTCCTCACCCTGCGTCCAGCGTCCTCCTCACCCTGCGTCCAGCGTCCTCCTCACCCTGCGTCCAGCGTCCTCACCCTGCGTCCAGCGTCCTCCTCACCCTGCGTCCAGCGTCCTCACCCTGCGTCCAGCGTCCTCCTCACCCTGCGTCCAGCGTCCTCCTCACCCTGCGTCCAGCATCCCCCTCACCCTGCGTCCAGCGTCCTCACCCTGCGTCCAGCGTCCCCATCACCCTGCGTCCAGCATCCCCCTCACCCTGCGTCCAGCGTCCTCCTCACCCTGCGTCCAGCGTCCTCACCCTGCGTCCAGCGTCCTCACCCTGCGTCCAGCGTCCTCCTCACCCTGCGTCCAGCATCCCCCTCACCCTGCGTCCAGCGTCCTCACCTTGCGTCCAGCGTCCCCATCAGCCTGCGTCCAGCGTCCCCCTCACCCTGCGTCCAGCGTCCCCCTCACCCTGCGTCCAGCGTCCTCCTCACCCTGCGTCCAGCGTCCTCACCCTGCGTCCAGCGTCCTCACCCTGCGTCCAGCGTCCTCACCCTGCGTCCAGCGTCCCCCTCACCCTGCGTCCAGCGTCCCCCTCACCCTGCGTCCAGCGTCCCCCTCACCCTGCGTCCAGCGTCCTCACCCTGCGTCCAGCGTCCTCACCCTGCGTCCAGCGTCCCCCTCACCCTGCGTCCAGCGTCCCCCTCACCCTGCGTCCAGCGTCCCCCTCACCCTGCGTCCAGCGTCCCCCTCACCCTGCGTCCAGCGTCCCCCTCACCCTGCGTCCAGCGTCCCCCTCACCCTGCGTCCAGCGTCCCCCTCACCCTGCGTCCAGCGTCCTCCTCACCCTGCGTCCAGCGTCCTCACCCTGCGTCCAGCGTCCTCACCCTGCGTCCAGCGTCCCCCTCACCCTGCGTCCAGCGTCCTCCTCACCCTGCGTCCAGCGTCCTCACCCTGCGTCCAGCGTCCTCACCCTGCGTCCAGCGTCCTCCTCACCCTGCGTCCAGCGTCCTCCTCACCCTGCGTCCAGCGTCCCCCTCACCCTGCGTCCAGCGTCCCCCTCACCCTGCGTCCAGCGTCCTCCTCACCCTGCGTCCAGCGTCCCCACCCTGCGTCCAGCGTCCTCCTCACCCTGCGTCCAGCGTCCTCACCCTGCATCCAGCGTCCTCACCCTGCGTCCAGCGTCCTCACCCTGCGTCCAGCGTCCTCACCGTGTCCAGCGTCCTCACCCTGCGTCCAGCGTCCTCACCCTGCGTCCAGCGTCCTCACCCTGCGTCCAGCGTCCTCCTCACCCTGCGTCCAGCGTCCCCCTCACCCTGCGTCCAGCGTCCCCCTCACCCTGCGTCCAGCGTCCTCACCCTGCGTCCAGCGTCCTCACCGTGCGTCCAGCGTCCTCCTCACTCTGCGTCCAGCGTCCTCCTCACCCTGCGTCCAGCGTCCTCCTCACCCTGCGTCCAGAGTCCTCCTCACCCTGCGTCCAGCGTCCTCACCCTGCGTCCAGCGTCCCCCTCACCGTGCGTCCAGCGTCCTCCTCACCCTGCATCCAGCGTCCTCCTCACCCTGCGTGCAGAGTCCTCACCCTGCATCCAGAGTCCTCCTCACCGTGTGTCCAGTATCCTCCTTACCACTTGGTGCCGAGCAACCTCCTCAGTGCCCAGCTCCTCCTCACCCTGGTGCCAGCCAGCAGGATGCTGGGACTGGCCTGGGGAGTGAGAGCAACCCTAGGTCCCCTGAATGCGAGGTGCCTCAGATGGCCACAGCTGCGGGAAGGAGCCCATGGAATGACCTACCTAACCTAGTCTACAGCACACTGCTCTGACCCCGAGTGCTGAGCGGACAGGGTGGCCCTGATGTATACCACAGCACTCTGCACCGTGGCAAAGGCAACAAGGGGTCTGCAGTGCTTCTGGACAGCAGGACACTCTGCCTAAGCCAAAGGACTGGGCTTTGGCTTAATGTAGGCGCACACGGACCCGAGACTCAACATAGCCGCCATCAGACACATGTCTACTGCCACAGCTGCCTGGGCCTGCTGGGGCGGGGACACAAAACCCAGCGCACACCATGCCCTGTGAAGAAGGAAGCAGAGGTGGTTTGTCTTTATGTTCTGTAACACCATCAAACCCTTCTGTGGAGCTCCCACCTCTGCCCCTTAGCCTCAGATTTGGCCGAGGCCCTTCCCCTGGGAGCGGGGTGGGCCAGCAACTTGCTTCCAACCAGGGTTGGCCAGTGAGCACCGGGCTTCTCCAGCCGCTGGCTCTTATGAAGCTGGCCACAGGTGACAGGTCCCATGGAAAGGAATAAAGAAGAGACCGCTCTGCGCCCAGTCCACCCTGGCTGAGGCCTGGGCCTCAGCCCGAAGCAGAGCACCCATGTTAAGCCACACCTGGATTCTGACCCAAGTAACAGAGAAAATAAAGCTGGGATGGCTTAAGCTGCTCAATTGGGGGGAATTTGTTATGCAGCAATTGATAACTGATACACCTATCCGAGGAGGTCTCACCCATCCATGTTTTTCTAGGTAAATGGTGTGCTTGTAAGTTACAGAGAGTGGAACCCACAGCCATGGCGGGTGGCACTTCTGTGGATATTCTGAGAGAACACTCCCCACCCTCCCGCTTACGTGCCTGTGGGCACGTGGGTGGCACCGTACGTAGTGGACGGTGAGACAAGCCCTCCCAGGGCTTCCTGTGACATGTGAGCTGCACTGAATGGCTAGTGCCACGCTGGCCAGGCCTGTGCTGGTCAGGGGATGGTGTACCTGTGCCCAGCAGTGCTTCTGGGTGGGTCGAGGCCTCAACTGTCAGAGTGTGGAAGAGCTTCCAGAGGGAGCAGGGGTAGCCCCTCAGCTCAGGTCTGCTGCCTTGGCATCCCACCCACTTTACATGGCTGGTGAGAAAGACTCCGGATATCTGGGGAAGAAGAACAAGGGACATAAGACAACCACTGAGGGCAGGTAGTGTCATTCATCAAAACCTCCTCCCTGGGCCAGGCGCTTGTGGCTCAGGTCTATAACCCCAGCTACTCATGAGACTAAAATCTGAAGATCATGGTTCGAAGCCAGCCAGGACACATTAATCTGTTAGATTCTTTTTTCCAATTCACTAGCAGAAAGCTGGGACTGGAGGTGTGGCTCAAGTTGAAAAGCTCTAGGCCCTGAGTAGAAAAAGCTGAACAAGAGTGTGAAGCCAATACCAGAAAAAAAATAAAGATTAAAAACAAAAACAAAACTAAGCTTTTCACGTGCACAACAGACCTGGGCCTCTAACCCTAGTGAGGCGACACTCTTGGAACTGATAAATGTGACAGCACTGAGAGAGTCTAAGAACAGAGAGGCCTACTACTGCTCAGTCAGCCCAGCCCACAGCTGCCCTTTTTCAATCTCTGGCTGGAGAGGAAGGCCTATCTGTGTCTTGATAAACAATATTAAGCACGAAAGGCCCCACCTTCCCCTACTCTCCTCCTCTTTTTTGGTGCTGGTCCTGGGGCTTAAACTCAGGGCCTGGGCACTGTTCCTTAGCTTTTTTGCTTGAGGGGCTGAATTAGAGATAGGAGTCTCACAGATTTTCCTGCCTGGGCTGGTTTCAAACCAAGATCCTCAGAGCTCCTGAGTAGCTAGGATTACAGGTGTGAGCTGCTGATGCCTGGCCCTCCCTTCTTTTTACACCGGATCCATTTTGATGTAGGAACCACAAAGAGCTACCCATAAACAATTCAAGTGGCATGGTATGCACACTCTGCAGAGGCAAAAGTGCGGCTCAAGAGCAGAGGGCCCGAGGGGACAGGGGCCCAGTGCACCCCGACTGCCCAGGCTTCACGCAGTCTGTTTCCTCTGGTGGGTGCTAGGACCTATCTTGCCTCCCGAGGGCCTCTGGGCGCCACATCCACCACATCTATGTCATGCTGCAGGACAGCACAGCAGCCCAAAGTGTGGAGAGAAAGTGCAAGAAAGATAAAGGTGAGAGCCCAGCACTGTGTGTTTCTCAGACGCTGCCATAAGACAGAGCAGGCAGTGCTGTGCGCAGATTCCCTGGCCAGAGGTCTGCAACACTAGCTCAGTCAGAGGTGTGGCTGACAGTCAAACTCAGGGCCAGAGACGGGCAGCAGGAGGGAGACCATACAGGGTAATCCAAGGGACTGTCTCTGGAACCTTCCACGCTCACCAAACACATCACCACTAGGTATGGAAAAATTAGAGCTTAGTGAAGTTAAAACAAAAACAGACCAAGGCAGATGTGGTAGACAGAGCTATAATCCTGACACTTGGGAAGCTGAGGCAGAAGGACCACAGAGACCCTGTGCCAACCCCCACGACCCCCAAGAAACCCAAGGCAACTCCCAAAACCCTAGTGCTGCTCCCCACAAGATAGCTGTCACAGTGTGCCCATGGCTACCAGCCCTTAAACCGGAGCCTTCAGTGTGACCTGCACCGGTACGCACTGGGCAGGCAAGGGTAACCTGGTGCTGTCCGGGAAACGGACCTGTGAATGCAGTGGGCCTGCTCACCCTCAAAAGAAGACAGGAGTCTGCCTTGTGGGCCCCAGGTGACAGCGCAGGGAAGTAAGGTTTTTTCCCCCCTGTAGACCACGGGTCCTGAGTGCAGGCAGGCAGGAAGATGCACATTAGGCGAGGGTGAGAGGTGAAGCTCTGTAGCCTGTAGGGGCGCCCGTGCTGGACAGGGGTCTAGGACTCACCCGCATCTTGTTGTTGACCAGGTCAAGGACGGCATTGTAGGGGATCCTGTCCAGAGGCAGGGTGGTCAGCCACTCCTGCAGCATCTCCAACAGCTTCCTGATAGGAGGTCGGCCAGGGAACAGCTGCGTGAGGAAGGATACAGCCTAAGTGCTCCGCAGAGCACTCGTGCACCCCGGAACCCCAGGGGACCTCAGTGGGCTGTGGTCCAGGTGGCAGAGCACAAAGAACCCAATCTAAGACCCACACCAAGGGACTCCATTGAGAACTAAGAGGGGGCTGCTCTCAGAACCAGGGTTCCATGACGGGAGACCCAGGTGGTACAGGGTAGATGGCGACCACCACCCCATTCTCCAGCTTGCCCTCTGCATCTTGACCACCTATGCCTTTCCCTTTTTTTTTTTTTTTTTTTTTGCTAGCCCTGGAGCTTGAACTGTGGGCCTGCCTGAGCACTGTCCTTGAGCTTTTGTGCCCAAGGCTAGTGTTCTACCACTTGAGCCACAGTGCCACTTCCAGCTTTTTAGTGGTTAATTGGAGCTGAGAGTCATGGTCTTTCCTGACTGGGCTGGCTTCAAACTGTGATCTCCGCCTTTGGAGTAGCTAGGGTTACCGGCATGAACCACTGGCACCCCACCACCTCGCCTCTCTACCTGTTCACACACCGGGTGGCTACTTCAGGGTGGAAGACCCAGTCACAGAATGTGGCAGTATCCGACTGTCAAGGGCTGCTGGCCTTCTAAAGGCACTGATGCCCTGTGCAGCATTCCTGCTTAAGGAACTTGGAAGTAGTACATTTTAACACTAAAACAGTTCTTTTCCTAAACTGACCAGAAATGAATTTGTTTTCAGATACCTGGGTAAACTTTCAAATGGTCATTGATGGTCAGCTGTGATCTCAGGGTTCCATCACCTATGAGGCCCCCACCCTCTACCTTGGCCCTGGCTGACCGGAAGGAGAAAGGCCAGGAGGGAAGGAACACGGAGCCGCACGTCCTGGGGGAGGGGGAAGGCTGTACACACAGGGCACCAGTACGGAGCTGCAGCGAGGTCAGGCTAGGCAGGTAAGTGGGGCATTTTCTTAAACAAATGGGGCCCGCTTGCGCGGCCTCAACTCTGAATAGCACAATGGGTATAAAAGAAGTCTCTCTAAACAGTATTCGCTTCTGGGGCTGGGAAGATGGCTCAGTGGTAGAGCGTGTGCCTTGCATGCCTGAGGCCCTGGGTTCAATTCCTCAGCACCACATAAGCAAGAAGAAAAAAGCCGGAAGTGGCGCTGTGGTAGAGCGCTAGCCTTGAGCTGAAGAGCTGAGAGACAGCGCCCAGGCCCAGAGTTCAGGCCCCACGACCAGATGCAATAAATAAACAAACAAACAAACAAACAGTATTCACTTCTTTGTCTGAAATGTCATACAATGCATTGTTTATTTAAATATAAATTCAACTTCTTTTGCTTTCCTATATCCTACTGTAAGTAGCTATCCAAATAGCTAAACAGAAATGGTCCCCTGGGGTCCAGCCCTCTGGTTAGAGTAGTGCTCTACTCCTACCCCTGTGGAGCCGCCCTCCGGCCTGAGCTAGCTGGGGAGCCTGGAGCTGGTGGCAGTGGTGTTATACCTGTGCTCACTGCACAGACCTGGGCCCAGCAGCAGGGTCAGGGGAGGTGGCTTGGGGTGGGCTGTGCCAGAGTTCAGAGGGCATCAGGGCTGCAGTCAGGCTAAAGAGCTGCTGTGGTCAACAGCATGCAGGCCTGGGCTTTTGCTCAGGGACCAGGATGGCCTTCTTCCCTCATCTCTGCCAAAATAACATCTGGACCCAGAAGACAACACACGCTTGATTCTGAACCATGAGGCTACAAGTTCTTGGTGGGAGCCTAAGGCTGATACCACGTGCCTCAGTACCCAAGTAACCCTACATCAGGGACCCAGCCAAGCCGAGGTGTCCTGGCTGGCCCGGGGGGCGCTGTGTCAACAGCCGCCGTCCCCTGCAGGGCCCTGGCACCGTCCTGGCCCTCTGCCCCTGGGTCTGGGATCCCGCTCTTGGCGCTGTCTGAACCTTCCAGCACAGCACTCTGCTCAGCACCCTGGACCACTTGTCCGGCTCGGGCTGGCTGGGGAGTGCGTACCTTTGGCAAGCTGGTGGTATTTGGTCATCAAAGCCTGGTCAGGTCCCCCTTCACCCTCACCAAGGCTGGGCTCCACACCCCGTGCCTGGAAAGGATTTCCTCACACAGCTTCTGGAAGACTTCAGGCATCCTGGCCACCTCTCAGGTGCTCCTCCACAGCTTGACCTAGGCACTAGAGGACCCTGACTCCTCTCCCCTGGCAGCCTTAGCCTGGTTTGAGACACATTTTTGGTGGGGTAGTAGGAAGTGGTAAGCTCCCAGGACCTCTACAACGCCACATCCACACAAGCTACCCACTGTTTCTCAAGCCACCATGCAGCCCCCAGTTCAAAACACCTGAACCTCCCTGACCTGGGGTGTGAGGTCCGTGCCCTCCCCTCTCCAGGCAGCCAGAGTCCAGCCCTTTAAATACGCTCAGTGTGTCCCCAGCCTCTCGGCTCCAAATCTCTACCTGCCTCAGGCACACAGTAGGCATCCAGGAAACAGACTGAGGAATCACAATGCAGGAGGAAGCCACTGGAAGGAAGGTGGGATATCTACCCGAGGTGGGCTCCCTCCTACAGAGCCCCTGGCCACCCAGCTGTCCCGTACCTTGGCCACAATGGTCACAAAGTCTCTGAGGGTCTTCAGCTCCACTCCAGCCAGGGACCTGTGGCTGGCCAGCTCCACTCTCAGTAGATAGTGCAGCCCGGATTCCAGGTCTGCCATGTACAGCTTGGCCCTGAGATGGACAACGGGAAAGTCAGATCTGTAAACCCCCTGTGCCAGGGGAGTCTGAGTGTCCTTCCCGGCAGGCACCGCCCCCGGGCACCCCCACCCCCACCCCCGTCCTGTCCCAAGCGCATACGTGCCTGTCAAATTCTCTCCAAACTACCACCTCTGAGTGTCCTTCTGTGCTTGGTTTTTCAGGCAAGGAAAGAGATCTTTTCTTCACACCTGGCAATGACTTCAAATAAGAGGAGAAAAACGACCGAAGAGGCTTTGCTCTGCAAGAAAGGAGGTGGAGGTGTCCGCACACACCAGAAGCTGCCCTGGGCTGTCCCCCCTGGGGCCGTGAGAGACCACAACTATGAGGTCATCCCTACACCGTGGTTAGGGCTGTGTACTGGCACACGTGTATGTGGCACGTGGCACCGGTACTGGGGCTTCAACTCAGGGCCTCGTGCTTTCCTTGTTCAGCCTTTTCACCCTGAGCTAGTCTTCTACCAGCTTTTTTGCTGGCTAAGTGGAGCTAGTCTCATATAATGTTCTGCCCAGGCTGTCTTCAAATCATGATCCTCAGCTCGCAGTCTCCAGAGTAGCTAGGGTTACAGGTGTGAGACACCAGCTAGCCCATGATTATGGATGTACTCCCCATTTGCAAGACAGCGGTATTCCCTCGGGGCTCATGTCAGATAGACAAAGGGGCCAGAGGCAGCAGTGGACGGTGGCCATGGCTGGATTCAAGGGCTGTCCTCCCGCTTGAGAAGAACAAGAATCCACAGATCACTGACGAGTTACAGAGGCATAAGAAGATTCATGGGCGCTTGGCGGGATCTTAAGACATGGGTAAAGCTGGTCTGAGCATCTGCTAAGATCAGCTTTATCCCAACTGTGATCTCAACGTGCCTAAGAGCCTTGGCCGACATGCCTACAATCTGCCAGCTGAGCAGGCATCTGGAAGCCAGGCCTGGGGGTGGCACCTCTTGGCTCTCTGCAGGGTTCTGGGGAGGGTACCACTTGCAGCATGGAGCCCTGGCAAGCAGGTGCAGCTCCCCATTTCCACTGAGGCCGCAGCAGGGCCGCACCAACAGCAGCTGTGGAAACAGACAAGCTCCCGCCTCCTCAGCAGCTGTGGAGACAAGCTCCCGCCTCCTCAGCTGCCCTCAACTTCTTTTTTGGTAGTACTGGACTGGGGTTTGAACTCAAGCTAGGCAGGTACACCACCCCTTGAGCCATGCGCCCAGCCCTTTCTGCTTTCACCGTTTTCTAACAGGAACTGACATTTTGTCTAGGACTGGTCTTGATTTTTCCAGCTCTCCCCTCCCCTCTGAGGAGCTGGCCTTGACTACTGCTTTTTCCATAAGGAACTATGCTGGATCCTCATTGTCCTGTAAACCTTTGAAGGTGCTGGGGAAAAGCCCCTGTGGCAGGAACCCTGCGCGATGCCTGAGGTGTACCCTGGCTCTGGGATGACCTGGATGTGGGAATCCAGTATTCTTACCCACTGCACTCCCGCTGGAGGTCTGTTGACGACCAGGGGTCTTCACGCTAGAGGCCAGGGGCAAAGACAGCCCCGGGCAGGGCAGGCAGAGCAGGCCTCATCCTGCCCTCCCACAGAAGGAGCAGCCAGGAGGCCACAGGCTCCCCTGAGGCAGCGGGGCCTCACCAAGCTTCCCCATCTGCTTGCTTGCAGGTTCATTCATGCTCATGGCATTGTCCTATGGGGCTAGAGGCACTACACTGGGTGGTGGGTGGGGAGGGGGGGCGCCAAGGGGGAGAGACGGGACGACTGGGCACATGAGGGCTTCTGTCTCCTGGAGGAGAGAACCCTGGGCCTCACCCGGCTCTCATTAGCACTCTTAGGTAAAGCACTGCCCGTGAGGTGTGAGTCAACACACTGTACACTTCTCCTGAGGCAGCGCCTACCCTGCCTCTCATTTTAGAGCAGGCATCCATGCTCACAGCCGATGGACAGACAGAGCAGCCAGGAGCCAGGATTCAGAAAAGAGACATCTTCCTGGATTTGGGTTTGTTTAGAAACTCATGAAAATGCAACCCAGACAATGAATTCCAGGAGCCTGGCCAGGACAAGTACAGGGAACGTGGTCAGGTCCAGGGCTTCCTCAGATTTTGGTCCCTGGACTTAGCCTGCTTTCCAAGGGGCACAGATTTCCTCAGATCCCACCAAACATAGCAAATATTTCATAGGACTTTCTTATTGTTGTTGTTGGCTGTGGGGCTTCAACTGTCCATGAGCTTTTCTGCTCAAGACTAGGACTCTACCACTTTGAGCCACAGCACCACTTCTGGTGGGTAATTGGAGATAAGAGTTTCACAGACTTTCCTGCCTGGGTTGGCTTTGAACTGCGATCCTCCGATTTCAGCCTCCTCAGTAGCTAGAATTATAGGCCTGAGTCACTATCATCCAGCCGTCTATGAGACTCTTATCGCCAATTAATCACAAAAAAACCCAACAACAAACCCCTCCCCCCCAAAAAAAAACAGAAGTGGAGTTGGGGCTTAAGTGGCAAAGCACTAACCTTGAACACAAAAGCTCAGGAACAATACCCAGGCCCCAAGTTCAAGTCCCAGGACTGGCATACACAAAAAATATTCCTTAAGCCAAACTAGTGCTTACACATTAATTACTCCTTGAGATCCATTTGGGTAAATCAAGTAACAGGAAGGAACTGAAGAAACACCCAGTGACTGCAGAAACACCTTGTCCCCATCCAGTGCCCTGCTCACCATGATGTTTTCATATGGGATCAAGTCCAGGGTCACCTGGAAGAGGAAAAGACCATGTCACCCTCACCGGGAAGACGTCCACCTCACAGACAAGGCTGTGATGAAAGGCACTGGGCATCAGGTGATGCGCTCTGCCAGGGGCACTGTCCACGTGAACCTCGTGGCGCAGCAGCACGGCCTTCCTGCCTGTGGGCTGCTGGTGCATGACGTGCAGTTTTGTCCCAGTGGGTAACGAGTGCCACAGCACCACAGTCATGGAGGTGAGTAGGCGCCACCCATCACTCAGCCTTCACCTTGCCAAGTGAGGCCAGAGTCTGCACTATCTTTTATTTTATTTTACTTATTTATTTTTTTGGTCTGGTCGTGGGGCCTGAACTCTGGGCCTGGGCGCTGTCCCTCAGCTCTTCAGCTCAAGGCTAGCGCTCTACCACTTGAGCCACAGCGCCACTTCCGGCTTTTTTCTTTTTGCTTATGTGGTGCTGAGGAATCGAACCTAGGGCCTCAGGCATGCAAGGCAAGCGCTCTACCACTGAGCCACCTTCCCAGCCCCTGTACTATCATTTTATTAGTCAATTTTACACCACTCAAGGGTTGCACACCCATGGGCAGAAACTACAAGGTCACTTAGCAAGTTTCCAGACCAAAGATGACAGAACTGAAATTTTGCTTTACCTTTAAAGCCAGCACATCTCCTACAAAGTTTACACTGATTAAGTAGCACCTTCACCACCTATCAGCTATACCCTGACAGCCACGTGTGCTCTCCCACCAAGTTGGGTGGCATGTACCCTCACTGCCGGGCTGTCTCCAAAAGCAACACAGCTGTCAGTCCAGCTGGGACCCAGGTGGCCTCGGGCCACATTGAGCCAAGTAACTGGTGCCCATCCAGCTCTGCTCAGGCTGCAGGCACGGCAGCGGGTCTCCATGGCACAGGGGTCTCAGGAGTGGCATCTTTATTTTTTGTTGGTCATGGGGCTTGAACTCAGAGCCTAGATGCTGACCCTGAGCTCTTCTGACTCAAGGATAGTGCTCTACCACTTTGAGCTACAGCACTACTTCTGATGATTAACTGGAGATAAAAGTCTCATGGACTTTCTTGCCCAGGCTGGCTTTCAACCACAGATCTCAGATCTCAGCCTCGTGAGTAGTTAGGATGACAGACGTGAGCCACCGGTGCCTGGTCATGATTTTATTTATACTTGGTAAAATCAGAGGCTTCAGAACCACAGAATGTCTCACAGAAGAAACAAAGATCGGCAGAATCCTGCAGGTGGCAAATAAGTCGAGTCCAGCGTCCAGCCAAGAGAAGAGCTTGGTGACAGTGCAGAGGGAGAAAAAAAATGGCCTGAAGGGAAGGGGCAGCCAGGGCCTACCCTCAAACACTACACTTTCATTGTTGTTTCTCTTGCAGCACTGGGGTTTAACTTTCGAGCCTTGTGTTTCGCAGGAAGGTTCTCTACCACTGAAGCCACACCATCGGCCCTCAAAGCCTCATTCCAGTAAACTGGCTGAAAATATAACCTAGGATCCTGGTAACTGACGAGAACTTGAGAGGAACACAAGCAATGATGCTCGGTGATTCTTACTGCCCACGAACCTGACTTGCCCTAAGCCCAGGAACAGCCCAGCCCTGAGCCCATGTCCATACAGTACCTCTCGTCCAACATAGGAGCCGTTGCTTTCAAACATGATGGCCACATATCGGCCACCGTGGCTGTCCAAGAGGGACGGGACATCACTGGGCCTTTCAGGAAAGAGAAAGAAAAGAAAGGATTTCAATGTCCCTGACCATAGCAGGCTGTCACCACACACTGATGCCCATGTCACTCACAACTTTTTACATTTTTGGTGCTGGGAGTAAAGAGGGCCTGCTGGCTGAGTGGCGCTACACCCCAGCCCCCATGCCTCCTCTGTAATGGAGCTACTCACTGAATTGGGTCAAGAGGTGGGCAGGCGGGAGGCCGGGTGCCTTCTGTGTGGTTCTGCAGGAAGTCAATCATCGTGTGTCTGACTGTCTGCAGCTCCCTGTCATGTCCTGCAGAAGCAAGCCTTGATCACAGCTTTGTCTGTGCACGTCTGCCCACCCCAGAGCCGAGGCCAGCACAGTGGGCAGCAGCACCACTCACAGTAACCCTGGCAAGTATCCCTACGCAGATGGGCAGGGCATGGGTTGGACAGTGCGGATTCACCATGCAGCTGCAACAGGTCAAGTTTATGAGGATACGGCTCCTGTGATGAGTCTCACAAACACGACTGCTAACACAGGCAGATTAGACTCCAGATGCCAGGCACGGCAGGTGTCTCCCAGATGATGCCCCATGGGGCCGGGCACTCCGGGCTTTCATGTGGGTGCTACTCACCCGTTAAGAACCCGATAGCTAGCTGGGCACTGGTGGCTCACACCTGTAATCCTAGCTACTCAGGAGGCTGAGATCTGAGGATCATGGCTCAAAGCCAACCAGGGCAGGAAAGTCTGTGAAACTCTTTATCTCCAATGAACCACCAGAAAACTGGAAGTGGCGCTGTAACTCAAGTGGCAAAGTGCTTGCCTTGAGCTGAGGAGCTAAGGGACAGGACCCAGGCCCCATGACCGACCCCCCCCCCAAAAAAAAGTAGTTAAAAATGTACTGCTGCATTTTCCAAGAAAGGCCAAACACAAAAGCAATTCTCATCAACACTGTTAAGGTTGAATTCCTCACAGAAAGGCTGACAGCTTGTGCTGCTTGCTGATGGTGAGTGGAAGGGCCCTTCTAACTAACACGTTTATGAGCCCAACCACAAGAGTCTAACGGAATGCATGGTCCTTACCTTTAAAACTTTCTCCAGTTGTAAAATCCTTTGTAAAAGCTTTAAAGTACTGGAGGGAGGAAAAAGCACACACAACAAATAAGAAATGGCCTTGGAATGGAGAGCTGTGCATACATTGAATACTTAACAAGGCGAGAGCCCTCTTTCCCAGGGCTCATGTCAAGTCCCTCTGCACCCCAGTGTTCCCCAGTGAGCAAGGCTAAACTTCATCAGAGTTCTGTTTCGTACATTTCTAACCCAACAGGACTAGAAGCCAAACACGACAGGGCTGAATCATAAAAGACAACACGTTCCTCGATTCTTGGTATCAAATATGAGGCCAAATGGGCAGCCACGACAACACAGAATTTATAGGGAGAATGAGTCACCTACTAGCACTTCTAAGAAGATGAAAAGGATCCAGACTAAATTAAGGACCTTCTTCACCAAAGGACTTCTGTACACTGGTAAGTGAAGTACAAATGGCCAAGACAAGCACCGGCAAATGGCACAAGCATGCGTCTGAAAACAGAGACCCATATGGCCACAAAGACATGCTGGCCACAAGTCACCAGGGAAATACAGATGACCCACAGTGCGCCTCGTGCTGCACCTATCCCGCAGGTAGACATGAGACACTCTGGGACAGGCCAGCCCACTGGGTCTGTCCTCCACATCCCTGGGTCCCCTGGCCCAGCTACTGCTTCCCAGGCCATCACAGGGAGCCTGTCCCAGGTGCAAAGCGCTCACAGCAGTGCTGTTCAAGGTGGCGAAAGCCAGGGAGAAATAAGTGTATTGTCAAAGCTCATAGAATTCACAAACATTATGGAGCATGATGATGACAATTTGCCTTGTGAAGGTTATAATGTGTGTTTGTGACTTTAAGTATCACTATCTCACAATACTGTGAAATTTATGTAATTAATAAAATCTCACCTAATCTCAATAAAAATTATTAAAAAAAAAAAAAAGAGTCCAACACCCCGCAGCAGGGTCACCACACAATAGGGGCGAATGAGCAGACAAATCCAACGGTCCACAGAACACCCAAAACCAGGAGTTAGTCTTGGAAAAATCATAGTTAAGTGGAAGAAGGAAAGCTCAGTAGTTTGCAACCAGCACGATATGACCTGAAGTTAAAAGCAAAATAAAACAGGAAGCAGCCCAGGCCTGCCAGGTCAGTGAGCATGGGCCTGCACGGTGCAGCAGGCTGGATACAGGGTGAGAGCGCCCAGACCGTACACATGGGGTTGGGATTCTACCAGCACACTTCATGGCACAGCAAGGAACTGCAAGGGCTTCAGGATCTGGGGCATAAGGCACTGCATGCTTCGGAGGTGCCTACATCACAGAGATGTGTTTGTGTGCAAGCTCTGTGGCTATACATCCCTGCACAGGGAGGGGTGACATGCAGTGGACCTTCAAAGGGGTCACAGGTTATACCTCTGCCCCCTAGTGGAAGAAACAGGTACTGCTACACTGGGCTGACTTGCAGACCCAGGATTCAACCGACCCCTCATCCCAGGTGCAGGTTGTGGGGAGCAGGGACTCTGTGTCCAAGTGGGGACAGTGTACTTCACGGATGGACAGACCCACCTCCATCACAGGCCTCTGGGACTAAGTAAGTCACTCAGACTTCTGTGACCCAGGAGGTGACCTGCTGAGAACATAAATAAATTTCTACCATGCTTCACGAAAGCCAGAAACATGGACAGTGTCAGCGCTACAAATGCGGTCATTCAGCTTTTCACACTCCCTGTGGCGTCGGGCCACCCCAGCTCACAGCGCTGCGGCTTACCCTGAAGGTGGGGTAGAAGTGGATGTCGTAGGCTCGGCACACTTCCTGGTTCTTGTCTTCTGCACAATCCAGAGCTGCGACTCGGATGGCAGCGGCCCAGTCTGCAAGGCGGGAGAGACCGTCAGTGGGGCAGCCACACTCCAGCTCCCCCGAGGGCCCAACCGCAAGCTCCCCTACCCTCGGTGGCATCCGCTGCCTTAATGAACTGGGCCACATGCTCCACACTGGCATTGCAGCACTCTGGGCCAGGATGGAAGAGTAACATTTCAGTCAAAGCTCAATGTATGTGCCAGTACCATGGTTTGAACTCAGGACTTCAAGCTTGTGCCTGCTGTTGGTTTGCTTGGCTGGAACTCTACCATGTGACCCACACCTCCAACCTAGCTTTATGCTGATTATTTTGGAGATGGAGTCTAGTGAACTTCCTACTTGGTCTGGCTTTGAATCTCCATCCTTTGCATTTCTCTGTCTTCTGAGTAGCTCAGATTACAGGCATAAGCCACCAGCACCTGGCCAGATGGGTCTTCTACCGCTGATAACAGAGCAAGCTGATTTCTGACGTGCTTGCAAATCACTCAGCAGTGTACCTTGCTGCAGTCTTCTAATTAGACAGTCTGATGGTTTGGAAATGCAGAGGGCACAGTGGCTGTCAGCAGCCAGTGGCCAGCTGTTCACAGGGACACCAAGCAGCATTTGCAGAGGGGTCAGATGGGCTAGGACACTTCCAATGGAGCAGGTGGCTCCACTGTGTGTGACTGTGGTCTTTCAGGTCTGGACAGTGACCGCACTGGACTGTTAGCATAGTTCAGTCCCCATCCCAGGTGCTCCCGCGGGCCCAGGGATGCTTCTGCCGCAGCGGTAAAGCAGCAGCACACAGCACTTCCTTCTATCTTTAAAGTTTTGTTTTTTAAAAGTATTTTTATGCCAATACCAGTGCACTCCCTTAGCTTTTTCACTCATAGCCAGCACTTTACCAACTGAGCCATGCCTCTAGTCCAGCTTTTTTGCTGGTTATCTGGGGATGGAGTTTTGCAAATATTCTTGTCTTGGATGGCTTTGAACCATGATCCTCAGATCTTGGACTCTCAAGCAGCTAGAATAACAGGTGTAAGTTTTTCTGCCCTCAATGGTTTTGGACAATGATCTTCAGATATCAGCGTCCTGAGGAGGTAGGACTATAGGTGTGAACCACTGGTGTCTGGCTTAAAATTTTTATTATATAGAATTTCTAACATGTAAGCAACACAACCAAATCCCTCCCTCCTAGAAACATCCAGAAGATCTCAGATACCCACATCTACCGGATTCACCTCTAAATGCAAGGGCTCCTTATGAACACATGGCCACTGCCACAGCAAATCACACTCATTCCTTTAAGCCAGGACCCCAGTGTTGCCGACCTGATGGAGGGAGGCCGTGCTGTGACTGCCCGCACCTTGCAGAGGACCACACACCTGGGCCGCACCTTCTCTGCTCTCCATAAATGTGCATGGGGCTAGGTTCCTGTGTTGTGGTCTATTTCCACAGACTCTTCAACATCTAGCTCAGACAGTCTTTTTTTCTTTCTTTCTTTTTTTTTTTGGGTCCAGTCGTGGGGCCTGAACTCTGGGCCTGGGCACTGTCCCTCAGCTCTTCAGCTCAAGGCTAGCGCTCTACCACTTGAGCCACAACGCCACTTCCGGCTTTTTTCATTTTGCTTATGTGGTGCTGAGGAATCGAACCCAGGGCCTCATGCATGCAAGGCAAGCGCTCCACGACTGAGCCACCTTCCCAGCCCTCTCAGACAGTCTTCTAAGGAAGTTTTCTCTGAATGCTAGTCATGGTGGTTGGACAGGCAAAAAACCCACGATGGCAGGTGGGAGGTCACAATTCATTCTTCCTCTTAAAAGACCATACTTGCTTACAATACATACCTTCCTTTTTTTTTTTTTTTTTTTGTTGTTGGTCGTGGGGCTTGAACTCTGGGCCTGGGCACTGTCCCTGAGCTCTTCAGCTCAAGGCAAGCACTCTACCACTTGAGCCACAGCGCCACTTCCAGTTTTCGGAGTCATACCTTCCTCTTTAACTAAGGGTAAACAAGAAAGCTCTTACCAGTGACCAAACACTGTTCCCACTTATGTGGGCTACGTGAAACCAACTGGTGTGCCAAGGCCACTTTAAATGCATGGGGGAAAAAAATCACAGTGACCCCTGGATCACCCGTCCCATAGTCCCAGGGTCTCAAGTTACACAGAACTGAGGAAGGACAGTTAATACTCTCATCCAGTTAGCGGCAGATGGCAGAGAACACAGAAACAGAACGCACCTAAGCCACGTGACTGCACGAGGGGGCACCGAGTCTGGGCAGCACTGTGGGTGGGCCCCTTTCCCACGCCCACCACCCTACCCGGGCGGCAGTCCCCACGGCTCATTCTGAGCACCAGGAATTTCCACATTCTCCTCCTATACTGTCTTGGTTCTGTTTACTGGAAACTTGCAGACCCGAAGCTGACCCCAAACCTCTTCACTGGCCTGAGAAAGCTGCACATGCACCTCTTTCTTGTCCTGGAGGCCTGTCAGCAGCCCTGCCGCGATGGAACGCTGACCCTGCCACCTCCCCGCTGCACGAGGGTGGGCAAGCCGCCGGCCTATCTGTCCCCATTTCCCCCACTGGTTTGTGGTGGCATCGGCACAGAGACCAGCTCTCCCTGTTCTCTGGCTTCCCATCTGTCAGGAACAGGGTGCTCTTGCCAGGCCCCACCCAGGCCACAGGGAACCTCCCAGGTCCTCTGGGCCAGCCCTGCCTGTTTCCCCAGCTCACTGTAAATCTTAAGACGCCATACCAGGTCTCCCTCACCGCCTGTGCCAACCCAGTCTCTTCCCACCAGCTACCCTGTTTCTCCTCATCCTCGTGCCTCTAGAGGAGGGAGACCTCGCTGTTTCACACGTCAATATGGCTGTGAGAACTGGGACGGCACCCACAGGCCACCTGCAAGCGCAAACACGCTGGCAGAGAGGAAAGTCCAGTTCCACCGGAGGTGAGCCCAGCTGCCTGCTTCACGAGAGTCCAGGGACGCAACAAGTCCCCTGCAGAGCCACCCCGGGATAAATGGCTCGCATCCAGCAGGGGCGTCCCAGGGAAGGGGCGTGCTGGGCCTCCCGAGGCCTTTGTCTGAAAGCCAGCCGCGCCTGTGCATTGGGAGGGCTGCAGCAGACGGGAGGCTGTCAGTTACTCGGGCTGCAGTCACTGAAGAAGCCAGTCGTGAGACCCGGCAGATGGATGGTATTCATGGCACACAAAAGACACACTGCCTATTTTGCCACACAAAATGCAGGACACTGAAAAGGGCTGGCTTCAGGGGCTTAGACCTCTTTCAACCAGACCTTTCTCCTCGGCCCCTCCCACCTGTCAGGCTGCGCAGGGCGAAGCTCTGAAACAGAAAGCAAATTGCTCGCTTTCACTGCCTGGGGAGGAGGGGGGTTCCCCTAAACAGTGGTGCCAAAGGGTGCCAGCTGGGAGTCAGGAAGTCCTCCCTGGCGGCCTGGCTGGGCTTCAAAGGGAGCAGGGGGACCCAACTGCCCGTGACCTCTCACTTCCCCCCGTGACCTCTCACTTCTGGCTCAAGAGCTGGACCACTCTGGCACTACAGGCTTAGAAGTACTTGAGAAATAATAATTAGGCTCTGAACACAGTGAGTGACCTACAAGTTATTTTTCAATTTATTTGCCAAGTAATTACATTGCTGAACCTAATAGGATTAAGCCTTTACCATCTACCTGTCATATTCTAAAGACCAAGTCTGGAAGTCTGATACAAGGTTAAGCATCAATCAGTTCCAGAAGAAGGCCACAGTGAAGATAAATCCACCTCCTGTAGTTTAACTGTAACTCGGGGGCCCTACCTGAAGAACTATATACTCCATTGTGGCTCTTACCCTCAAGAAGAATTTGGTAAATGTCAGCATCACCAGTTCCTCATCTCAGGTCCTGAGAGCATTTCCTCTGTGTGCAGGCCATTCCCAGCAGGACAATGGTCCTCGAGGATCAGCTCCAAGTTCCGGCACAAGGGTGCTCGCAGGAACAAAGCCACGTGTCCACAAGCAGGGCCCAGCACACAGCGCCTGCCAGTTGCCCAAGGCTGGGATGGCAATCTCGATGCTCTGTTCCCACCCCAAGAAATGGGCCTGGGTCTCAATGGTCTCCACTTTCAGTATTTGGTTCAGTTAACCAAAACCAGATGAGGCCGTCCAAGTTCAAGAGTGCTTAATGATGATGTTAATGCTGTCTTAGTTAAATGTTGATGCATCTCACAGGGGACAAGAAAGCAAGCTCTGAGGAGCTGGCCTGGTGCCCAACAGAGCCCTAAGGCCACACTTGCTGTGCAGGTTGACCGTCTTCTGCACAGTCTAGAAGGCCTTGCTTATCAAAACATCCCTGCGTGACAAGAGGAGCAGACGTGGCCTCAGTCTGCTGCCTCCTCAGGAAGGCCCCTCCCTGAGGCCAGCTGGCACTCAGCCTCAGGCAACTGTGAAATAGCCACATGGCCCTGACAGCATGGGCTGTGCTGGGCATTTCTGGGCCCACAGGAGTTCCTGGCTCTACCTGTCCGTCCAGCCTGTCTCACCTGCTCCAGAGTCCAGGTGAGCACCGGCAGGCCCCAGGGCATGAGTTCTGTAGCACCCACACTCACCGCCTGCCTCCTAGATCCTGCTCTACACCCCCTCCAGCAAACAAGTAACAGGCCCTGCGGGAGCTCCAAGTAGTCTAATTTCTAAGAAGCCACTGTTCTCGGCACACAGGAAGGCCATGACACTGACCACAGTGATGGGCAGATTGTTCCGGACCCACGGCAGTGTGGCCTGCGCCCATCTTCCTGTCTAGCACTTTCTACCCACGCCTCCCACTGTCCTCCAGGGACACAGAGCCACTGTAAGTGGACGGGACTGGAACGTGAGAGTGTTGCCCCTCTGGCAGGATAGCTCTAAAAGCCGTCTGGGCTATGTGCTGCCCACCGAGCTCCTCATTGACCGGTCTGTCTTGCCTCCCCCGGTGCCCCGCTCTCCCACGAGTGAGGAGAGAAGGGAGGCGAGGTCCAAGCCCCAGAAGATACACACTCACCTTCAGTGCCTGCACCCATCCTCTCCGGTCTCTGCAGAGAGCTTCTGGTGCCAAGAGGTCAAGCACAAGCATCAGAGAGAGCTGCCATGACCACCCGGTCCGAGGAAAACAAGTACAAGCATCAGAGTGTGCCACCATGAGAGCCCAGTCCAAACCACTTCCAGCAACAGAGCCTGTTTTGTTCTACAGTTCTTACAAGTGACAGGCCTTCACCGGGTCCACATAAATACTGGATTGGCCCTTGGCACCATCAAACAATAGATCTTTTTAATGCTAAGCCATCTTCTAAAAAGAAAAATAATTATTTCCTCAAACTTGAAAAGGCCAGTGAAGAGCTACAGAATGTTCACTCTAGATCTCTGAGAGAGCAGAGGTAACCTACGCTATGAGAAGGTGTTGGCCGGGCGTCAGTGGCTCACGCCTGTAATCCAGCTACTCAGGAGGCTGAGATCTGAGGATCATGGTTCAAAGCCAGCCCGGGCAGGAAACTCCCTGAGACTCTTATCTCCAATAAACCACTAGAAAACCGGAAGTGGCGCTGTGGCTCAAGTGGTAGAGCGTTGGCCTTGAGCTGAAGAGCTGAGGGACAGCGCCCAAGCCCAGAGTTCAAGGCCCATGACTGACAAAAAAAAAAGGAAAAGAAGAAAGAAGAAGGTGTTGGGCTGGGGTTGGCCCACCCTCTGCAGGCCACCCCTCCCCACTCTGTTCCCTCCAGTTAGATGATGGGGAGGAGTAGGTAGGCACAGATCCTCTGCTCACTCAGACCCCTCGGAAGGCAACCTCCTTCTGGGGAGCAGTCAGCCCTAGACATGGCAGGATGGGGGAGAGGGAGTCACAGGTGCTGTTCACACTGCACACAAACTGAACCCTGTCACCAAGGGTGGTGGGCACCCCTCCCTGCTGGGCGGTTCCGGAGGGGCAAGAGCACGGCACCAGGCATGAAGTGGGCAGGAGGATGGTGCCACTGTGGTCCAGTCTACAGAGAGGTACACAAAGGGTTCCAAGGACAATCAATCTCCTAGGAGGCAAAGGGCAAGAGGCGATGGCCTTTCACTATGAAAGTCTCCAAAAGCAAGACTCCCGTGTGGATGACATCACAGTAGAGGGGGCATGCCATGCCCTCCAGTGCCTTTGGAGTGACTCTTGATTCAGTGATCTCCAACCTGAGGCTTAGGCTGACAGGAGCCAGGCTCTACCCTGCAGGCCTAGGCAAGGGCCGGCCAGGTACATTTCTACCACATCCCCAGCCCTAGAATCCTGGGGCTCTAATGGGGCTGTCCTCTCAGTGCTAAGGGCTACATCCTCATTCACGCAGCCTTGCCACCAGGTTAGTTCTGGGCACGTTGTGGCTGGGTAGCCCAGACCACCCTCCTCGCACCGCGCCTGTCTGTCACATCAGACCACAGGGTCTCACTTTCAGCCACCTTTAGATTCAGTCTCAGGCCCCACCATCTGGTCTTGACTTGGCAGATGTCAGCCCATTTAAGGAATCTTCCTTTAGTTAAGTTAAGGACCTAGTTAAGCACTAGGTCCTTAGGAGTTTTTACTGTCTCATTTCAGATGTGACCGGCCAACTTTCAGACTTCTCTAAAGGCTGGTACACACAGACCAGCTTGAAACTGGGTTATGACTTTTACTTTTCAGACACTAAACTGAAGCCAAAACCAGGACAACAAATATAGTGATCAAAGTCCTGCCAGGATTACCTACAGCTTTGTTTTCATATCTGTGTTTCTCCTCGTGAACAACAGTAAGAACAGAAAAATGCTTATATTGTTATTACTGAATCTTTTTTTTTTTTTTTTCCAAAAAAGGGTAGGGACAGTAGGGGGATCTTGGAGTGTGGCTCAAGTGGAAGATAGCGTGTCTAGCAAATCGAGGCCCTGAGTTCAAAGGATAAACAGAAAGCAAACCTACTAGCAATTTTGTCCCTTCCCGCTTCTGGCCTCATTTCTACGTAGTGCTCACCAAGGACCTAAGAAAACTTAAGCTCCAAAATATATATTAGAATCGGCAGGCATTTGTGATTCCATAACTCGGTAGGCTAAGGTAGGAGATGAGGATTGAGAGTTCAGGACCAGCCAGCTACAGCCACACAGCAAGACTCTACAACAATAACACATCAGTGCACTGGACACGAAGAGGACACGTTTTAAAGAGTCGGTCACTTGCAACTGCACACTTGGAAAGAAGTTTCTTTGTAAATACGAGTAAGAAAACAACAACAACAACACACCCGCGTTGGGCAAAAAAGGCCTAAAAAACCAAGGTGCTGAAGGAGGAGTAACAATTTGCTGCAGCTCCTGCCCAGTGAGATCTGTAACGAGAGGGTTGCCGGACAGTGGCGAGCGGACGGCCAACCCGCAGCCGCGCGGGGAGAAGCTCCGCACAGCTCCTGCAGTCCGCTTTCCCTCGCACGCACGGGGCCCCGCGTTCGATTCCCCAGCACCACCCAAGCACAAGCGGCGCCGTGCTCCAGGGGGGAGCGCTCGCCTCGCGCGGCGGGGCGGAGGGCCCGCGGCCGACCACCGCAGCCACACCACCCGGCTCTCCCGGGAGCGGCGGGCGGCGTCTCCGGGGGCGCCACCGGTACCGCGCGACCCCGCGCGCGGCCCCGGGCTCCCGGCCGCCCCGCGGCGGCTTCCGGGCCGGGGTCTCCCTCGGGGGGCGCGGGGGTCCCCGGGCCCGGCCCCCCGCGGGCGCCCTCACCTCGCACGTCCGCGGCCAGCGCCCGCCAGGTGGGCGCGTAGCCGATGCAGTGGCCGCACCACGAGGAGTAGAACTGCAGCAGCCACGCGGCCGAGCTGTTGGCCGTGGCGCCGCGCACGCTGCCGCTGTCCAGCACCCACACGGCGTCCTCGCCCGCGTGGTACAGCCGCGCCGCGCCGCCCGGGCCCGGCCCCGCCACCGCCGCCAGCAGCACCAACACTCGCGGCAGCGGCGCGGCCCGAGGCGGGGCCGGGCGCCGCGCTCCGGCTCCCGGGCGGCGCGCCGCTGCCCCGGCCGCCGCCATGTTGGGAGTGGCGCCGGCGCGCCGACCTTTCACCCTGGCAACCGCCCTCACGTGGCCGCGCGCGCAGGCTCCGCCCCATGATCCGGCCCCGCCCCGTGCGCTCGCTCTCCGCGCTCCTGATCACGCTCGGCTCCGCCCCGCTCTCCCCCCACCCCGCCCCCTGCGCTCGCCCCCGCGCCCCGGGCGTGACGTCCAGGCCCCGCCCCTGGGCACGTCCCCGCGCCCCGGGCGTGACGTCCAGGCCCCGCCCCTCGCCCCAGCCCCGCCCCCTGCGCTCGCAGCCTGGGGAGGGGGGCGCGGCTCGCGCGGCCCAGGCTGCAGGTGTTTTGTAAACTGCGAACCGGACGCAGTTGGAAAGGATGCACCGAAGCCCACGTCGCTGTTGGCAGGGCTTGGGAAGCTGCCACTCAGGAGCCTCCTGGAAAAGAAGGTTCGACGCGGCTCTCGGGGCTGTCTAACTGCACGGGAGACGCGGCCGTGTGGCATTTTAGGACTGATTTCCACGCGCATCAGGGTGCACGCGTGAGACCTGACGTAGCCCGCAGTGGCCGCGGCTGACCTGTACACCAGTGCAGTCACTGACCTGCTTTCTTCATCGTGTCACCGTGTGAACTTCGTTAGAGGAAAGCCCTCGCTCGTGTCGGGCCAGTCCCGGGGCTTGCGCCCAGGGCCTGGGCTGCATCTGAGCTTTTTCTCTCAAGCCTTGAGCACTTGACCCACAGCTCCACTTGCTGCTTTTTGATGTTTAATCGGAGGAAAGGGTTTCATAGACTTGCTTTCCTGATCGGGCTGGCTTTGACTTTGGTTTTATTTTTTGGGTCCGGTCGTGGGGCCTGAACTCTGGGCCTGGGAGCTGTCCCTCAGCTCTTCAGCTCAAGACTAGCGCTCTACCACTTGAGCCACAGCGCCACTTCTAGCTTTTTTTTTTTTCTTTTTGCTTATGTGGTGCTGAGGAATCGAACCCAGGGCCTCAGGCATGCAAGGCAAGCGCTCCACCACTGGGCCACCTTCCCAGCCCCCCCCACTGGCTTTGAACTGTGATCCTCAGAACTCAGCTCCCTTAGCAGCTGGGGTTGCAGGTGTGAGCCTCCGGCGCCCAACTTGAAAAGTATTTTTGTGCTGGTAGATGTTACTCAGAGCCCGGCATGTACAGATGGAGACAGACCCCCGAAGAAGGGCTGCCAGTGGTGCAGGGCAGGGAGCTGGCCTGCTGGGAGGCTGTGCTGCACAGGTGGTCAGGGAGGCCTCTCTGGTTGGAGAAGGAGTGGAGAGGTGGCCAAGTGGCCCAGGCAGAGGAACAGTGCTGGTGAGGGGCAGGGTGTGGAAGCCAGGTCAGGACAGACTTGGGTCTTCCCCACTGCGTTCTTCCTGAACAGCCTGGTGGCCTTTGTGTGTATTGTGAAAGTGGATGTTGAGACTCTGCAGGGTAGAAAATCCAAGGGACCCATGGAATTTGTGCCCTGATTTGGCATGTAGTAGCTGGAATCATGTTCGTGGGCATTTTGTGCAGGAGGAAAGTGGTTCAAGCAAGATGCTGACAGAGACCGATCACAAGATCTGAGAAATAAGGTTTTTTGGTGTGTTTTTTTTTTTTTTCCTATGAAAGAGAATGACTTCTCCTGAGGCTGGTGTTGAGGTTTATTGTCCCACGCAGTTAATGAGGATCAGAAGCAGGCAGGCACAATCTAAGTCCAAAGTGACAAGAGTGACTTCACCCCCAGGGAAAGCTCTGGGGAGATCTGGTCCCGTTTCACGCCAGCTCCGATACTGGATGGAGCCGTCGGCAGGCAACCAGACAGGCACTGTGGAATCTGAGGCAAAGCTGTAGGGTTTCTCTGGGGGAGATTTATTGCAGTGCCAAGTATGTGTGTATAAAATACATAATTCCTCTCATATGGCCGCATAAATCCAAGAGGGTTGGCAGTAAATAGAAAAAAGTAAAAAGGAATTACTGACTAATTTGTTCAGAAACTAGAAGGAAATCAATAGGAAAGCTGTAGCTCAAAGTGTGTTTTGAAATAATGTGCCCAGAGAAGGAGCAGGCCGCCCTCACTGGTGCAGGACCAGACATCTTAGGCACTCTGGGGTGGTCTGGGGACGCGGCAGGCAAAGCCAGAGGAGTGATCCTAGTTGGCATCTCTTCAATGGAGGTGTCCATCTGGGGCATGAGTACTGCCTGGGAGGTTGGCCTGCTGGCCTTGGGCCTCCTAGAGCTCGCCAGGGTGGAGGGGCAGCCAGGGAGGGACTCTTGCTCAGGGGCTAAACAGTGTTCTAGGAGCCTGGGATCTCTCAACACAGCAATGAGGACAAGGGATGATAGCTCTGTGTCCTGTCACCTGGCACACCTTGGAGCTCTGCCAGCTGTGCTTTGGAGAAGTCTCTGACTGAAACCATGGGTACATGGAAATGCGTCCACGGGAGCCACATGCAAAGATGGAGGAGCATCTGACTTACAACTGGGGATTGCTGAGACCTGCAAGGCTCAGCGTGGGGCTCTGTCTCTGAGGCTAGCATGTTGCCCATTGGTCCGGACTCCCCACTCATGTGGAGACCTTCTAGTTCAAGAAGTAAACTGCGCCAGGCACCAGTAGCTCAGATCTGTAATCCTAGCTACTCAGGAGGCTGAGATCTGAGGATCACAGCTCAAAGCCAGTCTGGGCGGGAAAGTCCAAGAGACTCTTTATCTCCAATAAACCACTCAGAAAATTGTTTCTATACCAAAACTCGTTATTTTATTTTTATTTTTTGGTTGGTCGTGGGGCTTGAACTCTGGGCCTGGGCGCTGTCCCTCAGCTCTTCAGCTCAAGACGAGCGCTCTACCACTTGAGCTACAGCGCCACTTCCAGTTTTCTGCTGGTTTATTGGAGATGAGAGTCTCATGGTCTCTCCTGCCCGGGCTGGCTTTGAACCACGATCCTCAGATCTCAGCCTCCTGAGTAGCTAGGATTACAGGCGTGAGCCACCAGCGCCCGGCAAAACTTGTTATTTTAGTATAGTTCTATACTAAAACTCATTCATTTTAAAATGGTAATTTTAAATTGTTTTATCTTTAATTGTACAAAGGACTTGCCATTCAATAGAACCGCTTATGAATATAACCTATTTTGATCACTGACATGCCTTTCATCATTTTCCACCGTTCCTCCCAACCTACCCCTTCCCCTGCAATGGGGTTGTGGTTATGTCTTAAGAAGTTAGGACTAAGCTGGGTGCTGGTGGCTCACGCCTGCAAGCCTAGCTACTCAGGAGGCTAAGATCTGAGAATCATGGTTCAAAGCCAGCCTGGGTAAGAAACTGTGTGAGTCTCCTTATTTCCAATGCACTATCAAAGAAACAACAACAACAACAAAAAAAGTGGTAGAGCACCAGTCTTGACTTTTTAAAAAAGCTCAGGGACAGTGCCCAAGCCCTGAGTTCAAGTCCCAGGACTGGCACACACACAAGAACTAAGTGTAATATATCCATGGAAACTTTGGGAAATATAGTAGTATAAAAAAGCAGAGAAGGGTCTGGGAGGGTGGCTGAGTGGTAGAGTGCTTGTCTCGCATGCATGAGGCCCTGGGTTTGATTTCTCATTACCATATAAGCAGAAAAAAGTCAAAAGTGGTGCTTTGGCTCAAGTGGTAGAGCCCTAGCCTTGAGCTGAAGAGCTGAAGGACAGCGCCCAGGCCTAGAGTTCAGGCCCTACAACCAAAAAAATCAAAAAACAAAAAACAAAACAAAACAAACAAAAAAAAAAAAACCAAAAAAATTTTCTGAAGACAATTTTTTTTTTGGGGGGTCCGGCTGTGGAGCCTGAACTCTGGGCCTGGGCACTGTACCTCAGCTCTTCAGCTCAAGGCTAGCGCTCTACCACTTGAGCCACAGCGCCACTTCTGGCTTTTTTCTTTTTGCTTATGTGGTGCTGAGGAATGGAACCCAGGGCCTCATGCATGCAAGGCAAGCACTCTACCACTGAGCCACCTTCCCAGCCCTGAAGACAATTTCTTCATATTTTAAAATATTTATTCAAGTGGGTTTTAGATTTTTAAATTTCTGATACATAAAACCAAACTCTATGTTTTCAAGAGGATTTTTAATGTATCTTTTTCAGCTGCTAAACTGTATATTTATCCTGCCTTTTTAATATAAGTTGATGCCACTGGTACAAATTATTCATGAACTTACTTTTTAGTGATTTAAATAAATAAATTGCTTTAAAAAATAAGCCAATTGGATGGATGGTAAATGATTGATGGTCAATGAAAGCTAGATACAGATGAATGACAGATGATATATGCACACATAACATACTCATGTACATGTGTATACATACATACAACACATATACGCATACATACCACTTTGGGACACAATACAAAGCCTCTAAAAGGTCCAGGCATGTATGTAGTCCTCATCTCAGGAAATCTTAGCTGCCTTGGAATCAGAAGGCAAACTGAAGGCTGCTCCCTGGGTCACAAAGGATTGCAGGGGCTTGCTTAGAAGTCATGTTCCCCAGCATACAAGATACAATTCAGAACAGAAATCACAAGACTACCGAAACAGGCGCTACCAAGTGTGGTCCGTTCAGAGGACTGTGGGCTGGCTTCTGGAACAAGCTACATCACACTGGGATGCTTTTTGCTTTTGTGCCAGTCTTAGGGCTTGAACTCAGGGTCTGGGTGCTGTCCCTGAGCTCTGTGCTCAAGGCTAGTGCTCTACCTCTTGAGCCAGAGCTCCATTTCCTGCTTTTTGATGAGTTTTCCTGAGATTCTTAAAGCAAGCCAGCCAGAAAACTGGTTATACAAAGCATGGTCCATCCCAAGGACTCTAAGCTGGTTTCTCGTACGAGCTCTAAGGTGCTGTCAGCTGAGATGCTTAAAGACAAAGCAGCTCTCTGATGGTGAGGGGTACCACAAAGCCTCTACAGTGGTTTGAAGGAGTCAGATGACCATCCTGTACAGCTGGCTGCAGAGGGCCATTCAGCAGGACCTGCCCACCCTGTGACACCCAAGGTCCTCACACACAACGCCTCTCAAGGGTGAGTCCCTGTTGGCACAGAACATGCCCCTAGGCACTGTCCTGGGGGTTTAGCCCTGAAATTGCAGCCAGGGAGACACACAGAATCCTCCTGCTGAGCTGGGTGGACACCAAGTCTACTACCCTCTCTGTGCCTGAGGCAGGGTCAGTGTCTCTGTCTCTGCCCAGGAAACCCTGGAGCCTGGGCTGGTCGTCGGCCTGGCGGCTCAGGCCTCCCTCACCATCCTCACCGGCATGCTGCAGGGACCCAACCTGGCCCTCGGCCACCAGCAGCACGGGGCCTGGGGGAGGAGCTGCAGGCCAGGGGTGTAGGGACTCAGGGGCCCTTCTGTCTAAGAGGTCCTCTGACCCATGCTGGTCCTCGGCACCCTCAAAACACTGTACCCCTTTCTTGGACTGGCCCACATTTCCCAAGGACCTGTCCAGGGTTGAACCAGCATTGAGTCCCAAGTCCCGAACAGAAAGCTGGGGCTCATGCTGGGTGCTAGATCGCGTGCCTGTGAGCTGGGGCTCCCCCTCGGGGTTAGCCACCAATGGCCTTGCCAGACCCTCCCTCCCCCCACAACCCATCCGGAACGCTGTCGGGGACTTTGCTGGCCTTGGGACCCCCCCACAAGTACTGCCTCTATCCCCGCTCAAAGGGGGTGTGGGCCAGTGCACACGCTCAGACCCCTGGCTGGGGGCAGCTGGACTCCCTGTTAGCGAGCCAGACCCGCTCAGTTGACCACCAAGGCAGAACTCAGCTTCCTGGGGCCCCAGGGCCAGGGCCTCCTCCAGAGCCTCCTGGGAAGAGGAGGAGGGCAAGCCGTCCGCGGAGCTGTCGCTGTCCTCCTCCAGGTCGGCCAGGGAGCTGGGAAACATGGCCTCCTCTGGCGGGGAGGGGAAGTCTGAGCTGATGGTCCCCTCCACGTCACTCTTTGCTGCGGGGCTGGGAGGCAGCGCAGGGATATGGGCGGAGGACGGGAGGTCCCCACTGCCGTAGGACAGCTGCTCATCCACAGGAGACAGGATCTCAGGCAGGAAGCCACTGGCACCCGGGGGACCGGCTTTCTCCAGGACAAGGGGGCCACCGCCGTCCCCCCACCCAGGTGCCTGGACTGTTGGGGTGGCCTCAGGAGGGGCCAGTAGAGTTGTGGGGACCTGGGGCTCAGGCAAGGCCCGGAGGGGCATGCTCTCAGTGGGCAGGCACAGGCCAGCATTCAGGAACCCCTCGCTGTGGCCGAGGGAGGCCTGGGGAAGAGTGGCCTCTGCCCCAAGGCCTCCCTCCCCTTGCCATGTGGAGGTCCCCGAGGGACAGGACAGTGACAGCTCTAAGTCACTGGTGGAAGGGGGTTGGGCCTCAGGGCTTGCCTGCTTGGTTTTCTCCATATGCGATCTACTGGTCAGGCTCTTGCTGGTTCTGGAAGCTTCCTGTCTACTCCCAGGGCCTGGGGAGGAGCAAGCCACATAGGGCTCTCTATTGTTTTCAGGGCTGGAGGAGCCGTCTGCGGGATGGGGGCTTCCTGATGCCAGCTCAGCCCCAGGGCTGGGTCCTGCTGGCCTCCCGTCACTGTCCTCCTCCCAGATCCTGCTGGAGACCTCCGACAGCTCTGACCCCGACCCTGGGGAGGGGCTCTCTGGGGAAGGCGGAGGCTGGCCTGCATGGAGGAGGCACTCGGGCCCTGGACCTTCCGCCTCAGCGGCTTCCTCGGTGGAGCTGCACGGGGACCCGACGCCCCTGCCCTCGGCCCTCTGCCAGGACACCTGTCCCTTGTCTCCAGGAGCAGCACCTGGAGAAGGATGCTCCTGGTGAAGATCACAGGACAAAGGCCAGCCAAACTCCTGTGAGTCCAGAGCAAAGAACTCTCCAGAGCCACTGGAGCCTGCGCCTGGGCTGATCTCAGCCTCCGCGCTGGCCGGAGAGGGGGAGCTGTCAGAAAGCTGGACCCTGGTGGCTGTGACCTTCTCAAACTCCTGGAGAGACGAACAGCTCAGGCTACTGGCAGAACCCACAGAGGAGGAGGGAGACGGCAGATCCAAGGCGGCAGTAAGCTCGGGCAGGAAGCTGCCTGGGCCCGGGGCGGCGGGTGGCGCCTCCTCTTCTGAGGCTGCAGGAGCTGCAGACACAGGGCAGTTTGGGGCATTGCTGGTACACCTGGCACTGCAGACCCCACCCCTCAAGCAGCCTGGGCCTCTGCCCTCCTGCCTCACCCCACTGCCCCCCACGCCCAGTGCCTCTCAAGCAGAAAGACCCCAACAGAGGCAGGAGGAGGGCAGAGACGCTAGTGCAGTTGGCCTCTGACTCCAGCCAGTGGGTGGTTCTCCCAGAATGGGGCTGTGGCCTTCGCCTCCCACCTGGCTCCCAGAGGTAGGAAGGCTGGCCTATGTCCTGCCTCTGACTTAGCACCTGGCCTGGAATGCCCCTTAAATGGGGATGTGACAGTCGCCGAGTGAGCCCTGGAAGGCCCGGAGCAGTGAGCGCATCACCTGGGCAGGCAGCGGGCGGGGAGGCTTCCCCACAGACGGAAGGGGTGCTGGGGTCTTCCTGCTGCCAGGCCTCCACCCTGCAAGCACAGAGGTAGACACCGTGTGAGGGGCAGCGTGTCAGGGAGCCTGCCCCCAGCCACACACCAGGGCTCTCGGTCAGGAACTGCAGGGCATCTACGACCTCACACGGCCCTGCCCATCACCCGTACCATCTGGCTGACCAGCAGCACACAGGCCCAGAGCTGCTGCCTTTGGTAGGTGTCTGACCTCAGGGCCCCTTCCAGGGTCCCTCCTCTTCCCCTTCCTCCTTCCCCCCCCCCCCCACGTTACACCCCCCCCCCTCTGGTACAGATGGGGACAGTCCCTCCCAGTGGGATCAGGAGGCGGTGCTCTATGGCAGGGTGCCCCCACACACACCTTGGGTCCACTCACTGGGCAATACCATTGTTTGCAAACTGGTACAAGGGGCAGGAGGGTGTCAAACTCAGGAAGCAGGGTACACAAGGGGCCCAGACAAAGGAGGGAAGGGTCTCAGCAGGGAGGGGTGGGGAGTCTTGTGCCTCAGGCCCCACCCTTCCAGGTCCCACACCTCTGCTTCCCTGACTGCCAGCTCTGTCTTTCCTGGGTGTCCCACTGAGGGCTTCTGGCAACATCCACCACTTCAGCCACCTGCTGGAAACACAGAGTTAAAATGACACATGGGGTGGGCTGCTGCGGGGCTGCCCATGCTCTCAGCTGGGCATCGCACCCCAGTGCCTCCCAGGACCATCATGGAGGAGCCGAGACCATCTCCTGCTGGGGGCTGGAGGCTCACCAGGGAATCCTAGCTATTCAGGAGGCTGAGGTCTAGAGGATCACAGCCAGCATGGAAAGTCTGTGAGACTCTACCTCCAATCACCAGCAAAATATCCTTGAAGTGGAGTTATGGCTCAAGTGGTAGAATAACAGCCTTGAGCAAACCCACACATAATCTCCCGAAATAGAGCTGTGGGCTGTGTACATAGCCCTCTGCAGACCCTCCTCCACCACAGAAAAGACCATCTCTGTCCAGGTGTTGAACCCAGGTGAAGCCCAGAGAACCAGCACCCCTCAGAACCACATGAGCCCCAGGGAGGGTCCTCAGGGACCCCCTGCCACTGCAGTGGACTCACACTGGCTTCCTGGGGACCATGAGGTCCCTCTCTGCTCTGTCCATGGAAGCCTCTAGCATAGCCATCCGCTGAGGAGGGGCGGGGCTTGGTGGCGGGGTCTCCTGCGAGGCAAAGGGGCTGTCAACGCTGGCCGACACAGACAAAGGCTGGAGGCCCAGGAAGCAGCCTTTGGGAACTCCAAAGCTACCTGGAAGAAGTCTGAGGATTCAAAATGGACACAAGACTTGCTTGGCGCACGGTTAGTTTGGGGAGGTAAAGCACGTGGTTATTTGCTCCTAAGATGACTGTATTGGATGGTGAGGGGAAGACCCTGGAAGAAGTGCCTAAGAAAGCACCTTCATCTGGGGACCCTCTTGCAGGTGGCTGAACTCTTGTTGGACCCGCCTCTTTCCCTGACCTTTCCTTACTGACCACTTCAGACACAGCTGGAGGACCTGGTAGACCAGGAAGGGGAGGATCAGATAAGCCAGGTCACCCACAGCACAGCTGTGTCCCCTCAGCAAAGCAGGAACAAAGAGGCCACAGAGCCTCCTCGTGGTACACTACCACCCCACATCTGAGCTCCTGGCTGGGGGCTGGGACCCGAGCCCCAAGGCCACCAGAGCTCCATGCTAAAGCTCTCGTCCACATGCTGGTATTGGTGGAGGTGCCGAGGGCTCTCAGGAAGGACCAGGATGATGTTACCATGGAGAGCCTGTAAGCACTGTCTTCTGGCCACAAAACAGCCAGTGCTGGGTCAGATGACCCCTGGACAGGTCCCATACCCGTCATTAACAAGCTCTGGGACCAGGGTCCATCGCTCCAGAGTCTCAGGTTTCAGTCAACCTCATCTACAGGGTGAGTGTCATGAGCGTGCTCACTTCAACAGTCCACAAGGGTCCGAGGGGGGTGTAGGCCCTGGCTGGTCCTCGGCACGTGATGGCCAGCACACGTGGGCATGGACAGCAAAGAGACTTCAGGCCAAACATTGGAGGACGCAGGAAGGGAGGTCACGGAAATACGCCTGCCCACCAGGGAGCTCCTCCCAGTCTGGGCCTCCTCGGTGCAGGAGCAGGTACTCACTCTCCCACGCTGAATGGACTAGGCTGTCTATGGCGGCAGCCGCCTGTGCCCATCTGGGAAGCCAGCCAGTGAAAAGTGTCCTTCCTTCCCGCCCGTGGAGACTGGGGGAGCTTCTGAACCCAAAGCTGGGAGCTGGGGATAGGGTCTCCAAGACTGAACTATGCAGCCCTCATTGCCAGCCAGCTGCCACTGATCGGCCCCCCGAGCTATGAGCGGGGCTCCTCCATCCACTGCAGATCTGAGCCTTGGATCGCAGGGAGTGAAGTACTTGATTCCTGCAAAACCTTCCTTGCATTAATTAAGGAAGACTCTTCCAGCAAAGCTGATTTCCAAACATTTAGAAAACACATTCCAGATAAAAGGTGGGCATGTGGGCCATGCATGTATCCCAGCTACATGGGGTGGGGGTGGGGGTGGAGGAGAGGTGTTGGGAGGATCACAGTTCCACTCAGGCTGTTCCTTGGCGGAGGGTGGGGAGGGGAGTCTGTGAGACCCTCCCGCCTCACTAGCACACACAAGTCCACCTCACTAACCCCAGCACAGGCAAATGAGTGTGGTCCCAGCTATCCAAGAAACAGAAGAGGATCGTTGTTCAAGCTGCCCCAGGCAAAAACAAGTTAAAGCAGAAACAAAAAGGCATGGTTTAACTGGTAGAGTGCCTACCTAGCCGGCAGAAGGCCTCAGTACTACTGAAAAAATATATATACATACATATGTTCCAGATAGACCAAGTTGTGAGTAAAGCAATTCAAACGTTATAAATTTTAATTTCTCTAGATGAGCGGCCGTGTCACCTCTCACAGCAAACGGAGCCAGCCATTCTTCTGGCTGTGAAGGGGTCTGCGGTCAGGGCGGGGGGCCACCAGGGCTCAGTGTCTCCGGCTGTCCTCGGGGGCCTCCCTGTTCTTGCCTGGTGGCTGGGTACCAGACTTGGACGGGATCTTCCAGACGGTGGGGATGCTGCTGGCCAGGTCCTCACTGGGGGGGCCCACGGGCTGTCTCCAGGGGGCTTACCTGGGGGCAGGTCCTTGGCCTCCTGTGGCCTGAGCTGGGCTGGGGGCCTCCCTGCTGCCTGGATGGCCTGCAGTGACAAGACAGGGAAAATGTCAGGCGGCGTGCCTGGAGAGACAGTGCCAGAGCAGGGGTGAGGGGAGCAGGGTGCAGGGTGTCCGGGATCTGCAGGAAGACCAGGCTGCAGGCGGGCACGATGGGAGGTGGGCGCACTCGGGCAAGGCTAGGGGCGAGTGCTCGCTGGGGGCTTGCATACGGGAAAGTCCGGGCCTGGCAGCTGTCCAACGTCCGGAGAACTTGAGTGCAGAGGGACGCGAGGCTGCTCCTCCCGCGCTGGAAGACATGACCCAGAGTCACAGGCGCCAGCCAGCCGGCGGGGTCTCCAGACCTGGAGTCACCTCTGGCTGGGGAGCGTCGGTGCAGCTGCTCGCTCACCCCTCCCTCCGCAGACCCCAGAGCTCCACGCACCCCAGGGCCCACTTCTGAGGCCCCATCGCCCCACCTGTCCTTTGTCCCTTCTGGAATGCCTTCGGATTCCCTAATCCACAGATGCCAGCGTCTTAGAGGCTTCACTCTGTGCTCCCAAAGTGTGCCAGGCTGTTCTAGGGCTCTAAGACTGCCCAGTGTTCACACCGGGGCCAGAGGAGTCCCGTGAGCTGGGCTGTGGAGATGCCTGCAATTCACTACCCACGTGCCACGTCTATCTGCCTGCCATGGCTTCTCTAAGTCCAGCCCACTGCTGTGAGACAAGACCCTGGTGGGTGGAAGGGGAAGTAAATGGACAGCAAGGCTGGGCAGCAGGGTGGTGGTCAGTGCCTGTCAGGGCAGAGCTGGCTGAGCAATGACTCCTGAGGCTGAGCATGGGAGGCTCCCTCGTGCAGGCATGCCTAAGGCAGACACCCTGTCTGAATGATCCTGCAGAAGACGCGTCCACAGACCTGGGGACCGGACTTCACAGGAAAACAGATCCTGGCAGCTGCGATCACGTCGAGGATCTCTAGATGAGTTAGTTGTGGAATTAGGTTGGCTCTAAATCCATCAACTTGGGCTCTCATTTTTATTTTTATTTTTTGGTCAGTTGTGGGGCCTGAACTCTGGGCCTGGGCGCTGTCTCTCAGCTCTTCAGCTCAAGGCTAGCACTCTACCACTTGAGCCACAGCGCCACTCCCGGCTTTTTCTGCTTATGTGGTGCTGAGGAATGGAACCCAGGGCCTCATGCATGCAAGGCAAACACTCTACCGCTGAGCCACCTTCCTAGCCCCAACTGGGCTCTTAAAAGAGCTGAGAAGCCAGGCATCAGTGGCTCACGTCTGTAATCCTAGATACTCAAGAAACTGATATCTGAGGATCACGGTTCAAAGCAGAAGACTCTTATCTCTAAGTTACTACCAAAAATCCAGAAATGATGCTATGGCTGAAGGCTAGAGCACTAGCCTTGAGCACAAAAGCTCAGAGACAGTGTCCAGGCCCTGAGTTCAAGCCCCAGGACTGGCACCAAATGATAAACAAGAATAGAAAGAAAAGAAGGCGAGGAGCTTGACACAGTGGCTCATGCCTGTTCTCCTTAGTTACTCAAGAGGCTGAGATCTGAGAATCCCTGTTAGATGCTAGTCTGAGCAAACAGATCTGAAAGACTGAATCTCCAATTAACCAGCAAAAAAAAGTGTGGCTCAAGTGGTACAGAGCCAGCCTTCAGCTCAAAAAGCTAAATGAGGTAAAGAGGTAGACACAGAGGAGCAGAGACAGCCATGGGAGGACAGAGGGACCCCTGAGCCATCAGAGCAGGCCGCAGCGGGAAGGCCCCTCTGGAGCCTCGGGGAGTGCTGGCACCTCCAGAGAGCAGGCATCTTTGCTTAAACCACCCAGTTTGTGGACCTCTGTCATGCAACCTCAGGAAAGGCACCCATCTCCCGACCCCAAGCTGTCGCTGTTCAGAGGGGAGACAGGGCAGGGAGAACAGGCAGGAGGGGGCCCTCAGGCTGACGTGACCACGTTCCTCACCAATTCCCCCACGGGACAGCCGGCAAACCAGCCAGCCCTGTGGGCTACCTGGCAGCCTGGGCCACGTCAGTTCCTGTACTCTAACCCCGTCATGTTCCTATCTAGGTGCTCCTGGCTTCTGTCCAAGGACAGGCTGGGCCTAATCCTCCTTCCGCCTTGGCAGAAGCCGGTGCAGCCAGGTGCTGCGGTCTGGCTGGTCTGTGTGCCCGGCCCTGCCTGGCAACAGCGTCAGGCCTGCAGGTGACTGGCAGCCAGGGCCTGGCCAAGCCTGGCTGCCCCCGCCAAGAGCCTTCGCCCAGGCAGCAGAGTGTGTCTGCGTGGCTCCCGGCTGGTGCCCAGGCCCTGTTCTCAGAGGCAGTGCCTGGGAGGACTGTCCTTCTGGAAGGCCCGCTGTTCACCCAGGTGGAGACAGGGAGGCCCAGGGGTCCACACCACACAGCTGGCATGGCGGGCAGAAGGGAGGGCTGTCTGATCACGCAGTGGACGCTGAGGCCCACGGACAGATGGCCTGTGTGCTTGGCTGGCCCTGCCACTCCCACTACCTACCTTGGCTGGCCTGCTTGGCACTCTTCACCTGCGGGCTGCTGGCCTCGGGGGTGTCCTCCCCTCCTGGCTCTAGGTCATCTGCCTCCCACGTTGTCTGGGGCGGGGTCGCCTGTTGCTCAGAGTGGGGCCTACAAGGCAGAGCAGAGGGAGACGTGACTGTCCGCCCAGCAGCTCTGCCCAGGGTGCCCAGTTCTGCTCACAACACCCCCCCCCCGCCCCCATTCCCAGGAACAGCCTCAAGGCCCATATGGGTTGGCTGAAGCCAGTGGCCAAGCAGGAGACAGGGTTCTGGGCCTTTCCTGCCTGGGTGCCTCCCGGGCAGAGCCTGGGCCCCACAGAGTGGCTGCTGTGGGGCTCATGACCGGGCTCGCAGGGGCGGGGGCTGGGGAGGCACCTGCCTGTCCGCAGAGGCTCGGGCAGGTTTCTGGGTGAGACTCACTTCTCATTCTGTGGAGCAGCACCCATGTGTACAGCGTGCCCCCACCCGAGCCTGGGCCCCCGCAGGCCACACCCATGCCTGCTGCCAGGCTCTAGGCACCTCTGTTCTTTCCTGAGACACAATGCCAGTGCAACATGAGGTCACCCATCACAGCCTCGGGATGGTGGTGAGGCCCCTTCTGGGTCAAGGTCAGTGCTGAGAGCCTGCCTGGGCCCCAGAGCATCTCCCTGGGCAGCGAGCATTAGCCTGAGGAGCTGGGCTCACAGGAGGATGGCCAGCCCGGAGATGTTTCCAAGCCCTTGAGGGTACGGCTGCGGGCTGCAGCTGGTCCACATCATTGTGTCCCAGACACAGGCTTGTCGCCGAGGCCAGGCCAGCACAGAGCTGGAGACCTTGTCCGCCAGACGCCCTCCCAGCCTTCAGGGCAGCCATGGGAGCAGAACGGGGTCTAGTGACACAGGAACAGGACCCCCAAGCTTTATCACCCTGAGAAGCCTGGGGGATGGTCCTGGGTCTCAGGCAGGGACCTTGTAGCTCATCCCTCTTTCCCTGCCTGCAGCACACACTTGGGGCACAGGGCCACAGATCCCCGGTGTACACCCACATCAGGACAAATGACCCAAGTCTGCCTGTTTCCCCGTGTGTGATCCCCAGCAGGGTGTCAGAAGCTACTTGCTCACTTGCTTGCTTGGGCTACAGGAAACCCCAAGATACTCCTGTCCTGTCCTGTCCCGTCCTCCTCTATTTTGTAACTTTGGGGCAATCCTGAGCTTCGCTGGAATGACAAGAAAAGCCTAGGGCCGGCCAGCCCTTCCTCCTGGCCCCACAACCACGTGTGTGCCCACCGGCTGGCCTCCAGCTCCAGAATGCCCCAGCAGGTCATGCTGAAAAGCACCCTGGGAGAAGCCAGGGCAGTGGGCAGCCTGAGGCTGGGCAACCCATGGCTTCCTGAGCAGAGAGAGGTCCCACAGGGGGAAAAAAGAGCTGATGTGTGGGGGTGACCAGCCCAGGGCAGGCCCTGGGTCCCTGGGAACCCCTGCCTGTGGAGAGGACACTCCTGGGGGCCCTCCATAGCTGCTTCACCCCAACATTGCTGCAGCAACCTCACAGTGGGTGCTCTGGCCCGGAAGCCTCCAAGGAGAAAGCCTGCTGCTCACACAGCCGGCCCAGAACACACAGCCCACCGCGCCTCAGCCCTGCTGAGCCCAGTTCTCTTTCGCTGTGAAGCAAGTCCAGGGGCCACGTGGCCAGGATGTAGAAAGGGCCCAGATGCCGCTAGCCATGGAACCACCCCTGGATGTGTGCCCAGAGGCTGGGGCAGCCATGCGAATGCCATATGCTGCCCTGGGCCAGGCTGTCTAACTGTTCTGTCCCTCCACACCCCATACAATAGCCCCAGGAGACTTCCGGAAGACACACTCCAGCTAGCCCAGAGCCAGTGAATTGGCTGCCCTTTTCTTTTGGGACCAGAGCAGCGCTGGGCTGCTTGGTAGAAGCCGGCACCCACGGCATGTGCCTGGGTAGGTGGGTGGGTGAAGTGGGCTCAGTTACACAGCAGCAAGCAAACACGCAGAACACTTGCGATGTCAAGCACCAGGCCCATGGCCACCGGGACCCACTCACTGTGTGGCCGCTGAGCTCTGGAGGCTCCTTGGAGGCTGGAGGTCGGGCAGTGGCAGGAGGCACAGTGCCCTCTTTGGTTGCTGGCTTGTCTTGGGGCTCCCCTTCAAGACGTCCTTGACTCTGCCGCTGGGACTCTGGGGAAGAACACCGAGTCAGCCTGCAGGGGCCAAGCACGTGCGGCCTATTTGCTTCTTTAGCCACCCCAGGGCCACCATTAGCCTGGCCCTGCATGCTACTTGTTGCCACATTCCAGCAGACACCACTGGAAATGGTCATGGGCCCTGGTCGGGGCTGCGTGCCCCCTGACAGGTACAGACAAGGAGCTTAGAGGGGACGTCCCTGCCCAGGGCCGGCCCAGCTCCTGGGGACTCCAGCCATGCAGCCTAGGGTCTCTTCTCTTGCAGGCGGGCCTGTGGTCAAGTGCTTTCTTCTTTCTTCCTTTTTCTTTGCAGAGCTGAGTACTTACCTGGGAAGTACTCTTCCACTGAGCTAAATCCCCAACCTCAGCTATGATGATGGTGATGTGTGTGTGTGTGCATGTTAGTGCGTGCTAGTTCTGAGGCTCCAACTCAGGGCCTGGGCACCGTCCCTTAGCTTTTTCACTCAAGACTGGTGTTCTATCGCCCGAGCCACACTTCTACTTGTGGCTTTTTTTTGTGGTTAACTGGAGGTAAGAGTCTCTCAGACTTTACTGTCTGGGTTGGTGTCACACCACAATCCACAGATCTCACAAGAGTGAGCCACTGGTGCTCAGCAGGGGCAGGGGCTTTAGAGAATATAGCTCTTTCTCCTCCCTCCCGCCTTTCATTCCTCCTCTTTCTGGCAGTACTGGGTTTAAACTCAGGGCCTCACACTCTAGATGCCCTACCATTTGAGCCACTCTGTCAGCCCTTTTAGACAAGCTCTTACACTGATGCCAGGAGCTTGCCTGTACTATGATCCTATTTGTGCTCCCACAAAACAAGATTCTGCTGCTAGCTATGACAGACATGTCCCTGAACCCAGACATCGATCAAGATGAAGTCCTATGAACTTTTTATTTTTTGTGGGGGGGCTGAGCCGGCTAGAACCATGATCCTCCAGGTCTCTGTCTCCCAAGTAAAACTAGGATTACAGTTTTGTGTCACCATACCCAGCCAAGTCCAGTTCTTTTGATCCTCATTTTGGCTCTCAAGGTGGGGACCACCATCTCCCAGTTTACAGAGCATGCTCTGGTGCAGGGAGCACATCGTGCCTGGGAACGCCCCCTTCTCCTTGTTTATACAACTCTTTCTTGGGAGGCAGCTGTGGGGAGGCCAGCTCCAAGGACACAGTGTCTGCCCTGTTCTGCCATGTCTGGCTGTCCCAACGTGTCACAGGCCACGGCGCCTCCTCTGCTCCCTCTGGAGTGAAGCCCAGCCACCCTCCAGCTGGGCCTATGCCTTTCATCCCTTTTGCTCCAGCCCTGGCCTGGATGAAGCACCTTCCACAAAGGCTAGGCATCTGGTCCCTCCTCCAGGATACCCAGGTAGGGGACTCCTTGGGGGTCACTCAGTGGGTGACCTTGTCCTGCCCTCTATGTGCGCTGCCCACCTGGGCCAGAGCCTGGAGCTCCTGCCGCAGATGGGCAACAGACCTCTGTGCTTCCAGGATGGCTTTCTGACGCTGTAGGAGCTGCTTCCTGCCTTGGTGCATGGCCAGGGAACAGTTTTTCAGGTATCGGACTTCCCTCTGAACCAGCCAGAGGAGAAATATCAGTTAGCATTATCCCCAACCTGCAGGAGCTCACATGGGAAAAAGAGAAGGGCTATGGGGCAGTGAAGATCATGAGGGACCCCCCAGCTCTCCCATCGTCTGGCCCTCCTTTCCTCCACATGCCCTGTGCTTGGCACAAGGGGCAGGCAGGAGGCAAGGTGGCGGCTGAGGGGCTCTTCTCCCAAGTGTTCTGGTGGGGCCAGCACAGCTTCCCTTTCTCCAGGTTTGGAGCCTGGCTCCATCTTTCCAACTCATCCCTTGATTAAGCCCTCCCATGCCCCAGGAAGGACCCTAAGGTTCAGACAGGGAACTGAGGATGGGAGTCTACAGCCAGCAAGAGGTTGAGCCTGGCTTGGAGTCGGGGCTGTAGGCCATACTCCACAGAGCGGAGCTGTCTGCCCTGGCATGCATTCTCCCAGGTGACACAGGGAGTCGTGGGATGGAGGAAGATGGCTAGGGCTCTGAGTGTCTTGCTGCTGCCCCCTCCCCAACAAGGGCCGCAGCACTGCCTGTGTGTGGCTACCCCCAAGCCATGCCTACCCGCTCTTTCTCCAGCTTGCTGATGGCTTGCTGTTTCCTCTCGGACAGCTCAGCAGTTTTCTCCCCCTTGATCTCCAGACACCTGGAGGAGGTGGAGTGTTACTGTCCATCTGGAGTCCATCTTGAGGTGGGCATGGAGAGCCACAGATAGGGCGAGTCCTGTGCACCGGGGGGCTCCGGGGATAGCCAGCCCCCACCCCAGGCGGGCACCAGGAGGTCAGAGCCGGAGCCAGGAAGCTGGAGGGCTCCGGCGCCCCCAGGCCCAGCCCAAGCTGTCCCTCTGCCCACTCGCCACTCACTACTTTGGGGTCTAAGGGAGACAGGCCAGTGAATGGCAGTACCTCCTGCCCTGGACCCGGCCCAGGCTGGAGATCATAGAGGTCACGGGAGCCCCCCAACCCCACGCCCCGGCCCCAGGGGGGCGCGAGCCCGGGAGAGAACTTGAACCGGGCAACCCTGCACAGGCCAGTCTGCCCCCCGGCGGCCTCCGATGTGTGTTCACCCACACGGAAGCTCCAGTCTGAGAAGCCACGGGAAGGAAATGGCCTCTTGGATGTTAGCAGTGGCAGAAACAGACACAACCACCAGGCCCCGCTACTGGAGACAAGCTGAGGGAAGGCCCCGCGGCCACGGCGCCTGCGCGAGGTAGAGCTGGGGGGAGGGGGGAGGCGCCACCAGGGCGCCTGCGCGTGGTGCAGCGGGCCCCCGCCGCCACGGCGCCTGCGCGTGGTGCAGCGGGCCCCCGCCGCCACGGCGCCTGCGCGAGGTAGAGTTGGGGGGGAGGGGGGAGGGGGAGGGGAAGGCGCCGCCACGGCGCCTGCGCGTGGTGCGGCGGGCCCCCGCCGCCACGGCGCCTGCGCGTGGTGCACTGGCCTCGCCGCCACGGCGCCTGCGCGTGGTGCACTGGCCTCGCCGCCACGGCGCCTGCGCGTGGTGCACTGGCCTCGCCGCCACGGCGCCTGCAGCGGACGCGTGAGGTAGGGGAGAGGCTTCTTTGACCCCTTAAACGCAAGTCACGTGAGGAGCGTGCATGCTGCGGGTCTAAGAGCCGTGTTTCGGGCCGGGTGAGCATTTCACACGCTGACAGGACTCTGGAAAGCGTGCACAGAAGTCTGGAGACGTGAGACTGTGAGTGGTGGGATTTGGGTTTTTCATTCCGGGCTCTTTCCTATCTTACCTCATTCTCGACAGCTGCTACTGTTGGGATCAGTATAGTATACGTATGTGTGCGCGCGCACGCGTGTGTGCGCAGGGGCCACCAGAAGGGGCGTGGCTGCCGGGGCGGGGCCAGGCCTGCGCATGCGCTCACCCTCTCTGGTGGTCCAGCCAGGCCAGCTCCGTACGTTCCTTCTCCTCCAGCGCCAGCTCGCGCAGGCGCAGCAGCGAAGCCTGGTGCCGGGCGTGCAGCTCCTCTTCGTGCAGGCTCTGCTCCAACATGGCCACCCTGAAGCCTTTGGGCGCTAGAAGTAGAGGAGCTTCCATGGCAGACCACCTGCATTGCTCCCACAGAAGGGGAGACTGAGGCCCGAGGGGCACACTTCCAGGTCCAGCACCAAGCAGGGGACAGAGGACGGCAGAGCCCAGATGCCCACATCTTGCTTCTGACCTATGCTCTTTTGTAACTGCTCTACAGAAACAAAAACAACACAAAACAAAAACAAAACCCACCAAGGATTTTTGCTTTCCTCCAGGAAAGGATAATAGGGATTTGGATTCGGATTCAACATCCCATCTGAAACAACTTAGAATTTTACACATAGGAAAGGACATTTTCCCAGACACCCAACAGCAAACAGCTTGGCAGAGTCAACACTGATAGGCAGACACAATGGAAGTAAGACCTGTAATTGTAACATCTTAGGAGTTTCTAGGCTGTAGTGCATGGGGGTAAAACAGGTGGAGCCCCAACCCCGCAGACCCTGGCGTAGAAGAGGTGGAACTGAATCTGGAGAGATGACGCCAGCTTGCACTGACTGAATAGAGAATCAGAATGGATACTCTGGTTTCTCTTCAGATCGTATAAATCTTTTGCCTTTTACTAAAGAGAATCAGAATGGGTAGTACATGCCTATCATCACCGCCATGGCACCAAATATAAACAGAGTCACAGTCCAGGCTGGCCCAGGCAAAAAGTGAGATACTGTCTCTAAAACAACGAGAACAAAAGGGCTGTAGGTGTTGCATAAAATGGTAGAGTACCCATTTAGCAAACGCAAACCTCTGAGTTCAAACCCCAGTGTCACCAAAAGAAGAATATATGTAGAAATATATGTGTAGCAAGATAAAATTCACAGTGTCCAGTAGATAAAATAAGAAGCAGGAAAACATCTATGAGGATAATGATCAATTTGAACCAATCCAGGCTTGACATGGTGACAGGATTAGCAAAGGCTAGTGGAAGTTTTTATAACTGTATTTTATTTCATATGCTTAGAAGGGTAAATAGAGTCCTGGAGGAAAAGGATCCAGATAGAACTCTTATGAGATGAAAACATAAACATGTGAGATGAAAACATACTGGATGGGACAAATAGCAGGTCAGACATAGCTAGCAGCAGAAAAGAGCTCAGGGCTTCAAGTTTCAGAATATACTGGTTACCAGAGTTTCTGAAGGAGAAGAGAGAGAAGAGGTGAGCATATTTGAAGAAATAAGAGGTGGAAGTTTTCCAAATTGAAGAAAGTGGTAAAGCCACAGATCCAAGAATAAGAAACAAGAAAGAACACAGCACAGACTATTAATATTAAATTGCTCAAAATAGTAAGAAAGACCAAAAGCAGCCAGCGCGAGCAGATGCTACAGATGAACCAAGATATGGTGACAGGTGGAATACTGCAAGCCAGAAAACATTAGGGATAGGATTGTTTTGCTTTGTTTTTAAATCATGCTAGGGATGGAACCCAGGGGTTCCTGCGTACTAGGAATACTCACTAGGGAATATTCTCCCACTGAGCCACACCCTCAGCCATAAGTGATGTCTTTAAAAGTGTACTCAGGGTGACTTTGCCACAAAAGAAGTTATTCTTTACCTGACTTATGTAACTGTAACCCCTCTATACATCATCTTTATAGTAACAATTAAAAATAATAATTATACTTTTTAAAAGTCCATCCAGATTAAATGGTTTGCAAAGAGTATATGAAGAAGAAAGTCAAAATGAGCCATGCACTGGTAGACACATCTGTTATCCTAGCCACTCAGGAGGCTGAGATCTGAGGTTTGCAATGTGAAGCCAGCCCAGGCAGAAGAGTCTGTGAGAGTTATCTCGAACTAACCAGCAAAAAGCCAGAAATACAAGTGTGACTCAAGTGATAGAGTACCAGCCATGAACAAATAAAAATTCCAAATGAGAACTTGAGGCCCTGAGTTCAATTCCCAGTACCAACATGCACGTAGCAAATGCAAAATTCAGCCCTAAGCATAGGGACAGTCCTGGTCCATGTGAATCAAAGAAGCACATCAATAGAAGGTAGAGATTGAGAAGGAAGAAGAGGGGGTGGCGGAGGGAAAGGGAAAGGGAGGGAGGGAAAAGAAGAAAGATCCAACCAAATGCTGCCTGTAAGAAACACTTCAGATAGGAACAGGCTGAAAGGGAGAGGATATGATGAGAAAGGACTTCCTCCATGACTTTGGCTGGGCCAGGCACTAGTGGCTCACCCCTGGAATCCCAGCTGCTGTGGAGGCTGAGATTGTGGAGATCATGGTTTGGGGCCAGCCCAGGCATAAGAAAGGTACTGGAAAGCCTAACCAGGTGATCACACCCAAGCATGTGTCCAGGCAGGAAGCAAGATGCAATCTGAAAAGTGACCAGCAAAAGTCAGGGCTAGAGGTGTGACTCAGTGGTAAGCCCACTTTGGAAGTACAAGGCCCGGAGTTCAAACCTCAATACTGGGGGTGGAGGTGGGGAGGTACTGGAGTGTTCTACAAGTAGACTGCAAATGTCCAAGCCGGCTTTGTAGGGAAGCACCTTGCAGGGATGGGGAGGATTGTTCCTCAAGGACACAACATGCCCTGAAGTGTTTACGTGCTGATGGAACTAGAACTTCAAGGAGAACCAGACAAACCTGCAGTAGTAGCTGCGATAGTTCACTTCCCTGCTCAATAATGCATAGGAACAGGAGGCAGAGCCCCACAGGGTAGCATAGACTTAAATAATACCATTAACCAACGGGGTCCAATGAACAATATAACCACTACCGCAACACCTGTAGATCATGCATTCTTTTTAAGAGCACATGGAACCGTCTGGACTGAAATTCAAGTCTAGGCATAACTGGAATCATTCATACGTGCTTTAATCTGGGCACTGGTGGCTCACACCTGTCATCCTAGCTACTTAGGAGGCTGAGATCTGAGGACAGTAGTTCAAAGCCAGCCCAGGCAGAAAAGTCCATGAGACTCTTATCTCCAATAAACCACTCAGAAAATGAAAGTGGCGCCAGTGGCTCAAGTGGTAGAGTGCTTGCCTGGAGCGCCAGGGACAGTACCCAGAGCTAGAGTTTAAGCCCACGATTGACACCGCCCCCCCCCCAACACACACACAACAAACGTGCTTTAAGGCACAGGTACCAAGCTCCCAGGAGTATGACATAGCTAGCCCCCCTCCCCTGGAGGCTTTTCTACACTGCCCTTACAGCCTTCCTTTGCCCACACAGGTCACACGAGACACTCACCTGCAGATGGCGCCAAGCCTGCCCTGCTCCTAGGCGTAGCCGCGGGACTCTGGGAGGATGCCCTGGAAACTCTGCCCCGGGCTGGCACTGATCTGCTGGGGGAGAAGACAGCCCAGACCAGCGCCATCATGCCAGCACCTGAGGGCTGCCCGCCTCCCCCTCCTCTGCCCCGGGAGGGGGTGGCCATCCCTCCCCTACACCTCACCTGGGTCTAGCTGTCACAGGCTTTGAGCCCCCGCAGGGCTGCGGTTCTTCCAGCGTCAAAGCCTTTTCTGGGCTGGCCTGGGCTGAATGTCTTTGCATCAGTTCCTGTGAGGATGAGGAGGCAGGTGCTGCCCAGGGCGGGGGAGGCCACGCCAGCTTCCGGGAGGAGGCTGTGAGCTCGCTGGTGGCTAGCGTTCAGCCCCAGGGACGGCATGCCCAGTGGGCAAGGCAAGACCAGTGCACCAAGAGGCGTGTGGTGGGCTGAGGGCGGGAGGGGGCGGGTGGCATGCGGGCACCAAGGGCCAGGTGTGGAACGTGGACGTCTGCATCCTGACAGCAGCTGCAGGACAGCAGTGTGGTGCTCAAATCCTCAGCAGGAAGAAGAGGAGCAAGTGTGTGTGATGGGAGAAGACAGGACAGGGAAAGGGAGGCTGGTCACAGGTCTCTGCTTTTCTGGTCTGAGAATCCTTACACACACACACACACACACACACACACACACACACTCCCTGTGGTATCATACTGTCTTGGAAACACCTCCTAAAGCGAGCTGGGAAGGTGGCTTAGTAGAGTGCTTGCCTAGCATGCGTGAAGCCCTGGGTTTGATTCCTCAGTACCACATACACAGAAAAGCCATGGCCTGGCACTGGTGGCTCACGCCTGTCAACATAACGACTCAGGAGGCTGAGATCTGAGGATTGTGGTTCAAAGCCAGCCTGGACAGGAAAGTCACTGAGCTCTTATCTCCAGTTAACCAACAGAAAACTGGGAGTGGTGCTGTGGCTCAAGTGGTAGAGCACTTGCCTTGAGCTGAAGAGCTCAGGGACAGAGCCCAGGCCCAGAGTTCAAGCGCCATGATGGCACTAACATCCCAGAATCATGGACATTGCAAAGCAAGATCCTCTCTCAGCTTGTGACAGCCAGCCAGCTCACAGCCATCATGGGTCAGTGTGCCACGGCCACAGTCATTTCATTCATCATCCATCCCCTGCTGGGGCAGGTGCTGGGCCACCCTGGGCTACAAGAGCTGCCTCTCTGATGGGTTCCTCAGTGCCGGTGCAGCATGGCTGGAGACTGCGGGGGGTTTGTGTGTTGTACACAGCTCAGGCCTGGGCTCTGGGCTCTCACTGAGAACGGAGCTCAGTGCTGAACAAGCCTGGAGGCCAAGATGCTCATTAGTGACCCAGTTCTGTGTCCTTCCTGGACACAAGTGACCAAGCTGTTCCGTCTCTGCTCAGAGGCTTTGCTGTCTTTCTTTCTCTCATCCTCTTCTCTTAATTCCTTCTTCCCTTTCTCCTGTCTTTATTTGTTCTTTCTCTTCTTTCTTCCTTCCCTCCTCCTCCCTCCCTTTTTTCCTTCCTTCATTCTTTCTGCCAGTACTAGGGCTTGAATTCAGGGCCTGGGCTCTCCCTTAACTTCTCATCCAAGGCTAGCCCTCTGCCTCCTGAGTCACAGCTCCATTTCGGGCTCTTTGCTGGTTAACAGGAGTTGAGACTATCACAGACTTTCCTGCCTAGGCTGGTTTTGAACAGCAACCCTCAGATTCAGCCTCCTAAGTAGCTAGGATTACAGATGTGAGCCACTGGTACCTGGCTACTCAGAGGCTTTGCTTTGGGATGAGATCTTAAGTAAGCCCATCATGCAATGCAGCCCTTGCTTTTGGGCAGGGGCAAGGCCGATGGTTCACGGGTTCAAATGGTCTTTAGAGGTGTCCAGTTTAGAAGGGTCTCAGGCTGGGCAGGCCTCAGGCTGGGCAGGGCTCTGGTGGGGCAGGCCTTGGGCTGGGCGGGGCCTGGGTGTGGGTGGGGCCTCGGGCTGGGCAGTGCTCTGGTAGGGCAGGCCTGGGGCTGGGCGGAGCCTCAGGCTGGGCCGGGTAAGGGGGATTTGAAGGGTGGTTAGAGCCTCAGAGGGCCAGCCTCCTGACCTCCAGCTGGTGTTTGAAGAGCAGTCCTTCCAGCGCCATCTGCGTTTCCCAGACCTCCTGTTCAGCCCGCTGCCGTAGAAGGCTCAGAGCTTTCTCCTGCTTCCGCTGGTCTAGCTGCAAAAATCCACACCTCCTGGTTGGCAGAGGGAGCCATTTGCACTGGGAGCAGGACCCCTGCGCAGCAGGCCCCATGCCTGGGAAGGGCCTTCAGGCAACCCCACTCCTCTCCCTGCCTGGGGCTTCCCCACCCAGGCCCGAAGGCTCGGGATCCACCTCCAAGTCCCGTGGTGGGGGGGAGGGGGAGCCTGTGGGGATGGGAGTGGCCAGCTTCCAAATCCTACAGTTCTCTACTTCGGGGTCTTCCGCTAGCCTCAGGAGGCAAAGGCTGTGCTAGCTCAGCACCCCACACAGGAGAGGCCTGAAGCGGTCACAGCAGTCCTCAGCCTCGTGTGATGGGTTGGGCCGTACCTTCAGGGACTGGAGGAAGCTCCGGGACTTGAGCCGCAGCTTGGCTAGGAACCGGCCTCCGGGCGGGTGTTCAGGACGCTGCTCCTGCTGACCTGCAGCAGGAGGAGGGGCGGCTGAGGGCGGGGAGCATGCCCGGGCTGTCTCCTCATGCAGCCTCAGCACTCTGCAGCAGGTTAACGCAGCCTCTCCACCTGCAAGGAAACTGAGGCACAGAGGCCAGGAGGGCAGGCGCCTGACTCCTGGGTGGGGCTGTGCTGGCATGGGCCACGTCAGGAAAAGCCCCGGCCCCGCGGCTGGATGGGAGGGTGCAGACCTCTGCCATGTGCCTTCCCCGGCCGGGCCGGCACGACCTCACCCTGGCCACACTGCCCTGCATCGCCCTCCTCCGGGGAGGCAGGAGCCACGCACAGACTTGGGCTCCAGCCTCAGCTCTGCCATGTGCATGGCAGGTGCCACTGGCCAGCCGGAGCCTCTGGTGACACTTCTCTGCTCCCCTGAGTGGGGCTCCAAGATGGCTCACCTGGCTTCAAATGCCTGGCAATGGCAGCTCTTGTCACTGCCAGCATGACAAGCCAGGAGGGTGTGGCAATACAGAAGGACCCAGATAGGGCTCCCCTCAGATTGAAGGCTAGCGAGGGTCTTCTCTCTTTCTGGTGGTCCCCAGGGCCTGGCGCTGGCTGCCGCTGGCTCTCCAGCCCCGGGGGCCTCCACGAGGGGGCAGGGCGGGGGCTGAAATGTGCCCCGCGCCTCCTTCCTCACCCACCCCAGGCCCAGGGCCCGGGATTGCCAGTCCATCCAGGCAAGGCCTGTGTAGTCCAGATGACAGGGCCCTCGGGGTGCAGAGGGGGCCCAGGACCGGAGCCTGCCCCGAGAACACGTCTTCCCAGCTGCCTGGGCTCCTTCTGGGGCTCGGCTTCTTAGAGTGGGCACAGCGAAACGGGGAACAGCAGCGGCGCGGACTGCTGGAGAGCCGGGCACAGGACCCATGCTGAGCACGGGGTGCTCCCCAAGTCCCCCTTCCTGGTACAATAAGAAACCCATGGCAAGCTCTTCCGTTTGGGCTTGGGCTGCTCTGAGCTATGATTCCTTCGTGGAGAGAAAAGCCTGTCCTTTTTATGGCCCTTCCGGGGGGAGGGGAGGCTGAAGTCCCAGAGGGCTCCAGGCCCAGCCTGCATGGGACCCCGAGACCCCCTACTCCTCCCTGCCATGTGGCCTGAGTGGGCCGCCAGGACCTCTCCCCACCTCAGCACCCCGGCAGGTTCCACAGAGCTGTGGGGTGCGTTTCCCTGAGCCCGGGGCAGGAGCAGCCTGCCCAGGGGGACCCTGGCCTCCATCCCCAACTCCTCTCACTCCGCAGTGAGGAACCCCAAGATTTCAGCCCCATCCACCACCCTAAAGAGCTAGCCTCAGGAACGTGCAGTGTCATGACAGTTGCCTTAACAGCCCCTGCTAGGCCCGTGCTCAGGTGTGAGGAGGGGCTGGGTGTGAGCTGCTCAGGTGTGAGGAGGGGCTGGGTGTGAGCAGCTCAGGTGTGAGGAGGGGCTGGGTATGAGCAGCTCAGGTGTGAGGAGGGGCTGGGTGTGAGCTGCTCAGGTGTGAGGAGGGGCTGGGTGTGAGCAGCTCAGGTGTGAGGAGGGGCTGGGTGTGAGCAGCTCAGGTGTGAGGAGGGGCTGGGTGTGAGCAGCTCAGGTGTGAGGAGGGGCTGGGTGTGAGCTGCTCAGGTGTGAGGAGGGGCTTGAGTGTGAGGAGGGGCTTGGGTGTGAGTGGCTCGGGAATAGCTAGCCTCCCCCCATGGGCAGGGGAGACCCACTGTGCATGAGAGCCAGGTGCTATTTCCTGTGTGAGAGCCGGGTGCTGTTTCCTGTGTGAGAGCTGGGTGCTGTTTCCTGTGGGAGCTGGGTGCTGTTTCCTGTGTGAGAGCCTGGTGCTATTTCCTGTGTGAGAGCCGGGTGCTGTTTCCTGTGTGAGAGCTGGGTGCTGTTTCCTGTGGGAGCTAGATGCTATTTCCTGTGTGAGAGCCTGGTGCTATTTCCTGTGTGAGAGCTGGGTGCTGTTTCCTGTGGGAGCTGGGTGCTGTTTCCTGTGGGAGCTGGGTGCTGTTTCCTGTGGGAGCTGGGTGCTGTTTCCCGTGGGAGCTGGGTGCTGTTTCCCGTGAGAGCCGGGTGCTGTTTCCCGTGAGAGCCGGGTGCTGTTTCCTGTGGGAGCTGGGTGCTGTTTCCTGTGGGAGCTGGGTGCTGTTTCCTGTGACAGCCGGGTGCTGTTTCCTATGCCTGAGAGCCGGGTGCTGTTTCCTGTGGGAGCTGGGTGCTGTTTCCTGTGTGAGAGCCAGGTGCTGTTTCCCGTGGAAGCTGGGTGCTGTTTCCCGTGACAGCTGGGTGCTGTTTCCTGTGGGAGCTGGGTGCTGTTTCCTGTGTGAGCTGGGTGCTGTTTCCTGTGACAGCTGGGTGCTGTTCCTGTGAGAGCCGGGTGCTGTTTCCTGTGGGAGCCGGGTGCTGTTTCCCGTGACAGCTGGGTGCTGTTTCCTGTGGGAGCTGGGTGCTGTTTCCTGTGGGAGCCGGGTGCTGTTTCCCGTGGGAGCCGGGTGCTGTTTCCCGTGGGAGCCGGGTGCTGTTTCCCGTGGGAGCCGGGTGCTGTTTCCCGTGGGAGCCGGGTGCTGTTTCCTGTGGGAGCTGGGTGCTGTTTCCTGTGGGAGCTGGGTGCTGTTTCCCGTGGGAGCCGGGTGCTGTTTCCTGTGACAGCTGGGTGCTGTTTCCTGTGGGAGCTGGGTGCTGTTTCCTGTGACAGCTGGGTGCTGTTTCCTGTGACAGCTGGGTGCTGTTCCTGTGGGAGCCGGGTGCTGTTTCCTGTGGGAGCTGGGTGCTGTTTCCTGTGGGAGCCGGGTGCTGTTTCCTGTGGGAGCCGGGTGCTGTTTCCTGTGAGAGCCGGGTGCCGTTTCCTGTGACAGCCGGGTACTGTTTCCCGTGGGAGCCGGGTGCTGTTTCCCGTGGGAGCCGGGTGCTGTTTCCTGTGGGAGCTGGGTGCTGTTTCCTGTGGGAGCCGGGTGCTGTTTCCTGTGGGAGCCGGGTGCTGTTTCCTGTGGGAGCCGGGTGCTGTTTCCTGTGGGAGCCGGGTGCTGTTTCCTGTGGGAGCCGGGTGCTGTTTCCTGTGTGAGAGCTGGGTGCTGTTTCCTGTGGGAGCTGGGTGCTGTTTCCTGTGAGAGCCGGGTGCTGTTTCCTGTGGGAGCCGGGTGCTGTTTCCTGTGGGAGCCGGGTGCTGTTTCCTGTGGGAGCTGGGTGCTGTTTCCTGTGAGAGCCAGGTGCTGTTTCCTGTGGGAGCTGGGTGCTGTTTCCTGTGGGAGCTGGGTGCTGTTTCCTGTGACAGCTGGGTGCTGTTTCCTGTGGGAGCTGGAGTCACTGTCAGTAGGGCTGTTGGCCCCTTCCGCCCAGTGGGTGGTGAATGAGGCTGAGAGGTAAGTCCGAGGGCTGCCCTCTGTGAGGACGGGGCCCTGGTGTGGCCGCCATCCACCCCTCTGGAAGAGCCTGGCCGGGTGCCCACCGCTGTGGTCAGGAAGGGTCCTCGACCCAACACCATGGCCGGCCCTGAGCTCAAGCAGAAGCTGGCAAACTCAGGACTGGGCCGGCCCGGGCAGCTCACTGCCCGCTGGGCGGTGCTCTGATTGGATGTCACCTCCCAAAGCCAGGTTGGCATCTGATTGCCATGGTAATGGGATGGGAGGCGCCCGGGCGCCAGGGTTCCACCCGTTCTGCCGGTGCTGTCTCCAAGCTCGGGGTGAGGGCGACGTGTGACCAGGCGGCCGGAGGCCCCCCGAAGCCCCTGAGCTATGAGCCAGGAAAGCTCCCTTCTGTCTACATCACTGTCTCGAGTGTGTTACAGACCAAGGCAGGCGAGGCCCACCAGCACGTGCATGCTGTCCCTTCCGGCCCAGCCGTCGAAGGGCCGTGGGTTTTCACCTGCTCTTCTTGCTTCTGCCTGCACCCCTCACACACGGCACTGTGAGGTTCTGTCTAGCCAGTGCCAGATATGCAGCAGCGCTTGGTGACTGTGGGCGGGGTGTGTGCATGCACACATGTGAGCGTGTGTGTGCAAGACAAATCCCACCTCCCCCGAAGGCTCTGTGCACCCCTGCAGCCCGGGCGTGCAGTCCTTCCAGCTGCCTCACTGAAGGATCTCCAGGAGCCAGAGGCAAGGGGCCCCCCTGTGCCCACCTGTCTACGCCCATACGCACGCGGCGCAAGCCCAGCAGGCCGCCCATACACCACGCTAGAGCAGGCCCACAACGCCAGCCAGTACTGAGACCAGGTCCTGGAGCGAAGCCCTGGGGCTCGGCTACCTCCTCCAGGCTTCCTCCACCCCCAGCCCCCCAGGCCTCACAGCCCGCCCTGTGTGGAATGTGGAGTGCTCCCAGAGCTGCTCTGGTGGGTTTGGGGGTCTGGGGCAGGGCTGGGGGTGGCATTTACTCTCAATGTACACCAGGCATCATCTTCCACAGCTGGATGTGACCATGTCTTTGTGTGGGGGGTGGGGTGTGTGTGTGTGTGTGTGTGTGTGTGTGTGTGTGTGTGTGTGTGTGTGTGTGTGTGTGTGTGTGTATTGTTTGAGGCTAGGCCTCACTACATAGCCCAGGCTGATCTGGAACTCACAACCCAGAATTTGAGGATTACAGGATCGCAAATTGCTAGCATATTCTTGTTCAAAACCTGCTCTTTCAAAGAGAATCCAGACAAGGATGAAACCGTGAGTCACTCGAGTAGACACAATGGCTGGAAGCCACGCCAGCCTCAGCTCTCCGCCTCTGCCCACCCCACCACAGCCACGGGCCTCGCCAGGGCCAGGATTTATAGGACCAAGGTGGTCCTGCAGGCAGCTGGGGGTTCCCTGTACCCATGCCAGCAGCGGCTCTTAAGCCCTGGCTGTAATTTAATTAGCCAGAAAATCCAGTGATGGATTTAGGGATGGCCGCACAAGCCAGGCTCCCGGACCAGGCATCGCTTTCTCGACGACCCGCACCACAACTGGACAGGACAGGGTGGGCAGCGGGGCCAAAAGCCTCCAAAACACTTTAATCGAAGTGTGGATGCAGTCCACGTAGAAAAGGATCTCTGCCCTGCAGGGCCAGCTCACACTAGGCGGTGGAAGGGGTCCCCAGTGGGCCCCTCTGGCTACCCGACCAGCCAGCCCAGGGTCTGTCCGCCGTCTGGTCCTTACCGCAGCTCCGGCCCGTCCAGGGCGTTACCAAGCCTGCTGCTCTGGCTGATGGCACTTCCTCCAGCCACAGGGAGGAGCTGGTGGGGTTCACTGTGGCTGGTGTCCTGGAGGAGCTGGAGACACAACGCACAGTGAGCAGAGCTGCGAGCCCTGGGGCTCGGGGGCAGCGTCCTCACTCAGCGGGAATCTGGCCTTCTGGGTGGTGTGTCCAGGGTGGGACCCTGGCAGGGAACAGGCCTGTGACCTGTGACCCAGGACCTGTGAGCAGAGCTAGCAGAGCCCCTACCGCAGCACTCCAGCAGGGGCAGGGGGATCCGCTCTGTGCTTCCCTGGAATCAGAGCCTCCTTTGCCAGTCTGGCCGTCCTAGCACCCCTGCCAGCTGCTCAGGGCACTGCCTACCAACCTAAAGCAAAACGAGGGCTTGGCTTCAGCTTTGCTCCAACTCAATCCCGATCTCTAGCCTGGTGCTGTGACCGCCCTTTGGAGAGCCAGAGAGGGCAAGCCTGACCTGTCTGGGACCCCCAGCCATAGCCACAGACCAAGGCCTGGATGGACGTGGGAAGGCAGCCTGCCCTGCACCTGCTCTAAGGGTTAGGAGACAGGTGTGGCGCTGGACCCTTCCCAGGTGGCAGCCGCCAAGATGGGTGGGAGCTGCTGGCCTGCGTTCAGCAGCGGCTGGGGTTGGAGGATCTCAGGCCCAGGGCCCCGTGGCGGGCGTGGGTGGGTGGTTAGCAGTGCCCCACCTCGCCCTGCTTCCTCCCAGGCACCTCCTGTCCCTGTCACAGTGACCCTGGACCCACTGAGTCACCCAAGATGCCACCCACTCCTGCGTCCAGGCACCACAGGGCACACCTGCTACAGTTGGGGTGACATGTGGTGGGCACAGTGGTGGCAGGTGTGGTGTGGCTCCGTGGGGTGTGGCGTGACCCCCTCTCCACATGCGGTCTGTGTTAAGACTGCGAGGGGCTATGTGGGACCCTGAGAATACAGAATGGAAGAAGCTTCCAGGAAACAGGAGACAGTCCTGAGGGGTAGGGCTCCTGGGGCCGAGCTGGCAGACGGCTGTGGTCCAAAGCGCTGTGCCCGGGGGTGTGGAGGAGGTGCCCCGTGCAGGCCAGAAGCCGGACTGAGAGGCAGCATGGACCAGGTGCTGGGGGAGAGGGCAGGGAGGAGGAGGAAACGCTGTCCCCCAGGGGAGAGCTGGCAGGCCCTAACGCTGCTCCCCAGGGGAGAGCTGGCAGGACCTAACGCTGCCCCCCAGGGGAGAGCTGGCAGGACCTAACGCTGCCCCCCAGGGGAGAGCTGGCAGGACCTAACGCTGCCCCCCAGGGGAGAGCTGGCAGGCCCTAATGCTGCCCCCCCAGGGGAGAGCTGGCAGGCCCGCCGGCCTCAGCGTAAGAGCACTCAGAACAGCCCCCACATCTGTCTCCACACCCTAGTCCCTGCTCTTCCAGAGCCTCATCCTGGGGTGCTGGTCCTGTCTCTCCTGCCTAGGTGGTGGGGAACTTGGGGACAGAAGGCCCAGCCACGGTTCTGCCCTCAGACTCCTCGGTGATGGGCGGGGAACACATGGACCTTCTGGGCCTGGCCTGCTGGGGACAGATTCCCCCCCCCCCTTCCTAGATCCTCTCCAGAAATTCTCCACCCCACACCCTTGCCCACCTCAGAGCCTGCTTGCTGTGGGATGGGGAAGCCCAGCCCAATGCTGCCCTCTACAGGCCACAGAGAGTCAAGCAGGACACAGTCCCCAGAACCAAAGAGAAAAAGGTTCTCAAAGATCAAAGAGGGCGTGCAGCAGGAAAGATGGGAAGTAGAACAGGCTCAGTGCCCTTCCCTGTTCCTGCGCTTCCCTGGGAGCCTCTGAGGCTGGGGCATGACTGTACTCCAGGTCAGCTGACAGCTGGGGTTCAACCCTGACTCGCTCAATCCCCCATCCTAGGTGATCCTAGCGGGCACACCAGCTCCCTGCCCCGGGCCGGGGGCCATGGCAGCCTTAAGCAGTACCAACCCTCACTGAAGCAGGTGCTTGGCTCAGCCTGGCTGGGCCCCTCTTTGGGGGAGGGGTGGCCTCCGAGCCGGCAAAGGGGCTGCCAAGCAAGGCCGCCAGGGTGAAGCCATGTCGGGTGTCCCCCACCCCCCACAACAGGCCCACACGTGGCCAGCCATCCCCAGAAACGCCTCCCTCTGTGCCTCTCTGGACACAATTCTGGGATTTATTTTTTCCAGATCCTGGGGCTTAAACTCGGGGTCTCTGAGCTTTACCACTTTGAGCCACAGCTCCACTTAGGGCTTTTTGTGGTTATTAGGAGATAAGAGTTTCACAGACTTTCCTGCTCGGGCTGGCTTTGAACTGCGATCCTCAGCTCTCAGCCTCCTGAGTAGCTAGGATGACAGGCGTGGGCCTCCGGCGCCGGGCTTGGTTCTGGGATCTGGAGGCAGGCAGCCTGGGTGGCGGTCATGGCGGCGGAGGTGCACTATGCGGGACTCACCTCCGTGTGTAGGTGCTGAGGGCTTGGAGCGGGGCTGACGCCCCCCGCGGCCTCTTCTCCAGCTCCCACTCATCCTCGTCCGGGATGTCTTTGGGAGGGGCACATGGTTTCACAGTGACCCAGAGGGCGCGGCACTGCCAGTCGAGGGGCGGGAGGGGCGGGGGCGGGGCAAGCTGGCTGCCCAGTCCTTTAGAACCATAGGGGACTCGCTCAACTTCTGCAGGAAGGAGCCTCCAGCCACGGCCTCGCCACAGGCCACGCCAGGAGGGTCAGCCACGCTCACTCCTCGCACCCCCCGACCGCCACTGTCTTCCTGTCTCCCTTTCTAGCCCTACCTTTGGCCTGGCTCTGGAGGTAGGCCGGCGTGCTTGGGCTCTGTGGCTCCCACCTCGAGCTCCATGGCCACGTCTCAGCATCTGGGAAGCAGGCGGCAGGGAGGACGGACCGGGGCTGCACACGCACTGCGTCCGCGGACGCCGCTCTTCCCCCACTGGGAACCATGTCGGGGAAGGCAGAGGAAGTGAGAGTGGGGGTGGCAGGCACCGGGCCGGGCCCCGAGCGGGGCAGATCCGAGGCCAGGCTCCTGCCAGTGTCCGGCGACTCCGTCCGGCGCAGCTTGGCGGTCAGGATGTCGATGCGCTGCTTGAGGACGTCGGCCATGGTCTCCAGCGCCTGCAGCCGGGCCTGTTTGTAATGGAACTGCAGGGGGGACCGGCCCAGGGCCTCAGCTTCCCAGGGCTCCACATAGATGCACAGCCTCTGGGGCAGGTCCTCGAGCTTTGGGGGGGCCCAGGAGGCGGTGGATGGCAGCAGCGGGGCGCCACTCATGCTGTCCAGGCGGCCTCTGGAGTCCGGGGTCTCAGCACGGTTCCAGGCTCTGTTCAAACACAGACAGAAGCTGCAGAAGAGAAGAGTGAGCAGACGCTCAGCCCCAGCCAGGCCATGGTAGATGCTGTGTGCAAAACGTGTGTGTGTGTGTGTGTGTGTGTGTGTGTGTGTGTGTGTGTGTGTGTGTGGCCGAAGTGTGGAGCGGGAGGCAGCTGCGTGGAGGCTTGGACATCATGGCTCATCCGACCACGTGCAGTGAGTTGTCAACTAGGACAAAGGGCAGGGGTGGCAGGGCATGGCCGCACCAACCACACACCAGGGTGAGACTGTCAGACAGTACAGCTGCTGAGGGAAACCAGATCCTCAAATACTAGACTGAATTACCACCTGATTCAACAGGTCCACTTCTGGGCAAAAGTATGGAAAGCAGGCCAGATGCTGTGGCTCACGCCTGTAATCCCAGCTACTTGGGAGGTGGAGATGAAGCAAGACTATGGTTCAAGGCCACCAGGTCAGGCAAAAGTGTTTGTGAGGCCCTGTCTGGAGCAGTAGTTGAGGGGAGGATCCGTCACCCGGGCTCCTCAGGAAGTGTCCTGTGTCATGGTCCAGACAGGCCTAGGCAAAAACGCAAGACTCCAGCCCCAAAATACAGACCAGAAAGAGTGGGGGGAGCGTGGCATAGGTGGTACAGCACTGCTCAAGCAAGCATAAGGCCCCGAGTTCAACCCCCAGCACCCACCGACTCCCCCAAAAGTACTGGGAGCACAGCATGAGCAGACATCTGCACCCCATGTCTACAGCATAAATATTCACACCAACCAAAGACAAAACAACCCAATGTCCCTCCCATCGGGGACGGGAGGACCCCAAGAGGCATGGGTACTGGATACCACATGGGTCAAGGCCTGTCCAACTCTTGCCTCTGGCAAGAGGCACACCCAGGGGCTCCGGAGTGAGCCCAGCGCAGGACTCTTCCGGCAGGGGTACTCTGGGGCTCAGCCATGTCCTAGCTGTGTGCCCGCTCCCCCTGCCCAGGCTGCCCGGGACGTCCTTGGCGCGTGGCCAGATGAGGCCCTGCCGCGTGGGCCGGCCCTGCCACGGCCCCTGGGTGTCCAAGCAGCCCTTCCTGGCAACACCGAGGGCCAGCAGAGTGGGGGGGGGGAGGGGAGGGAGGCACTGCAGCATTCCCGTGTGGCCTAGGAAGGAAAGCTGACTTGGATTGGTTAAAATACAGGCTAGGCAAAGCCAGGCATTGTGGTTCCTACCCTGAGTTAGCCTATAATCCCAGCTATCTAGGAACTGAAATCTGGGGACCGCAGTTCAAAGCCATCCTGGCAGGAGAAGTTGTGAGTCTCTTATTTCCAGTGAACCACCAAAAAGCTAGAAGTGGAGCTGCAATTCAAGTGGCAGCACGCCAGCCTGCAGGGACAGAGCTCAGGCCCAGAGTTCAAGCCCAGTACCCATACCTACGCACGTGTGCACACACATACATACATGCACACACATGCACCAAAATCAAAAAGGGGAAAGGAAAGTCAGTACGTTGGCACCGGTAGGGTCACGAGAATTCTCACATTTCCAGAGACCTGCCTGGAAACACCTAGAAAAGCGATAGAGAGAGAGCTGCTGTGACGCCCTCCCAGCTCTGGGCCCCGGTGCCCAGGTTCTAACCTGATAGGCCACAATCCTAGATGTTGAAATCCTGTAAGAGCAAAACTCCAAAATCTAAAATCTCAACCCCAAAAGGGAAGGCCGAAGTCCTGAATCCTGACATGAGGAACTCTACCATTCCCATGAAGAAAGCCGGGGGAAGGGCTGGGGCCCAGTGCTGAGGTCGGGGCTGGTACGCCTCCTGCGTGATGGCCACACCACGTCAGGCAGAAGCAGCACCTAGAAACATGGGAAGCCTGACTGGGCGGGAAAGGAAAATGAGCATGACCTCCGGGAAAAGCAAAACCAAAGCAGCCGCCCTCCACCTACCCCTGTAACCTACTTTCTCATGGCAAACCTTTTGAGTTTCTCTATGTGGCCCAAGCGTGGAACTCACTGTGTAGCTGAGGCTGGCCTTGAACTTGTGATTCTCTTGCTGAGCCTTCCAAGTGCTGGATTTACAGGTATGCACCCCAAGCTCTGCTATCTTTTCTTTCTCATTTTCCCCCCAGCATTAAAAAAAACAGCATCATTTTGTACAATTCACTTTGCTGTGCATTTCATATTCATGTCACTGACGGACATGAAGCTATAAATCGTGTGAGACCTCTAAGAGTTCTAAATGGCTTATGTGCTTTCTGCAGATTTGACCCCAGGGTAAATACAATACCACAGTGCTGGCAATGTACATAAGCATTTTGGGGTACATGAAACACTGAAACTCACTGGCTTGGGCCAGTAGCTCATGCCTATAATCACAGCTACTTAGGAGGCTGTGATCTGAGATTGTGGTTTTAAGTAAGCCTTGACTTACTTGACTTTTTTTCCCCCCAGTCCATTACTCTATCACTTGAGCCACAGTGCAGCTTCTGGAATTTTCTGAGTAGTTTGTTGGAGATAGTCTCATGGATGGGCTGGGAAGGTGGCTCAGTGGTAGAGCACTTGCCTCGCATACATGAGTCCCTGGGTTCAAATCCTCAGCACCACATAAAAGCTGGAAATGGTGCTGTGCCTCAAGTGGTAGAGCCCTAGCCTTGAGCTAAAGCAACTCAGGGACAGTGCCCAGGCCCTGAGCTCAAGCCTCAGGACCGGCACAAAAAAAAAAAAAAAAGTCTCATGGACTTTGCTGCCCGGTCTGGCTAACGGAGATCTTCAGATCTCAGTCTGAATAGCTAGCATTACAGGTGTGAACCACCAGTGCCCAACTATTAGACCTTTGTCTCCAATTAACCATCAAAAAAGCTGGTACTAGACTCATGGTTCAAGTGGTGGAGTGCTAACCTGGAGCAAAAAAGCTCAGCAACAGTGCCCAGACCCTGAGTTCAAGCCTCAGAATGACACAGAAGACAAAAAAAAAAAAAACACCACTGAAACTCAGCCAGGCACCAATGACTCAGACCTGTCACTCTAGCTCCTTGGGAGGCTGAGATCTGAAGGATCACAGTTTGAAGCCAACCCAAGCAGAAAAATCTCCCAGACTCTATCTCCAAAATAACCAGCAAAAAGCAGGGTTGGAGGCATGGCTCAAGTGCAGAGCACCAGCTGAACAAGCACAGGCCGAATTCGAACATTTATGCTGGCAAATAAAATAAATAAATAAAAGCAATTCCCTCGGTATATGAGGGGTGCTTTTGTTCAAGATGGGATTTCTCAGTATTAATTGTGTGTCCATGGCTCAGGCCTGTAGTTCTAGCTACTCAGGAGATCCTGAGATCTGAGATCTCAGGAGGACAGTTCAAAGTCAGCTTAGGAAGGAAAGTCCATGAGATTCTTATCTCCAGTTAGCTGCCAGAAAAGCCAGAAGTGGAGCTATGGCTCAAGTGACAGCATGCCAGCCTAGAGCAAAAAAGCTCAGGGACAGAGCCCAGGCCCTGAGTTCAAACCGCGGTGCTGGCACATGCACAGGAACTCAGTACCTTGACGCCACTGGCTCTTGGAGGATTGGGAAGGGTCTGCCGTGAGCGGGCTGCTGTGAGCGGGCTGCCGCTCGCAGTAAGCAGATGACAGAGTGTGGAGCTGGTCCACAGGTGTGCACCATCAGCTTACTTTCACACCTTTGAATTCAGACTCATTTCTTTGTAAATATGGCTCACAACTGACACACCCACTGTGTTTATGCTCAGAAAAAAAAAGATGCTATGCAGTTCTACCCGTTCTACTGTGTCAAGCAGCCTATAAAGTGTCACGCTCCTATGCACCACGGCAGTCCCCGGTTGAAAATTAAATATCTATGTCTCCTAAAGAACTTTAAATGATCATTTCCAGGACTTCAGTCTTTTGGGGTTGTGATTTGGGGAATTTCAGGCATTAGGGATTTTGGCTTTGGGGGGGATTTCAACATTAGGGATTATGGCACTTGGGACTGTGTGTTTCTGGATTATGATTGTAACCCCCAGGACATCCCCTGGGAAATAAGAACAGGTACCCCAACAAGCACATGCACACCAAGGTTTACAGCCACCAAAAGGTGGAAGAGACCCAAGAGCCCACCAACAGTAGCGGGTTGTAAACAGAAAGAAGTCCTGCCTGGCCTGGTAGCATGGGTGAACATGCCTTCTAGGAAGGCGAACCAGACCCCCAGCGCCTTTACCTGAACGTCGGGAAGAGGAGAACCTACAGAGATGGCGGCTGGAGCCGAGTGTGGGTCTGCTCTACGCATGCCAAAGGGACAGAGAGCTAGACAGGGATGAGCCCATCCCTGGGCCTGTACTAAACGCTCTCAAGCTGGGCATTTAGAAATGGACAGTTTAAGTCCAGTGCTGTTGGCTCACGCCTGCAATCCTAACCCCAGGAGGCTGGGATCTGAAGATTGTGGTTTGAACCCAGCCTGGGTGGGAAAGTCTGTGAGACTCTTATCTCCAACTACCCACACCAAAAAGCCAGGCGTGGAACTGGGGCTCAAGTGCTAAGACTGCCAGCCTTGTGTGAACAAGCTAAGGGACAGTGCTCTCCTGGGCCCCGGGTTCAACTCCCTTTTCCCCCAAAGCATAATTTCAGTTCACGGCAATTCTCACCTCAACAGAAACACAGCGGTGACCATTGCTGTGTACAGCGCTGGGCAGTGGGAGACATTCCCCAGGGGATTCACTGTCACAGCCGTCAAGTGCCCAGATTTTACGCCCCTCCCCCCCACATATACCCTTGTACCCACCTGCCTGGGGCCTCCTGGTCCCCCAGCACCTTGCCGGATGTCACCTTGCTCCACTCCTGCAAACCCAGGCTCCCAGGGACTTCTAAATCCTTCAGCAGAGGAGACCCATCAGAGCCCTAGGCCAGAAGACCCCACAGCCCCTTCTCCTGAGGCTCAGAGGCTGGACCAAGACCCCCACTGGCCCTCCAGGCACATACCCCAGCCTGCGCAGAACTGGGAACAAAGGTGACGATGCTAGGCTTCGTCTGGGAGACCATGGGGAACGCCTTGCCCAGCATGGCCTCCCTCTGCTTCTGGTACACCTCCTGCAGCCTCTGGTTCCTCAGGTCCAGTGTGTGGGCTGTCCTGGCCTTCTGCTCCAGGGCCTGCTGCTGCCGGGCCTGGGCCTTGCGGCGCATGAAGTCTCGTAAGGACTCGGAGCTGTGGGGCTGCTCCACAGCCTTCTGCGGCCTGGGACGGGGTGTGTCCTGCCCCCGGGGGTGCCTCGGCCAGGCCTGCTTGGCTCCCCAGGGAGGGGGCCCTGCCTTCTGCAGGAAGGAGCTGCTCCAGGAGGGCTTGGGGGAGAGGCCAGGTCTTTCCAGAGGGCTCCAGGGTCTGGAGACGTGAACCTTCCGGTCTTCATAAGTTGCCCAGGGGCTCAGGGGGCTGGGAGGCCGCCCGGAGGAGCTCAGCCCCTCGGCAGGGCTCCGGGGCCTTCGGCTCAGCCCCTTGGCAGGGCTCCCGGGCCTTCGGCTCAGCCTCTCCGCGGGGCTCCCGGGCCTTCGGCTCAGCCCCTCGGCAGGGCTCCCGGGCCTTCGGCTCAGCCCCTCGGCAGGGCTCCTGGGCCTTCGGTAGCAGTCCTGGCCTTGGGCTGCCCGGTTCTTCTGCGGATAGGCCTGTCCAGCCAGGGCACTCCAGGGGCGCTCAGGAAACAGGCCTGATCCCTCGGCAGGGCCCCTGGGCCTTGGGAAGGACGGGTCTGGGGTCTTGGCCCTCGAGGCCCTCTGTAGACTGGGCTTCCTTTCAGTCAGCGAGCTCCAAGGCCTCTGGCTGTGGAAGCTCCTTGCTCGGCCTAAAGAGGACCGTGTCCCCTCGGTCGCCACAGTCCACGGGCTCTTGGGAGAGGCGCCCTGTGCGGCCTGGGCGCTGGGGAGGCCCGGCTGCCTCCTCCCTGATGGGTTCTGCGGCTTCGGCCTCCGTGCGCCCCTGGGGTGCTGAGCCATCTCCAGCCCAGCCTGAATCTGCTGGCGCAGGTCCTGGAGGACGGCCAGAGCGGTGTGGACGGTCGCCGGTGGCCCGCGGGAAGCCAGCTGGTCACTGTGAGCAGAGGTGGGCCTGGACAGCCAGGGGGAGCCGGGGGAGCCCTCGGCGGCTGGGGCTCTCTCATCAGCTCCTGCAAAGACAGGCAGCGGTGGGGCCTTGGGCGCTGCAGACCGGAGGGAAGAGTTTCCCCATGGTCTCAGCGATCACCGTCGGGATGGGTACGTGGAGGTGCGCATGCACACGGCCTGCCCGGGGTGCCGGGCTGAGCGAGCATGTACATGGCCTGCTCCAGGTGCTGTGCTGAGTGAGCATGTGCATGGCCTGCTCCAGGTGCTGTGCTGAGTGAGCATGTACATGGCCTGCTCCGTGTGCTGTGCTGAGTGAGCATGTACATGGCCTGCTCCAGGTGCTGTGCTGAGTGAGCATGTGCATGGCCTGCTCCAGGTGCTGTGCTGAGTGAGCATGTACATGGCCTGCTCCGTGTGCTGTGCTGAGTGAGCATGTACATGGCCTGCTCCAGGTGCTGTGCTGAGTGAGCATATACATGGCCTGCTCCAGGTGCTGTGCTGAGTGAGCATGTACATGGCCTGCTCCAGGTGCTGTGCTGAGTGAGCATGTACATGGCCTGCTCCGTGTGCTGTGCTGAGTGAGCATGTACATGGCCTGCTCCAGGTGCTGTGCTGAGTGAGCATGTGCATGGCCTGCTCCAGGTGCTGTGCTGAGTGAGCATGTACATGGCCTGCTCCAGGTGCTGTGCTGAGCGAGCATGTGCACAGCTTGCGCGGGTGCGGGGCTGAGCGAGCAGGGGCATGCAGGGGAGGGGGCTGTTTGTCTCTGAAGCAGCCCAAGGAGGCTGCTCCTGTTTCTTAGATTGTTTCCCTTTCTCATACTTGGGATGGAACTCAGGGCTGTGCACCTGCTATGCAGCTAATCTATCTAGCATTTGAGCTACTTCTCCAGCCCCTGCCCCTTTTTTTGTAGTCCTGGACCTTGAACTGAGCCTGGGCACTGTCCCTGAGCTTCTTTGTGCTCAAGGTAAGCCCTCTACCACTGGAGCCACAGCTCCACTTCTGGCTTTTGGTGGTTCATTGGAGATAAGAGTCTCTCAGACTTTCCTGACCCGGCTGGCTTTGAACCGCGATCCTCAGACCCCAGCCTCCTAGGATACAGGTGTGGGCCTGCAGCACCCGGCTCTCGCCCCTTTTCACCTTGGTTACTGTCAAGGTAGAGTCTGGCTCCGTGCCTGGGTCAGCCGGAGCTGCAGTCCTCCACCAAGGATGGCAGCAGCTCTGCCCTGCCCGGCCCTGGGCTTCCCCCTGTGCCCAGCCATTGGTTGGCACCTCACAAACTTCTTCTTACCCCAACTTGCCTTGGACCATGATCCCCTGGGGGATTCCAAGTAGCTAGGATTACTGGCTTGAGCCGCTGCACTCAGCTTTGTTTAGGTTTTCTTCTGGGGGAAGGGCTTGAACTCAGGGCCTCACGCTGTCATTTAGTTTTTTTCTCTCAAGGCTGGTGCTCTACCTCTTCAACCACAGAGTCTACTTCTGGTGTTTTGGTGGTTTATCTAGAGACAAAAGTCTTATAGACTTGCCTGCCTAGGCTGGCTTTGAACCATGATCCTCAGATCTCAGCCTCGTAAATAGCTAGAGTTGAAAATATGAGCCGCCGGCGTGCGCATCATAGGGTTTTGAAAGGTAATTATCTCCAAAGTCACTTCCCAGGCAATGAACTAGGAGGATGATTGGCAGGTCCTATACCGCCTTTGCCAATGGTGTGCATCTGTGGCTGGGGGCATCTCCTCTTCCACGCCCACCCTACCGCCCCCAGATGCCGTAGCAAAGCAGGACAGCCCATGGCAGAGGCGAGAGGTACCTAAGTCGGCGGCGGGGGCGGGCTGTCTGGAGGGTGGCTTGCTCTGGAGCCCGGGGCGGGCCGGAGGGGGCCCCAGCAGCGACCGTACCAGTGCTTGTCCTCTCCGCCAGGCGTAAACGCCAACCAACTCAGAATCTTAAACAGAGAAGACACCACACACAGCCGGGCACCCTGGTGCCTGAGGGGTGTGGATGGACAGGTGGCTCGCTCCACTCTGTCCCCACAGACCAAGGGGCTCGGTGCAATCCTTCCTGGGGTGCAGGACCAAGCCCTCAGGCACCGGGCAGCGGCGCCCTGTGCTGGGGAGACCGTGGGCCGTGTCCTGAGGCCTCGGACCCTTAGACTCCCTTTCAGTGAGGGGGCAGTGGGGCTCCCCACCGCCCTGCCTGGGCAGCAGAGCCCTGCCCCAGCCCCCGCCCCCAGCATGCCCTGGGAGGAGCCAGGCAGCCTGGGGCAGGGCAGCCTGCACACGGCCACCCCTGCAGGAGCCATGGCTCCAAGCTCCGGCTGACCACACTCCACAGTCCAGTCTAAAGCCGGGCAGAGTCACAGACGTGGGCAGATCCGTGCCAGAGTCCTGGCCGTCCAGAGGCAGCAGAAATAAAGGGCCCGCCACGTCCCAGACACAGAGCAGCTTTCCTTCAACCTGTTGTCACGTTCAGCGCCACTCACTGAGGCTTTACTTCGAATCCCAGGTCCCAATCCCCAACCACCACTGCCAGCCCTTCTCTACTGACCCATTTCCCAGGACGCGGCAAAGGCAGGCAGCAGACTTTTTGCTCACGCACTCTCACACACACATGCGCTCACACACTCATACACACTCATTCGTATGTTCCTATGCACACGATCACACCTGCACTCTCACGCACACACACGCTCATGTGCATATCCGCACATACGCCCGCTCTTTAAGGCAGAAACCACATGTGTGCTGGGCTCCTGGCCCCCCACACTCTGCTCTGGGGTCCAGCCCATGGTGGTGCTAACTTGAGACCTAGGACAAAGCTCCCTCCTTGGCCAAGTAGCCAGGCCCTTGGCTGCCCCGGGGCAAACCACCTGGCCGAGCAGAGCCCATTCTACGTCCTCCTGCCCTGCCTCAACCTCCCCCCAGGCTGGGCAGCACCAGGCAGCTCTCGGGCCACGTCCTGGGGGAGGGAGGGATAGGGTACCCAGGCCAGCACAGGGCAACAGTGCTGGCTTACAGCCCTAGACCTGGGATTTCAGCGTCCTCACAACACTTCTTTACAGGGCCACGAAGATGGATGGATGGCCACCATCTTTCTAAGACGAACCCTGACTCTGCTGGCTCAGGGTGGAGACCCGGGCAATGAGCTTGGCTGGGCCATGTCTGGGTGGCAGGTGGAGTGTGGGGCAGGGACCTCCGCCAGGGTTCCCCCCCCCCACGGCTGCCACCTGCCGGCCCCTCGGCCCCAGCCCCTCCCTCCAGGCTGCTCGACCCCCTCCCACCAGCCCACCGAGGGGCCTGGTCGATGAATGGGCCCTGATGGGCACATTTTTTTCTTCCACGGAGCAGTTTAATGGCAATTAATTTTTTTACGAGCGGATTTTTAATCTGTGGAAATGGAAGGCGTCCCCAGGTGCCCTGTCAGCGCTCCGGGCCAACCTAATCTATGATAACAAATGCAAAGCAAGGCCATATAATCGGAGATTAAATATCAGCCTTAATTTTCCTTTGGCCCGGATGGATGAATATTTTATAACTATTGTGGTTTAATTTTTTGTTAACTACAGCAAATTTCTAATTCATCCAATTCCCGAGTCCTGTGGTTGTGACCTCTGAACTCCAACTCATCTCTCCTTAGCCCGGCTGCGCCTTCCTCACTGACAGAAACTAATGGTCACCGTGGCCGGGGTGACACGGTGCTTACGATGATGGATGCGGCCCGTGGCATGCCCTTCTGACCCCATGTCAGGCAGGAGGCAGGTCATTTTTCAAGGAAGCCATTAAAACCAAGCTCACCAAAACGCTGGGGGTGGGGAGGGGGGATGACGCGGCCATGTTTTATGCAGGTTCAGGAATCTTCCGGAACCTTTTGGGAGCCCTCTCACGGCCCCTCTCCTGGACGCCTGCCCGGTGGCACCTCTGCCCGCCGAGCAGCCCTGCCCTCCCTGTCCCACAGCACTGGCCCTGTCCAGCTGCCCCACTTCCCCAGGGGCCCCTCGCTGAGCAGGGTGCGGAGACGCCACCGCGCTGCCTGGGGACATCTGGCCGTGCCAGACAGTCCGCAGCACCCACTGCCCAAGCGGACGGACCCGGGACTGCGATCTCACCCACCGAGGGGAGGCTGAGACGCGGACTCGCAGGGCTGTGAGCTGCCGCCGGTGTAGAGTGAGGGTCTACAGAGCTGGCTGCAGCCCCTGCGTGTTCCCAGAGCCCAGTTCCCCGTGCCCAGGCCCGGGCAGAACGCGAAACCTCCCCAGCCTCAGTTTCTGCATCTCCTGAACGGGTGCCAGCCTGCCTCCCTGGGGAGAGCGGCTGGGACAGAGTGGGTGGACATTCTGGGAGACAGCACCACACCCAGCCTGGCCCTGAGGTGCTGAGGGACCTGAGGGCTCTGCCACCCACCTGGCCCGGGGGGACCCCGAGGACCACGCCCCAACTCCAAATGTAGCCCCTCGGCTGGGAAGCTAGGTCTCCATAGACCCCAGCCTCAGGGAGGGGCCTGAGTTAGAAACCTGCCAGTCCTCCTGCCACCCACAGGGCCACTGAGGACAGCCCTCCTGGACATGCCCTGACACTGGCCACCATGTCGACCTGGGGCTGGCCTGCACCCAGGGCCAGGGGAGGGCGGGGTCTGCCCGCGCCCCCCTCCCTCCTGGTGCGTGCTGCTCCCCGCGCATGCCGCCTGCCATCCAGATCCCAAGTCATAGAAGCGGGAGCCACCGGCTGTCTCAGTGCTCTGAGCACAAGACCCTGATGCTGGGGCCAGCCCCGCGGGTCCCGGGTCTCCCCATGTCCTGCAGGGCTGCCTGCCCGCCCGCCGGGGGCCCACATAGCAAATCTCACCTTTGCTTTTGGCAGCTCTGCTGGGGACGGGCAGTCTGGGGGCCTTCTCGCTTTTATAAGAACTGCTTTTCATCCTCTTGGCGTTTTCCCAGGGAACTTCAGGGAGGAGAGCGGGGGGAGAGGGAGGGAGAGAGGGAAGGAGGGAGGGTCAGTGGTAAGACGGCACACGCACCACATGCTTGCTCGCCAAGCGGAGCCTGGGTTCCTCTGCTGAGTGCATGAACCCCTGCGTGAACCACATCTGGAGGAAGCCCAGGGCACGCCGCCTCCGCTCAGGCCAGGAGAAGAAGATGGAGGGCTGGGAACGAGGGGCCCACCCTCTGGCCAGCACAGGCAAAGCTCCTTTAACCTCCCTCCCGTAGCAAGCCGAGAGACTGCTCAGGGGAAAGCCAGTCCCAAGGCCTGTCTACCGCATTTCCCAGCACCACTGGCCCTAATTTAGGCTCTGTGCCTGCAAGCCCAAACACCAACCAGCCAGGAGGCCTGGCCAGGCTGAGAGGAAGACCATGCCCAGGTTGCCAGGCGTCCACCACACTGGGTTCCATCTTGGTTTCTGTCATGGCTCTATGCATCCCAATCCTGTGGGCAGGAAGGTACTCAAGATTCAAGCGCCCTTAAATGGACAAGTCCTCAGCCAGGCATGGTAGTACATGCCTTTAATTCCAGCACTGGAGGCTGAGGCAAGAGGATCCATGTTGGAGGCCAGACTGGGCTCCACAGCCAAAAGAAAAAAAAAAAAAAGTAAAAGGACAGTCTTGTGAGATTCCAGTCACATGATTTCTTCAGAGTTGGCAGCTGCACAGAGACAGGAAGTAGTTGGAAGTAGGTGGCGGGTTGGAGAGATGGAGAGCAAAGTTTGTGGGGACAGAGAGGTCATGTGGGGAAAAAGAGAGGGTCTGTGGGTAGGTGCGGGGAGGGTGGTGAGTTTGTGCTACCTGTGCTTACCACAATTTGTGGTGCTGGGATTTGAACTTGGGGTCTCACAGGTGCACAGCTGATGCTTTACCACTGAATCACAACTGCAGCCTGGCTTTTTGCTGGTTATTTTGGAAATGGAGTCTCTCATCGTCTTTTCTGCCTGGATTGGCATAAAATTGCCACCCCCTGGGCCTGGGCCTCGGCCTCCTGAGTCGCTAGGATTGGAGAGTCCTGGATTCCTAGACTACCATCGTGTTCGTTTTTTAAAGGCTTTCCTCTAGAGAGCTCTGGTTGGCGGGAAGGGGCTGGGTCCTGCGTCCTGGGCCAATGGGTGGGTGGCTGCCCTGGAATGAGGCGGGGGCACAGTCCACTGGCCCTCCGGGGAAGGAGGGGTGAGGGCAGTCAGCGCGGGCCCCAGCCACCAGCCTGCCAGGCCCCTGCCTGTCTGCCCATCTGGCCCGAGCTGCATGGTAGGACCCACCCCAGCGCTCCCGGGCCCGCTGCCTACGTGGGGCAGGTGGGGTGCCAACCAGCCTCTCCCCTGCCCACCTCCCAGCTCCAGGGTACGCCCACCGTCCTCCCCAGCTGAGCGCTCGGGCAGCCTGCGGGGAGCTCAAGTCCTGCAGGGCGGGCTTCCTATCCCCCTGGCTGGTGGAGACAGACTCCACCCTGGGCCGGCCCAGCACCCACCTGACACACTCCGAAGGGAGAGGCCGTGTTCCCAAACACCCCAGCCCTCCAGGCCCCAGAGCGGGTCCTGTCCACCCCTCCCTGACCCTCTGCTCTCAGACCCCTCCGCCCCCTCCCCCCGGTCTACCCAGAGCCGTCACCACCTCCAAGGTCGGGTGTTGTCTGGGGTGGGGAGGGAAGGGGCGGTGCTGCCCACCTTCAGGAGGGAACAGGGAACACAGCACCTGCGGGGCCCCTTGCCTGGCTCCCTTACCGGAAAGGTCTTCTCAGAGTCCTCCTCCCGGGAGGCAGCGCTCGGAGCCCAGGACTCAGAGACTAGAGGCCAGCTCTACCTCCTCCCTCAGCCCTTTCCCACTAGAGGCTGGGCTCCCTCTGTCTCTTCACCTGTGAACAGGTCACCCTATATGGTCCACACCACCACGATCCAAGCCTCCAACCTGGAGCTGCTCACGGGATGGCCCGGGAGAGCTCCCGCCCCCCGGCCCCGGGCTGGGTGCTGCCTGCGCCCCCCCCCCACACACACAGAATGCCCACTGCCTGAGCAGAGTGCAAGGAAAGGCGTGTGTGAAGAGGTCCCACTAGGGCTCCCAGGGCCAGGCTCTAGTTTGGAGCCACTCAGACCTGGAGCCGGGCCCAAGAACACACCATCTGCACACACACTGGCGCTCAGCCAGACAGCCACATCTCATTGGCAGTCTAACTGGTACAAACTGCTCGGAGGCTTCATGGAGGTAGCATGGCTGTGCACACCTGGTGCTGGGCACCCAGGGGCAGGCATCACACACACATGCAGCAAATCCCATTTTTGAGCCAGGTGCTAGTGGCTACTCGGAGCTCACACCTGTCATCCTAGCTACTCAGGAGGCTGAGATCAGAGGGTTGTAGTTTGAAGCCAGCACAGGCAGGAAAATCCTTGAGACTCTTATCTCCAACGAACTAGCAAACCCAGAACTAGAGCTGAGGCTCAAGTAGAACACTGGCCTTCAACAGCTGAGAAAGATTGGCTCGTGGGCGCTGGAGCAGTGGATCCGTCTGCTGATAGATCATAATCAGGGGCATGTTTGGGGGGGATGGGAAGCAGGAATGGAGGATGTAGCTCACTCTCCCCGTTGTCCTCCCTGGCTCCCCACTTCCCCGACGCTCTGCTGGCTGGCTGCAGTGAGGTGAGAACTCTCTCTCTCTCCTTCTCTCTCTCTCTCTGCTTCCTGGATGCCGGAGGTGAGCAGCTTTCCCCTGCCACATTCTCTGAGGCTGAGAGTCAAAATAAGCCTCTCTTCCTTTAACCCGCATTTGTCACCATGGTGACAGCACAGAAAGTTGCTAGTGGAAAGTGGGTCGTGACTGTAACTAAACCTAGAGATGCGAGTATCAGAGTTCATGTGGTTCCGTCCCAGCTCAGGGCTGGGTGTGGCAGTGTATGCCTGTCAGCCCAGCTACAGGGGAAGCACAACAGCCAGGTACAATGGTATGTGTCAACCCCAGCGACTCACAGGAAAGCGCACGTAGGAGGTCAATGTTCAGGCTGGCCAGGGCACAAATCCAGAGCCTCCCTCCAAAACAACCAAGGCTGCTAGGGGAGGCAGCTGTGGTTCAAGTACTAGAGTGCCTTGTGAGGCCTTCAGTTCAATACCCAGTATTGCCAAAAGAACAAAAAGAAATGAAGATAATAAGTTTCATGTTGTATGTTTTTACCATAATTTTGTTTCAAATAAGCTTTTTAATCTTAAAAAGGAAGAAAGAAAAGCTGTGGGCATGGCTTAAGTGGTCAAGTGTCTGCCCCGAGTTCAAAACCCTATACTTCCCCAAACTGAAAGACGAAATAGGAGTCAAAAAGGCAGACACCCCCTGTGTCCTTAGAGCTAAGGGACTGGGTCACTACATCCCATCAGCAAGAACATTCTTGAGATATTGAATTGCCACCCATGTCCCAGTCCCCCCTGCCTTTTTTGGTGCCCATACTGGGGCTTGAACTCAGGGCCTGGGTGACGTCCCTTTTGTGCTCAAGGCTAGCACTCTACCACTTGAGCCGCAGCTTCACTTCCGGCTTTTTTGGTGGTTCATTGGACATAAGAGTCTCACAGCTTTTCCTGCCCAGGCTGGCTTTTGAAACTGTGATCCTCAGATCTCCGCTTCCTGAGTGGCTAGGAAGACAGGTGTGAGCCTGGGAGGAAGCAAGTAGGCCTCAAGACATCAGGGACACAGCCCCCGGCCCCGGCCCAGGCCCCAGCTCCCTTCCACGCCTCCTAGGGGCCGGCTGTGGCCCCGTCCTTCCGGGCACCATCCCTCTCTTGCCCATCATGCGCCTGCCTCATCCTCACCCCAGCTCGGAAGCCCCTCGCCCCCACTGGCTCTCCTCCCTGTTCCCACGGCCTTGCTGCCACTGACCTGGGACTGCCAGGGCGCTGGTCACCTTGCGGGTCTTCCTCTGGAGTGCCACAGCGGGGGCTTTGGAGAGGCGTGAGGTGCCGGAGGGCACCGAGGTGCCCAGGGAGGCGCAGCTCCCCTGCCACTGGGCCTGGGCCCGGATCTTGTCCCTCAGCTGCTCCAGCCTGGGGTCTCTCTTTCTGGGCTGCTGCTGGTGCCCCGGAGCCTGGGGCGGCCGCTCCCTCCAGGGCCCTCGGGGAGGGAAGCAGGGTTCATGGCCACCAGAGGAGCCTGAGAGGCGGCCCGATGACACGGACGATGCCGAGCTGCCCCCGTCCTGGTCTTCCTGGCCTGCGGTCCACGTGGGCGGGCTGGGGGTCCTCACCCAGGAGCCCGGCTCCTCCCTGCAGTCAGGCCAGGCCTCGGGAGGGACTGCCCGAAATGGCCCCGGCCGCCTCAGGGCATCCATGAGCTCATGCTTAGCCGCAGGGAGATGGAGTCTGTCTTCCCTGAGAGGACAAGGAGCAGCTGGTTAGGCTGGAGGCCCGGCCACGCCGCTGTCTCACCGCGTGAGGGACCCAGCAGGGACCAGGCAGCTGTGCTGACCTTGTCCTTGGAGACAGAAACCAAGGCTGGGTGCCAACAGCTCACACCTGGCATCTCAGGTAGCCCAAAGGGGCTAAAACCTGGAGGGTCTCTGTTCAAAGCCAGTTTGGGCAGAAAATGCTGGAGTGGACATGTGGCTCAAGAGGGAAAGCACCAGCCATGAGAGAAAATAAAAACCAAGTGAGAATGCAAAACCCTGTGCGGAAGCCTTGGTACTGGCACGTACACATGCACGCGCACGCACGCACACACGCACACTCATGCAATGCACATGCATGTGCGTGCACACGCACACACAAAACTACAAATATGATCAACCCAATTTACAGATGGGAACACTAGAGGTGCCCAGCAGGGCAGATCTGGGCTCCAGGCGTCTGTGCTCACCCCGCCTCCTCCTGCCTCACGCTGGTGGCTAGCCCGGCCATCCCGTGCTCACCACTGCGCTGACACAATCCAGACAAGCACTACCTGGGCCCGATGCTGCCCTTCCCTCGGGCGGCTCTCCCCAGGGAGAGGAGGCTGGGCCGCCAGCTCTCCCTCTGGCAGGGCTGCAGCGCCACGCCCACGGGCACGGGCAGCAGGTCCAGGACGGGGGCTGGCATGCTGGTTTGGAGGAGGCCGGTGAGCGCACAGAATGAGCCCAGCCACCACCACGCCCGAGGCGGATTTCACATCACGGCCTCCATCCGAGGCCACTGCTCAGCACCAGGCACTGCTCAGGATGCACCGGCGCTGCCCAACCCTGGATGCTGGCCTGTGCCGACGCCCTGGTCCGCGGGGCGGCCCTCCCGACGGTCATGGGTAGAGGGTAGGGATGACGGGCGCAGGCTGCGCCCCGCAGTAGCTCCGGGGCTTCCTCTCGTCTGCCCCTCACAGGACGGAGAGAATTCCAGGGGGGCCATGACAGCATAATCACCCGTGTCACTCAGCGACAGCAAGGCCTCCAACCCCCTCCAAGCCGGGGCTCAGAACAGCGCCCCAGGCGCTGCCTGACGCAGGCGCCCCGCTCGCTGTCCCTTCCCTGCCACACCCCCGGGAGGCCTCTGGTCACCTTCGTGACGACCCGGGAGGGTGCCATGGCGGGAAGGGTACGGCTCTGCGGTTGGCCTGCCCTGGGTTCAGCATTGGACCAATTCGCTGAACCAATCCCAGCTCAGCCCCAGCCCCCAGGGTAACCTGGGGCACTGGGCCCCGCCCGCCCCCACCCACCCTGAGGATTGTGAAGCGCCAGGTGGCTCTGCTCTGCCACCTCCTCCCTGCCGGCCGGCCGGGGTGTGCACTGGACCAGACGTCCTGCCGGGAGTGGGCACCGCCCACACCACAGAGCGAGGGGCTACGCCCCCAAGACCCCCGATTCTAGGTGGCATGGAGAATGCCCAGAGCTCCTCTCCCTCTCCTTGTCTTCTCTCTTTGTTGGCAGGGCTGGGGCCTGGGGCTCACGCCCCCCAGCCCTACCTCAGCCTTTTTCTGACTTCAGGAAGATACCCCAGATGCCTGTGCGCGGAGACCAAGGAGAGACCTGCTGGAAACGGGGGTGCCGCCCCTTGCGCCCCTCCAGTTTCCCCAGCTCGCCAACAGTCAACATTTTGGCCCACAGCCAGCAGGGCCCCAGTCCCAGTCCAGGCCCCAGAGCAGACCCCACAGCCAGACACAGCCTCTGGAACAGCAAGGCTCCCTGGCAGTGCCACTGCCCGGGCTGGAGCCAAGCTCTCCTGCTCCCACGCGGACGCCACCCTCGAGGCTGAGCTGGAGCGGACCCACCCGTGTACTCCTCCAAGACCTTGTGAGACCTTTTCCCAGGGAAAAGCCCGAGGCGGCCGGAGAGCCCTCCACAGTTTGCAAGAAGCGTGTGGCCTTCTAGACCCTTCAAGTACGTGCCATACCCAACGGGCAAGGGCCTGTGGGCGCGCTGGCGGGGACTGCGCCTCACTGCCCACCCCAGGCTGACCTCGCTGGGCCACTCCAGGCAGCAGGTCCAGCACATTTCAGGAGCTCAGGGACAGCAGCACATGACTAGATGCCCCCCATATCACTGGGAGCCCGGACATGTCAGGGCCGCCCTTGGGGCTCCCCTAGCTCTCCGAGTCCCCCTGTCCTCAGGTCTGGGTGGCCCCCTCTGAGGCCCTGAAGAAGGGCACCTAGGTAGGCCCAGCCCCATAGCCCTGCGCCATGCAACCACCAGAGGCCCGGTCCCTTCGGATGCTCACTCCTCCTTGGTGGCCCCTGGAGCCATTGGGGTTCTGGGCTCCTGGCTCTGACCCCTAAAGAGAGAAGACAGGAGAGAAGCGAGCTGCGCAAGTCCCCCCAGCCTGCAGGCCGGCTGCTCTGTCCGTCTGAGGAGGACCGCGGATGCTCAGCCGTTCCTGCCAGGCATTCAGGGCCCGGCTGTCTCCAGAAGACGCCACAGCGCAGAGGCAGCAGAGGAAGCGCTGCCTGCAGAAAGAGCAAGGTTAGCAGGAGGCGCAGCTCCGCAGTAAAAGGGCCCGCCTGGCAACTGTGAGGCCCTGAGTTCAAATCCCAGCACTGTCCAAAAAAAGACAAAGTAAAAAGAGAGGGCAAAACAATGAAAACCAAGGCTGGTCCCCTCAGTCCCTGGCACAGACTGCCCGTCCGGCCCAGGACGGCCACACAGGGACTCGGCGCTGCGTCTCCCTAAAAACCAACAAGACTCCTAGGAAGCCACGGAACTCAGAAGAACGGGGCCCCGCCTGGCAGTGCCCAGCCAAGCCCACCCCCCGCAGGCCAGGCTGGGGTCCATGCCGTCCGGGCCTGCCCGGCCCCTGGCACAGACTAGCTTCTCTCCCTCAGCTCCACCCTGTGGCGTGTGGACCTCCAGCCTGGCTCCCTGGGCACAGGCAGACCCTGCCATTCTCAGCCTCCCCCTTCCCCTCTCTGTGACGTGTGACCTGGGCCTCCACCCTTGGACGGTCAGATCCCTGCCTGCCCACCCCCCCCCCCCAGGGCTGGAACCCAGCCTGGCTGGCTACTAACACTGGCATTCACAGAGAACCCCTGTGGACTTGGGCCTGTGCTGTCCAGCCCTGGGTCAGCCCTGGAGGGAGGGGAGGGAGTCTAGTTACCACTGCTATTCCACACAAGGGACATGGGAATCAGCTTGGACAGGCCCAGGTCCTGGCAGAGCTGCTCCTGTGATCTACCAAGGGCCCAAGAGCAACACCCGTGTCCTCAGGGCCACACGGAGCCAGGGGTGGCTTCTTGGCAGGGAGGAAGTAGGAAGGAAATCCAACAGAGCGGTGCGGGTGCTCACACCTGCAATTCCAGCTCCTCAGGAGGCTGAGATCTGAGCCAGCCCAGGCAGGAAAACCCTGACAGTCCTGTCTCCACTTAACTAGTAAAAAGCTAGCAGTGGAGCTGTGGCTCAAGTGATAGAGCACTAGCCTTGAGGGAAAAAAAAAAAAAAACAACTGAGGGACCGTGCCCAGGCCCAGAGTTCAAGACTCAGGATTTGCGTGCGTATTTGCACACACACACACACACACACGGGCGCACACATGCCAACACAGTAGCATGTACTCTGACACCGGGCACCGCAGGAAAGCGGGGCCAGGCCCTGGGGCAGCTGTCCACTTCCCGGCGGAGGCAGGCTGCAGTGCTCCTCACCCTTAGCAGGGCTCCCGAGGGGTCAGACAATGCGGGAGACCAGGTACTCACCTGGCTATACACAGAGGAAGAAAAGAAGGGCAGGAGCCCCACGGCACCACCTCAAGATCCACCCCAGAGCCATGCTGCGGCCAGGCTGACCCCTGCCGGGTAGGCTGGCATGGGCACTGCACAGGCAGGGGCAGGGAGGGAGGGGGAGGCAGCCCATCCGCCCCGCCCAGCGGGGGAGGGAGCGGGGAGGGTGTTTGTTCTAAGGGGTGACATTTGTTTATTCTCACCGCCTTGGCGCTGGAAACAAACCCAGAGCAGGTCCTGGCAGGCTGGACAGCCAGGGGACCATGAAGGGGAAATGGGCACGGCCCTCCCTGCTGCCAGTCCGCAGCAACGGGCCTGGTGTCCTGGTGTTGGCATGGCACCCAACTGCCACCCTGTCCACCCAACCAGCCAGCCAGACCCCAAAGCCGCAGCATCGGATGCCCAGGGAATGGAGCCTTGGGGCACCTGCAGCTGCCCGCTCCCCACCGCTGGGGCAGCCCGCCCCCGGGGAGAGCACACAGAAGGGAAGGCCTGGGCCCTGTGGCGAAAGCATAGACCCCGTGGAGACACACAACACACACACACGTGACTCACACCACGCACCGCACACAGTACAGCACGGCGCACACGACACACCGCACACATGACACACAACATGGCTACCACGCTACACACGCTACACACATTGCACTCTAAACACAGTACCACAGTACACACATGGACAAAGCCAGACACAAACCAGCTCAGGCTGCTCCCGGGAGGGGGGCTCACTGCCGCCTCCAGCGGGCCAGGCGCCTGACGCCACGGTGGCAGACACAAGGCGGGAACACTGACGCAGTAAGTGGCCATTTGGGCTGTGGGGGAAGCCAGACGGGCACGCAGAAGGTACAACAAGGCAGCGGTCAATCACAGGGACACACCAGTCATGGCACACCCCTTTAACCCAGCACTCAGGAGTCTACAGCAGGAGGATTAGACGTCTGAGGCCAGCCTGGGCTACATAGTAATACTGTCTGAAAACACCAAAAACGAATACAAATTAAACAGTAAGCCATGCAGGCAAATACGTGCTTGCCCTGGAGCCCTGGACGCTGCAGGAGGAGGTGCTGCATTTGGGAAACGTAGCCACAGCCACCATCAAGCTCCAACCTGGTCCAAGCTCCTCCACCGCCACCCCCACCCCCCGGCAGGGGCCCAGGCCCACCCAGGCCAGGCCAGGGCCACCCCGGGCGCAGTGTCCACTGACCTGCCTTCCCCATAGGGCTCCTGAACTGGTCCCCAGGCCATGCCTACACAGAGGCCAGGTGACCGGGCACCCCGATACCGCTCACTGCACCCACCTGCCCCTTGCCAGGACTTCCTGAGAAACCTGTGGCTGCTGACCGAGCAGCTCCTGGCCAGAGACTGGATCTGTGGAATCAACCATGGCATGGATACCTCATCCCCAGGGATCTCAGCCCCCAGGCCCTGGGGCATGGGTACCCTGTACCTGGGGGTCTGAGCCCATTGTCCTGGGGTGTGGCCCTCTGCCCTTCCACAAGCCTTCTGTTACTCTCTGACCCTGATGGGGGAGCTTCTAGAAGGACAGGCCAGCCAAGGAGCTGGCCCTATGTCCACTGGGTGTTAGGTGCAGCGTGTCGGGCAGAGCTGGGCACTCCAGGCCCGTCCAGCTGTCCTCTTCCATCTTGTGGTGGAGGCGATTGCTTGCAGATGCAGAACACAACCTCAGACCACTCGTAGCCGGCTGGCTGGGCAATGTCTGGTCTCATTTTACCAGTGGGGAAACAGAGGCAGGTCCATTGGATGCCAATCAGGCTTGGCCTGAGCTCAGAGGGTTAAGGAGAAGACTCAAGTCTATGTGTCCATCCATCCATGCCGTCTGTGTGTCCATCCTTGCTCCCTCCTCTGTCCCGCGCTCATTCCCTTCCTCCAAGGGGTCTGGGCAGACTGGGTAGGGCTCAGGCATGCCCTCGACCACTAGGTACTCACCAGCTGGAAGGCCAGAGGGCGCGGGGTGAAGAGCCACAGAGCCGGCACACTCTGTAGACTGGAAGTGGGCAGCGAGACGCGGGAGGGCGTGGGAGGGTGCAGGAGGGAGGTGGAAGGAAGCCAGCCTGCCCCACCCAAAGGTTGCCAGGAAACCGGCAGTGCCAGTGCAGGCTCCGCCCCGCCCCCCCCCAGCCTCACCGGCGCTGGGACACCTGGGACTCCCCGCCCCTGTGGGCCCCACAGGTGGAGAAGGCAGAGAGTAGGAGGGCTCTGGACCGCGTGAGGGGAGGGGGCAGCGCTCCGAGGGAGGGGTCCAGGGCCCACCCAGCTCTTGTCACCTGCCTGTCTCCTTTCTAAGTCCTCACCGCCTCCCCTCCCAGCTTGCTGCCCCTCCAGCATGCGGCTGGAGCACTGGAGGAAGGGGTTGTGGGGGAGACAGAGACCTGGCGGGGTCGGGCCCCGGTGGAGCAAGTGCAGGGCTCTCCTTGTAACCACTGGAGCCTCAACCTGCGGAGGGGGGCGGGGGAGAGGCCATGGGGCCAAGGCTGCTGGCCTAAAGTGCAGGGGGGCGGGGGAGAGGCCATGGGGCCAAGGCTGCTGGCCTAAAGTGCAGGGGGGCGGGGGAGAGGCCATGGGGCCAAGGCTGCTGGCCTAAAGTCTTGCCTGGCCACCCCAGGCCTTGGGTCTCAGATGAAATAACCTGCAGCTCCAGCCACTGTCTTGAGGGCTTTTTGTTTCTTAATGTGGTACTAAGGAATTGAAACCAGGACCTCATGCATGCTAGGCAAGCACTCTACCACTGAGCCACCTTCCCAGCCCCAACCCCACTCTGGTTTTTTGTTTGTTTGTTTTTAACAACAGCTACTTCCAGTTAAAAAAAAAAAAATTGGAGATAGTCTCAGGGACTTTCCTGCCCAGACTGGCTTTGAACCACAATCCTCAGATCTCAGTCCTGAGTAGGTGGGATTATAGGTGTGAGCCACCAGCACCCAGTTCCCATGGGTGCTTTGATGTGAGTTTTTCAATGTGGGGTGCTAAATAATGTGTGTGAAGGCTCGTTGCGTCCATTCTCTGCCCCAGCTCCAAATGCAGTTGCCCATTGCCCAACAGGCTAGGAGTCTCTTTTGGGAGACGTATCTGAAGGGTCCTAGCTGGGTAACCCTAGCTACACCTGTCATCCCAGCTACTCAGGAGGCTGAGATCTGAGGGTCATGGTTTAAAGACAGCCGGGCAGAAAAGTCCATTAGATTCTTACCTCCAATGGACCACCAGGAAAGTGGAAGCAGCGCTGTGGCTCAAGTGGTAGAGTACTGCCTTGTGCAAAAAAGCTCAGGGACGGAGCCCAGGCCCTGAGGTCAAGCCCCTCCACCCCATGCCCGCATTCACATGCGTGTGCACGTGCACACTCATGCACACTCATGCACACACACACACACACACACACAGAGGCATAGCAGGGTCCTCCCACACACGAATTACACCAGCAGGGGGCACCCTCTCCCCATCTCAGCCTGCTGTCACCCTGCAGGGAGCAGCTGTAGGGACTGCCTTCAGCTCCAGTCCAAGAAGAAATGACCCTCATATCCCCCGGCCAGGTGCTGGTGGCTCATGCCTGTAATCCTAGCTACTCAGGAGGCTGAGATCTGAGGATCACAGTTTGATGCCAGTTCAGGCAGAAAGTCCCTGTGAAACTCATCTCTAATTAAACATTTGAGAACAGAAAGGGGTGCTGTGGCTCAAGTGGTAGAGCACTAGCCATGAACACAAAGAGGCTCAGGGACAGTGTCCAAGCCCCGAGTCCAAGCCCCATAACCGATAAAAAAAAGTTTCAAAAAAATTCCAGGAAAAGTCATTTGTCAAGAAACTCCTCAAGCTGGGCACCCATGAACTGGTGGCCTGATATCCCACGAGGCTGAGGGGTGACTCAAAGCCGGCCTGCGCAGAAATGTCCATGAAACTCTTGGCTCCAATTGACCGGCAAAAAAGCCAGAAGTAGAGCTATGGCTCAAGTGGCAGAGCATCTGCCTTGAATAAAAAAAGCCAAGCAAGGATGAGAGACACCACACACACACACACACACACACACAAGGAAGGAAGGAAGGAAGGAAGGAAGGAAGGAAGGAAGGAAGGAAGGAAGAGGAGGAGGGAAAGAAGGGAAAAAAGAGAAACAAGGAAACTCTTCAAATGGTAGAGCACTTACCAAACCAGTACCATCAAAAGGAAAGAAAGAAAGAGAGAGAGAGAGAGAGAAAGGAAGGAAGGAGGAAGGAAGGAAGGGAAACTTTAGGTGTTCAGGAAATTTGGACTTGGGGGCCAAATTTGGGGGGGCAAAGGCAGCCTTGCTCCGGGTGGACCTGCCTGGGGCTAGGAAGAGTCTGGTTATCCAAGACAAGGGCCCCACACTCCAATACCCAAAGATGTTATTCTTGCCTGTGGCTGGGGCTCGGGGTACACTGCTTCTGGGCGCTGGGCTCACAGGTTGACTTGGCACTGGTGTCAGAGAAACAAGGAGAAATAAGTTCACCAAGCAAGGGCAGTGCCCAGAGCCCCAGGGAGGAGCCAGGCTTCCTGGGCCCACCCCTATCCTGGGGGATGACCCAAGTCAGCAAAAGCAAGACCTCAGTGCCCGGGGCACCTCTGCTCATGAACGGAACGGTGCCCAGGCATCGGTCCCCACGGCACGAAACACTGCACCCACACAGCGGGCTCCAGCAGGCTCTGTTGGGCTCGGGTCTGTCATGTCTCCCATTCTGGTCTGTGGTCTCTGGCCAGTGGCTTCAGGACCCCTGGGGAGGGACTGAAGGCCTCCAAGGGGCAGCGATGCGGCTGAACACGCTCCCGCGGCCGTGGCTCCCAGCAGCAGCAAGAATAAAAACAGCTCCGGGCCGTGTGTGGCCCGTGGAGAGCCCACGGACTGGCTCCAGAGCACTTTGCACACCTGTTACAGACACAAGCGGCGCCTAACTGACTCCCCTGGGCTAACCACAGAGAATGTGCAGCTCAGGAGAATGTTCCAGAATCTTCTGACCCAGTCCACAGTGGACTATTTCCTCGCACGACAGACACCGCAGGGCTCCCCAGGATCTTTCTGAGCCATGTTTGCTCTGGAGAGTCCAACACTTGGCTGAGAGGAGCCTTCTCCTGCCTCCTCGCGGCACCCCCTCTTTCCGGCTTGACTCTGGGCCTGGTTTGCACACCGCCCCAGCAGCCCGCGGGCGGGGCACACGCCAGAGGTGCCGGTGCATTAGGGTGCCTGCGTGGCCAAGCTTTGGTGGCTCAGGCCTGTAATCCTAGCTACTCAAGAGGCCGAGATCGTAATTCAGAGCCAGTCTAGGCTAACCAATCTGAGAGACCAGCAAAAAGCCAGAAGTAGAGGTATGGCCCAAGTGGTAGAGTGCCAGCCTCAAGCCAGCCAAACAAGATTCAAGGCCCTGAGTTCAAGGCCCAGGTACCAATATCCACAGGAAAAGAAAGAAAGGAAAGAAGAGAGGGAGGGAAGGAGGAAAAAAGGGAGGAAGGAAAGCAGGGAGGGAGAAAAGAAAGAAAGGTGTTAGGTTTTTAAAAAGAGGTAGCCAAGTAAGAACTACACCATGCACGTGGTATTTAGGTAAGGGGTAGGTTTATTCATTGTTCTGGCTGGCACCAGGCCATGTTGGCCATGTTGGCCCTCCACGCGGCTGAGAAAGGCCTGGGAAAGACCTGGGAAAGAGGTGGAAAAGAGCTGGGAAAGAGAGAGAGCTGGGAAAGAGAGAGAGCTGGGAAAGAGAGAGAGCTGGGAAAGAGAGAGAGCTGGGAAAAAGAGCATCTGGGCCTGGGCTAGGCCTTATCTAGGGTATGGAGAAAGGTGTGGCCACATCAAATTCAGATGTGACCTCAGCAGATGCAGATGCGACCTCTTCCAGATGTGCTAGTTGCCTAGGTAACGCAGGTACTGGGTGGAGACTGCTGCGAGGAGGGTGGAGTCTGCTAGCCATCCAGGGGCGGACCTTATAGAAGGGAAGGAGGGAGGGAGGGAGGGAAGGAGGAAGGAGGGAAGGAGGAAGGAGGGAAGGGAGAGAGGAAGGAGGGAAGGAAGAGAGGAAGGAGGGAAGGGAGAGAGGAAGGAAGGAAGGAAGGAAGGAAGGAAGGAAGGAAGGAAGGAAGGGAGGGAGGGAGGAAGGGAGGGAGGGAGGGAAGGAGGGAAGGGAGTGAGGGGGAGGAAGGAAGGGAGGAAGGAAGGAAAAAGGAAGGAAAGGAGGAAGGAAGGGAGGGAGAGAGGCAGAGAAGGAGGAAGGGAGGAAGGAGGGAAGGGAGGGAAGAAGGAAGGTATGAAGGAAGGAAGGGAACGAGGGAGGGAGAGAGGGAGGGAGGGAGAGAGGGAGAAAGGAAGGTATAAAGGAAGGAAGGAAGGTATAAAAGGAGGAAGGAAGGGAGGGAGGAAAGGAGAGAGGGAGGGAGGGAGAAAGGGAGGGAGGAAGGAAGGAGGGAAGGGAAGGAGAGGGGAGGGAGGAAGGAAGGAAGGAAGGAAGGAAGGAAGGAAGGAAGGAAGGAAGGAAAAGAAGAAGGAAGGGAGACAGAGAAGGAGGAAGGGAGGAAGGAAGGAAGTGAGGGAAGAAGGAAGGTATGAAGGAAGAAAGGGAGCGAGGGAGGGTGGGAGGGAGGAAGGAAGAAAAAGGGAGGGAGGCGGAGGGAGGCAGAGAGGGAGAAAGGAAGGTATGAAGGAAGGAAGGAAGGGAGGGAGGGAGAGAGGGAGAGAAAAAGAGAGGGAGGGAGGAAGGAAGGAAGGAAAGAAAGGAAAGGAAAGGAGGAAGGGAAGAAGGAAGGTATGAAGGAAGGAAGGAAGCAAAGGAGGGAGGGAGGGAGGAAGGAAGGAAGAAAAGGAGGGAAGGGAGGAAGGAGGGAAGGGAGGAAGGAAAGGAGGGAGGAAGGGAGGGAGGGAGAAAGGGGGGAAGGAGGAAGGAAGGAAGGGGGAAGGAAGGAAGGAAGGAAGGAGGGAGGGAGGAAGAGAGGGGGAGGAGGGAGGAGGGGAGGGAGGGAGAGAGGAAGGGAGGGAGGATGACATAGCACACAGTCATCTAG